AACCCAAATGGGGAATCTAACCCCGGTCTTTGGCATGACAAGCGAACGCTTTAACCACTAGGACTACCAAGCAGTCATGTTTATATGACTGACTGAATGAGTTTGGTTTTACGCCGCTTTTAGCAATATTCCAGCAACATCACGGCTGGGGACACCAGAAATAGGCTTCACACATTGTACCCATGTGGGGATTCGAACCCGGGTCTTCGGCGTGACAAGCCAACGCTTTAACCACTAGGCTACCGCACCGCCCTGTTTATATGAACAACATCTACCAAACAGTCATAGTTCTAAGATTCACATCTACTAAACTGTCAAGCTTGTATGAATCATATCCATGGACTACCAAACAGTTATACTTATATGAATCACATCTACCAAACAGTCACAGTTACATGATCCACATCTACAAAGTAGTCCTAGCTATATTCACATCTAGCAAACAGTCATGTTTATATGAACCATATCGATCACCCACCAAATGGTCAAGCTTAAATGAATAGCAATTGTCAACATTTCATGTACAGCTGTCTTAAATAGTCTGTTGGAGAAGAAAAACAAAAAAAACTAAATGCCTCCTGCCTCCCACACTTATTACTGTGACGTTTATTCATTTATAGTGACGACTTCAGAATTTTCAGATTTGACCGCTGCAAGCTCTGGCCATGGCAATTTCCTTAAGTGGCATCTAGAAGCTGGTGTGATGAAGTGGAACACTTTTTATGGATAGACAACTTCTTTGTTGCAGTAGTAGTTGCGACGTTTCGGTGCAGATCCTAACACCATAGTCCATAAAAAGTGTTCTACTTCATGGTAAGACACATGGAGTTTGCAAATGTTTTCAGGGAGAAGGCAGCAGCAGAGATGATATCATCATGGGTTCACAACTCCAGAACAAGTAGCGGAGAATGGATGTACACCATTTTTATCAATATCAGGACAAGGGACAAAAGAAATTGACATAACACATTGTACCAGTGTTGGGAATCAAACCTGAATCTTTGCCATGATAAACTAACACTTTAACCACTAGCTTACCCTACTGCCCCCCACTATCCCCAGAACCTTCTGTCATCAGCCATATAGAATTACACGGAATGCCCTGGACCATATTTCCACCATTAAACAGTAACAAACACCCTGTTCCAAAATAGCACCTCCTGGCCAGATTCTAGAACATTCTGTACGTAATCTCAGTAAGCAGCTGCCAAAAAACAATTAAACTGTAAAAGATCTGTGACTTCCTGTGCATAATACAATCATTTTCACAATAACCACAACTGTGTAGAAAGGGTGTCTCATCCAGTAGCTATTGTAGAAAATGTTTTCGACACTCCATTCATAATTGATAAAATCTTTAAAATTCACAAAACTGACAATGTAAATGCAATATATCATGATGTTAACAGAAGTATCACAACTAGTTTTGACTGTCACAAAAAGAAGACAAAAGATGGCTGCCTATCTGTGGTACTATGTACCTGTACATTTGAACATAAAAGGCCAGACCAATATTATTTCTTGTTTTAAAGATCCGCCTGCCATATTTTTTCAAGAATAAGAAAAAAAATATAAATTAATTTTCCACGCTCAAAAAATAAAATCCTACTGTTTTGATTGGCCAAAAATGTAAAACTTACAAGAACCTTTTTTTAAATTGTTTTTTGCCCTATATCCACTTCATATGTTGCCAGAAGTAGAAAACTTTAAATATTTCAAAGGAATATTACTTTGACTGGTGATTTTTTTATTTATCTTTTTTCTCCTGCCTTTAGGTTTTCTGAGGACAAAAGTCTGTAAAACAAGAAATATAATTTGTCTGGCCTAAACATAAAAATATTGATTCTTAGGCTGATATCAGAGTCGACCCCATATTGCTCTTGTAAAGTAAGTTAAAAGTTCTTTAATCAAGTCATATAAAAAGAAATTACATAAAAAATATAATAACTATACATTGTTTTATTGTTAAGTATTGCAATCAATGCTGCTATAAGAACAAACAATCTCAACAAACATTTTTCTGAAATTCTGATTCTCAAATGAAGTTTCATCACAACCATACTTATTCTCTTACATTTACAGAAAAGGTGTGAGAGGGACCCTGAAAATTATTTTCTTTCAGCAACAGTTTCATAATTAAATGAATAAGAACATTGAATACAAGCCACAATTATGGGTTTGGTGCAGACTAAACAAAGGTCATATTCAGGATGAATCTGGGAATAAAATCCAGGCTAAGGGATGCAACTCCACACATCTAATGGTGGCACTTTAGACAACTGGGGTCATCTTTCTAGCAGTTATCTGTAAAAGTCCAGGTTAGAATGGATGTTCAGTAACCCATGCTTGTTGTAAGAGGCAACTAACAGGATCAGGTGGTCAGGTTCACTGACTTGGTTGACACATGTCATCGTATCCCATTTGCGTAGATCGGTGTTCATGCTGTTGATCACTGGATTGTCTGGTCCAGACTCGATTTTATTTACAGACCGCCCCCATATAGCTGGAATATTGCTGAGTGTGGCATACAACTAAACTCACTCAGTCACTCTTTCTAGCAGTACATCACTGTGTAATCTAACTGTACTGGAGCTACAGAATATTAGTTACATGGTAATACAAACACACACTATTTTTAATATTTCTCACAGCTGGTGGAGGTGTGTGGTCCTGTGCATAGAGCTCAGGTCACAAGTCAGTTGCAGTTAAGCAACATTGGGCGCGAACAGTCCTTGGATGGGTGACCATGTTTGGCAGCTTGTCTCCTGGGAGATTCTAGGACTTCAGAGCTGCCCGGCAACGAAGAACATGTGATACATGTCGTCTCACCTTAGGCAAGTGAGTTTGTTCAAACTTGCCTCCAGTGGGATAAGACATGTGACTATCAACCTTCTAGCACCTCACAGGCAGCTTGGGTTATCCGGGGTAATAATAATCAGATTGTGCGCTTTGAGCATCCTCATAACTTGTGCGCTTTGAACAGGATATGAAGCCTGAAAAGACGTTTTAAATATTCTTCTTTCTTCTTCACAGCTGCTATCGACAGTAAACGAATGCCATAAAAGGCACATGCTTGTGCGTCTGCTGCTTGTAAACACATACTCGGACATATTCCAGCTACTTGACAACATCCTGTACTTAATCAAGTCTTGACTGGTCAAGTGACTGATACTTTTAGCAACGATCCATGTCATCACTGTACCAACACACAATCAACCAAGTCATCAACTGTAACCACCTGAATGATTACCATATTTCCTCTAATAAGCGCCCAAACGCTCATTTTTTCAGTTGACTTCCAGACTCGGTGCTTTATAGAGACCCAGTGCTTATTGCGCTTACGACAACATAATATCCATGTGGAGGACAGAAAGTTATGACAAAAGGGACCATTCCTGAATAAATCTATTTTTGGATCAAGGGAGAATACTTTTATAATAAACTTACCCGGTGCTTATTAGAGACCCGGCGCTTATTTCTTAAACCGCTGCTTTATCCCTAGAGCTTATTAGAGGAAATATAGTACACTGCCAGCATAGCTTGCTGGGAACCAATTATTCTGTCCAACAGCCTCTGAACCACATTCATATCCCTTAGACCTTCGAATGTAATGCCATAGCCCTAAATGAGTGAGTGGGTTTAGATTAAGCCGCTATTAGCAACATTCCATCAATATCATGATGGGGACACCAGAAATGGCTTCACACATTGTACCCATGTGGGGAATGGAACCAGGTCTTCAGCATGACGAGTGAACTCTTTAACCACTAGCCCAAAATGAATCATGTTCATATTTTCCACATGTCCTGCATATCCCTTCTTACTGGGTCTCATTTTCAGTTCAAATGTATTTGCTGGTTTCAATCAAAGTTATTATTGGATTATGTCTTCAGACATCCTAGTTGTAACACGGCATAGACATCACAGAGACAATGATGGCTTGTTGTTTAGATAAAGTTGTGTAAAAATGTTTACAACTGTTCATTTAATTAGCAAGAAAGCTACAAATAGTCCTTAAGGCCAGACCAACTTTATTTCTAATTTTACGGATCTGCCGGTGGTATTTTTTTCAAGAAACATACAAAAATACAAATTAATTTTCCCCGCTCAAAAAATAAAATCCTAATGTTTTTATTGGCCAAAAATGTAAACTTACAAGAAAATTTTCTTTGATTGTCTTTTGCCCCAAATACACTTGATAAATTGTCAACAGTAAAATACTTTTCGTATTTAAAAGAAGTATTACTTTGCTAGGGGGTTTTCTGGGTTTTTTCCCTTACTGCCTTTGGGTTTTCTGATGACAAAAATCTGTAAAATATGAAATAAATTGGTCTGGCCCAAGCATTAAAATGTCTGTTATACAAGGATGTATATCTTCAGAGACTATGCATGAGTCTGAGCACCAAATGTAATCCAAACTTTGAGCACAAAGTAACAAATCCCTGATAATTCTAAAATTCCAAAGTCCTGACTATTCCCAGAAAGAACAAAGAAATTATGAGGTTTTCACAATTCCAATATGAAACATTTACTAGTATGCACCATTGAGGATGTTTAAAAATACCACTATATATATATAAATACATGTATATATATTACAAGGTACAATATGTTTAAGGGCCTGAAGCATACCAGGTACTTGAATGAAAGTACTTTTTCATCGTTGATAAAAATATGCTTGTGTTCACATATAACATGTAAGAAACATATTCATAAACACATGTTGGAAAAATATTTATACAAATGTCAGATACACAATCATGATGACACGTCAGTTATATATTCATTATCAAATGTCGTCATAAACAAAAAAATCATTTAAAATTCAAAAACAGATATCCGGAAATGATCACTGACGAAGGCAAATACTCATTACAGGGGTGGAAATAACCCATTGCCCGACGTCCGAGTCCAGTGTTTTTTCCAGTCAGGCAAGCAAATTTGTATATCACGCTGTACCAATGTCCAGTTGAATTTGCAATGTTAATTATGTTGTTTATTTAAAAAATCAACAAGAAAATCGGCCGGTATAGAGGAATAATTATCAGGGCAAGTGATTTTACATGTGCCACTGTTCCGGTGTACACTAGCAATTTTAAAGTTATTTCCACCCCTGCATTACATATGAAATACAGACAGTTCACGTGGAAATTCCTTTTTGCAATAACCTGCCACATCAGGCATGTTATGAAAATATAATTTACATAAGAAATAGAAACAGAATTGTACATTTAATATCATGCATCTAAATGTTCTTTCTGCAAATGACTGGATTATCAAGTTTGGGTTCACATTTAAAGGGTAAGTTTCAACTCATTCTTAAATTTTGAGGCTACAAATTGAGTTTGAGACCAACAGGAGCTGAACAATTGGAATGAATGCACTAAGGAAGGATAACAATATACGCATAAACAACTTCTATATTACAGGGAGAGCAACATTTCAGTAAAGGTTCTAACACTATTGTCAAGCAAGTGATGACATCGAAACCTTCACCGAAACATGGCTCTCAATGTAATAAAGAAGTTGTTCATCCATTGTTCGACTTCAAAATGTCTCTCAAACAAGGAATGAAAGCAGTAAGAATTTGCAAGGTCTGGACTATGAGTTTGACACAACCATGGATTAAACACATTTCTGTTTCAGAAAACAGGGCTTAACTGTAACTTCATAAAGTCATGCTAAGAAGTGTGATTTTTAGGTTTGGGCACAACATTGATTTCATTGATAGATTTCAACCCTTAAATATCTGTGTAAACAGATTAGGAAAAGAGTTCCTAATTCATGTGTTAAAAGCCAAATTGGTTAAGTTAAATGCCATTGCTGAAAATACAATGGTAAACACAATAAAACAAAATACAAAATAATACAAATACTGAACTAACAACTGGATTAACAATCACTCAAGTAGTGAGTGAGTTTAGTTTGATGCCACTTTTAGCAATATTCCAGCAATATCATGGCAGGGGACACCAGAAACGGGCTTCACACAATGTGCCCATGTGGGGAATCGAACACGGGTCTTCGGCGTGACGAGCGAACACCCTAACCACTAGGCTATGCCAACCCCCCTAATCACTCAAGTGAAGTCCATTAAAGGTAAAAAATAATTAAGGAACTACACATCTATCAAGTCTAATAAATATGATCAACATGAACAGTTGCAATTCATCAGATAAAAAACATTTCACTTAACATTTTGTAAAAATATTTCAAAACATGCTGTGGAAAAGTTGTGCAAATACATCATGGGAAACATTTAAAGTTTTTGTGTATTGGATAAAGTATATCATCATAAAACATTTGTTTTTTAACTTTGAAGAATAATATATTGTGACGATTACTGTGGTGAAAAAGAAAAATTGCATTAGATATAAGAAAATTAGTGGGTTTTCTGAACTATGTTTCACTTTATAATATTGCTGTTGAAATTATTTGTCCTTTTGTTACATCCCTCTTGATCCATGTTGATGGAATCCATGAAATATCAAGAACCTTTGAATCAGAGATCTGATGAAAATATGTAGTTGAGCACATGTTTTAGTTCATCATCAATATGAGGATGCCAGATGTCAATCATTAAGACAGCTCGTATTCCTTCTTCCCTCGATCCTTTGTGAATTACAGAGTGAGAGAAGGAATTGTTATCTTGTTAACATTGCCTTCTGTGTATGTTCTTTCTTCTTTGACCACCAAGTCAGGGGAACCAGGTATGGAACAAAGGGTTTGGTTTTAACCTTTGCAAGTGGCAAGTTTATGCAAGCAAGTATAAAATTTGGCAGCTTTATTTGTTAAGGTCTCATGATGTAAATACAGTGTTACAAACCATTTTTATTTTTTATTTTGATATTGTTTACAGTGAGGTGTTAAATGTTTGTTATCAAAGTCTCAGTTAAAAGTAGGAAGTTCATTCAGATGTATTTCAAAATAAAGTTTAGTACTTATGATTATGCAGTGTTTGCCATGACGCAGAAAAACCTGCGTATTTGACTCACAAATTATCTCAAATACGCAGTGAATTTATAAGCTCGCGTCATTGTTGAGGCAATGCTCGACCTGGGCTGTTAGTTCAGATAACTTTACTTTAGTTTAAGTTTGAGTACATATTGTAATTTATTGTTGTTTAAAACTACTAAGTTTAATGTTTGCCAGTTAACTGCTCAGTGCTGATTAAATACCTGACCTGCCTTACTTGGACCTGTTGTTATTAAACAATAACAGTTGATCTCTTGATGAAAGAAGTTGACTCCCAAAAACATGTCCATGACTCCCTCTCATGACACCAGGGAGTCATGATGACTCCTAAATTTTTATGCCTAGGGCAAACACTGATTATGCAATTGATCTTGCTTGTAATCAGTTTTGTAATATATGTATATATTGTAATATGATATCTCTCAAGTCACATTTGTATGTCTTTTAGTCCTTAATATATCTGAAGAAGTGGAAACAGAGTTTAGTGTTATATGGATCGGAATAAAATGATCAGGTGGTCAGGTACTGACTTGTTCAGCATCGGAAAAATTTGTATGTGCTTTGTTGATTACTAGATTGTTGGTCCAGCCACAGATCACACTAAAGAGTTTACAGACTGCCACCAGTTGAATATATTGAAGAGTGCAGTTAAAGCTAAACTCACTCATTCAATCACTTACTACTTATGGAGGAATAAACATAACAGTGGTGTGCACACTTAAACTGCAGTGCAGATGATATGTGTCATAGTAAACTACCAATTAGCTCATTATAATGTCACGTCCTTCATCGTAAATTGTTGTTGTGGCTTAGGCAGGTACATGTTAGCCACAATGGCAACCTCTAACTCTAACTACTCTGGTCATGCTAGGTGAATTGAAATCTTGGTGTTTGTTGTGTAAGACCATACTCAGCCTGATGGCAAGGTCTGTAAATAATTGTGTAAGGACCAGACAATCCAGTGATGACATCATCAGAACCACGTAACATGGATATGATGACATGCAACAAGCCAAGTCACCTAGTCTCATCCATGATCCATCTAGATGCCTCTTACAAGAAGCTTAGACAACTGGGGACCAATATTATCACCTGGAATCACTTCAGACAAAAAACACAATCAGTCAGCACCAGTTAATTACTGACTTCCCAGTTCCCTTGTTAAATGCATACCATTGTTACCTTATCACTATTGTTGTTTCACATGTTCCTCATAAAAAAGAAGTTTCCATAGATTTTCACCTTTTATGAGTATCACTTTAAAATGCCGTTCAAAGACTTCACTACAGTTCATAATCATGATAATATATTTAGTGCACATCCTATAAATATGTTCTTTAAGTCACAAATTCCAAGATGCCTGGCTTGGCAGAAAATATACAAACCTATGTGGCACCGAAGTCTTATATTGGTGGGTCCATAATGAGGGGTGATAACAGTTCCAGGAACAATCACAGAAAACGCAACATTTCCAAACAGATTGTTCTTCAATAATAGGTGTGACAGTTTATGAACTGCATTCCATGTTTTAGGGCATTGTTCTATTGCTTTTGTTGGTCTGCCTTGATCCATCAGGTGACAAATAGACCACATGCCATCTGGAGTAGAATTCACCTTCCATAATGATTGCACAGTGTCTTCTGTGTTTGACTTCTTCATCAACTCAAAAAACTCAGCTTTAATATCATCCAAAACTTTTTCACTGAACTGCAGACCATGGAAGTCTTCAATTTCGTGTTCATCCCACCATGGCTTGGCCTCCAAGCCAGACATCTTGAAAACACCAGGTTTCTGGTCTTCACCTTCGACTTGGGTAAATCGTTGATGCAAACTGTTTTCGATGTCTGTGCAAATCTTTAGTATGTTACTATCTCTATCTTCGGCTTTTGGTTTACCAGTATATGCCTGATATGACAGTCGGGTTCTTGCACGCACCAAAATCTCCTTATGAGTTCGGCACCTGACACAAGAGGGTGAATGGCACTTTTCAAAACTATCATCGTTGGCTCCAGAATTGTTTTTAATATTATCCTGTATTTCTATGAGTCTTGTTTTAAAGTAGAACTTCGATAGCAAGAAGCATACGCATGTTATAGATAACACCCATATATTTTCACAGACTGTTTCATATATCCACTCCAGCATGGTTAGAGCACCACTGGTACAATGTCAGATTGTCACAATGGCGAAAGATCTAGAGGTTCCACCGTTGTATGATAATATATTTCTCAAGATATGAGTAATGCAAATTTTTGCCTGTGCATATCAATTTAATTGAAATTAGGTACAATTAGTCCTTGGTCACACGGTTCCATATGAAAACAGTCACACAAATTTAAAGAAAAACAAACATCACCGATTCATGAGACATTTTTCTTCATTTTAAACCGGAACATACCAAGGGACGTAACTCTTCTGGAAACATTTAAAGGACGGATATGTTCTTTTCCGAAATAGGAGTTAGTAAAATTACCATTACTAAGCCGGGTTAACAAATAAATCACAAGGGCGGATGCAGCTTTTGAGATGGGGGGATTCACACTCTTGAGAAAAGAGGGTGCACACTTCATTTTCACGAGAGTTTCAATGGTCATTTAATAATCGTTCAGGAAAAAGGGGGCACACACTGGGGTGGGGTTAGCAAGCGGGAGTGGGGGCATTTACTTTGTACATAAAGGTACATCGTACCTGCTCCTCCTTAAAAATCATCATCACCCCTACATTTCCATAAATAATGAACGGTTCCATAATTGTCCTGAATTTTCCCATTTTCCATAGCCATTTCAGCTATGCTGAAGCCCTAAATGAAGCAAGTATTTAAAAGCAAACATCTGTTTAAATCAAAATTATATATATTCAGAGACTAAGCGTTAGTCTAACACACACAACACAGCAAACACAACACAACACAAACACATGGTACATCAGAGACCATATATATAACGATATGGTCTCTGAGTACATCTATAACCGGGAAAGACATATTTTCTGATCATGAAATAATTGGAGAATAAATAACATGTTCTACATTTCCAATACAGTCAACATTTGAGTAAAGGCATATGGGAATAAAACGAATTTAGACAACCCTCACTTCTATATATAATACATTACCACGGGTTGTTACCTCCACGGGATCAATTTCGACGCACACGCACACGCACACGCACACACAAAGATATTTTCCTAATTTGACGGAGTGATAAGTGGGATTGCGTTGGGAAAACTGGGATGCAGGCGCCTGAGTTGTTTTGTTGTTGTTGTTGTTGTTGTTTATGTTTTTGCACTCAGCAACATTCAGCAGCAATATTCCAGCTATATGCATTGCGGCGGTCTGTAAACAAATCGAATCTGATCCAGACAATCCGGTGCTAAACAGCATGAGCATCGGCCTACGAAATTGGGATACGATGACATGTATTAACCGTCACCCGTTAGTCGCCGCTTACTATACAAGCATTGGTTCCTGAAAAACAATTCTAACCCGGATCTTCACGGGTGCGCATAAGTTGAATCACTGTAAACATCTGGCCTGGAACTGTCTATATGAGAAATAAATGCTACCCAGTAATGATTTTGATCATATTCAGCTTATTCAAACACGTAATATGATGATGAAATTGTTTGGAAAGTATGTTTGATCGTTTGGGTCGGTAGGTAACTTATTGGATAAAGCGTTCTCTGGTAATGTGGAAGATTCCCCAAGTCGGTACAATGTGGAAGCCCCGGGTTCGATCCCCGTGTTGTTGGAATATTGCTAAAAGCGGCGTAAAACCTTATTCACTCACCTAATGAGTTTTAAAAGGAGAAACTTGATAACGATTTTTACAATGAATGAGCATACATCACTTTAAGCAAAATGCGACTTCGCCCATTGTACCTATGTGAGGAATCGAACCCCGGATCTCCGGGAGGAGCAAACGTTTAACCACGAGCCTTCCCCGCCGTCATCCAAATAGCTTTTAACAGAGAAAAGAGGCACACACACCAAACTCCTTCCAAATGCATGTTATGTAAGGTGAGGTGAAATGGGGTTTAACGTCGCACTTAGAATAGTTCGCTCATATGACGACGTGCACGGGTGTGTATGTGTGGCTGCTTGTACTAGCCTAGACGTAAGCTGGTTTTATAGTGCTAGTTCACTGAGATACCATGCCGCAGTTAAGCATGAATTCATACCCCACTCAGGCACATTATATCAGGGATAGTCTACAGCAGTTTCTATTCTCCCTGATGATACTGACTCCGAGCCGACCAGTCCTTCTTGTACCCATTAATGCCGAGCTCCAGGCAGGGACCAACAAGTACCACATTTTAACTTCTTTTGGTATGACGCGGCCGGGGATCGAACCCGCTCTCCGGGCAGACAATTTATTTATTCTCTGATGGGGGGAACAGGATGTCTATATACATATATATGTATGTTCCATGGATGAACCCTCCTGGCTGATTAAGTTTTGGAAATGATTTCCTTTAAATGCATATAAAGACTAGTCATTTTTTCAGCTGAAATATAAAAACACTTTGTTTTGAACAAAACTTTGATTTTTTTAAACAACTTGCAATGTTCTACCATGCAGTTGCCTATATCAAAGTTTGTTCTATATTTTACTTCCAACTTCTAAATTCTCATTCAAAGATATATTTTGATCATTTGGATGAGAAGATTTAACAACTGTAATAGGTTGTCTTTGTAAATACACACTATCGATTGTATCTTCATACAATTGTGCGACAAAACACACAACATTATCTGAAGACATTGCCAAATACATTTTTCGACAACTACCAGTCAGAATGAACTTTTTGCCATCCTCAATTGGGCCTCATGAGCATACCGACTCGCCGAAAACCAACGAGTTATAATATTTTTTACGAATAGATTATTGTTTCAATAATAACTTAGTAAAGAATTAAGGAATTCAGCAAATAGTTTCTAAACAAATAATGGCAATAATTTATATGTCTTGAACGCCTCATTGTATCTTCGGCGAATAGAATCTAGTGGTTTCCCATAACAACAGAATCTAACAACATGGCTGCCTCCATGTTTACGCGAAAGTAGTTCTCATTTTCATCCGCGGACACCTGTTTTCAGCTTGAATTTACGAATAGAACATCAAAATACAATGTCAACATTTTCACTATTGTTAACAGCACTTACCCACACGTGTAATATGTGAATTATGATTTAGAAAAATCAGGATGAAAAGAATTATCAAGGTGTAGATGGATCTATTTTTTACGTCGTATGAATATAGCATTGCCGTCGTCAACGCTAGTGTTTATGAAATGACCGAGAGAAGACTTCCATTACTCAAAGAACAGTTCAGTATGAAATAACAATCGGTGACATGCATTTGTGAAACACATGAATCAATAACTATGGATGACCCACGAATCGAATGGATTCGGAATCGAGTGCACCAATCACTTGATATCAGTGAAGTAGAAGTTTTCGAAGAATTGTTGGAACGGGATGATGGTGAAATAGAAAGACAACTTGGAAAATTCTTGAATGACACCCCAGATGACAATGAGTCCTCGATTTTGTTTTACAAGATTGTTCGTGAGGAAGAGGAGGAAGTTGAAGTCGAATGCGGTATATATATTTAACTTGCAATGCTGTTTAAAACTGCCGACGGCAACTTAATAAAAAATGAAGAGTTATCTTAATGATTATAATGAAATACAAGAACCTCAGTCTAGTTATTATTGTTTACTCGTCAGCGGTAGAAATTGGCATTAGTCCCATAGTCCCTGACAAATCCTCAGATGTTAAGGAATTAATAGATTTAGTAGAATATATTGTTTAATGGTCGTCAATATGACTGGTGGAAAAAATGTGAGTTTCTATGGGTCCTTTTTGTTGAGTCTTAATATCCCAAATACCTTTGAGAATTTATCACAGACTCACAGACATAAATTTTGAAAATGTATTAAGCCGTATTGTGTTTTGTAACACTTGTCTTTTAGTTGTAGCATTGATATTTTCTATAGTGAGAGAAAAGTTTTGCTTTAATTTTTTGTTTGTTCTTGGTCAAATTTCATACAAAATTTTAACTCCAGCATCATGGTCATCTGATATATGACTTGCACATGCAGATCACCCGACAAAATCCCTGTCAACTATTTGATGTAGCTATGCCATGTTAATACAATTTAGGAACTCATCCTTGATTATTTTCCATTTTGCAAATATTATTATGCCAAATAATCTATATGAACATTTAACAGCTAATGGCTCTTTCAGCCAGCTTAAAAAAGCCTTTGATAAATACTCTGGTTGCAGTGCCCAAGAAAAACATAACAAGACTTGTGTTGATTGTCATGTTGGGTTGTAATATAAAAACATGAATATTTTATCTGCAGGGGAAATGAGCATGTTTTGGGGGTACATGTATTTCCTCCTTGAACGCGTCTTTTATTTATTGGACAAGTTAAGTGATTGCAATATACAGAATTAATATGTTCAACATAATTGTCTCAATTCATCAATAGTTTTGGAAATAATCATCATTATCTATCTAGAATCTTGTTTTTGATGTGCTTGCTGTTAAAAAAACTCATTAAGTCTGGATGATTAATGTGATGCAGAGCCAGAGATACCTGACATTCAGCAGGAGGAGGAAGGTGCTGAGGGAGAGGGGGATGCTGCTGCTGGGGAGGACGATCCTGCAGCAGAACAAGCCCTTCCAGTCTCCACCCCCACAGGCACAGAGAGGGAGGAGGAAACACCCAGCAGGAAAGGTCAGTGCCAGTGATGATGATAACAAGTGAGTGAGTTTAGTTTTACCCCGCACTCAGCAATATTCCAGCTATATGGCAGCGGTCTGTAAATAATCGAATCTGGACCAGACAATCCACTGATCAACAGCATGAGCATTGATCTACGCCATTGGGATACGATGACTTGTGTCAACCAAGTCAGTGAGCCTGACCATCTGATCCCGTTAGTCACCTCTTACGACTAGCATGGGTTACTGAAGATCATTCTAACCCTGATCTTCACGGGTGATGATGATAACAATGATTGACCAGGCTGTAGGTAAATTTGCTATTTCTCATCTCCCTCCCTTAAACCAGGGTTTGCATTGGCTTGAAAATGCCTGAAATTTGAACATTTTACCATTAAAAGGCCCTAAATTCGTTTTAGCCTTGAGAAGGCCCTTATTGCTGGTGATTTGCCCTAAATAGGACCTATATTTAGCAAATTGTTTGAAGTTATACAGGAAATTAATGCATAATAAAAATACCTTGCAATGACAGTAGATGTTATTTATCTCCATCACGAAGCCAGACTTTCCCAGTACAGTGACATAGCTAAGAGTTATCTCCCCCTGATGGTCGGTCCCACATTTGACCAGCCTTGTGTGTATTCAACTACTTGTGTGTTATATGTGTTTCTATAGATCCTTACAATTGTTGATTGGGCCTTGAAAAGCCCCTGAAATGACCTTAAATGTAATGGCTAATAATCTGTACGAACCCTAATAATCACTGTCTTGCTAAAACCAGTTACATCAATCCATTTGCTCTTCCAAATGTATTCTTGTTCTGGACACAAATGAACAAATGTCCCATTTTAAGATAATATGCGATCAATGATATTATGAGGAATGTTCCCTGCCCCTGGTATGTGCTGACATTTAGTCAACCAAAACACCAACCAACCGTAAAAATTAAGTGGTTGACTGACTGACTGACTGAGTTTGGTTTTACGCCGCTTTTAGCAATATTCCAGCAACATCACGGCGGGGGCCACCAGAAATGGGCTTCAAACATCGTACCCATGTGGGGATTCGAACCCGGGTCTTCGGCGTGACGAGCCAACGCTTTAACCATTAGGCTACCCCACTGCCTCCTTAAGTGGTTGAAAGTATCCTGGCAGTTTGGATAATACTCATGAGATTGGCCACTGGTTTGTCTGATCCAGACTTGACTTTCATGTTGTTTTGGTACACAGATAGTAACAATGCTGAAATAGTGTTGCATGATGTTTTATTCAGGCAAGAAGAAACGTAAAGGCAAAGAAACGCCCTCATCAGAGTTGGAGTCTGACACTCCTCGAGAATCCGAGCCTGAAACTAAGCCTGAGGCTGACCCTGCTGCAGAGGAAGGACAGGGAGAAGATGGAGAAGAACTTGAAGTTGTTCAGAGAACGGTTAGAACAGAATTCTTTAGTTCAAATCCTGAAATATGTGTTGAATTAACAAATGGCCTACTAACAAACCCATACATTTACTGCAATGTCAAGAATGAGTCTGAAAATGCAGGGAAACTTATCATTACCTTGAAGTTAATAGCTGTCAATTGAGACATGTTTTGTTTTAAGTGCTGAAACAGCAAACAAAAAGGATCCGTGGTTTCCTTAAGTTACAGGCACTATTTCACACCACACCTCTCTAAAAATAGATAATGCATTTCTCTCAATAATACTAACCATCAGCCCTCAGGGAAGCTACCATATAATTAATTTCCAGTGCATATGCGTGCATATATGCCCCAATATATATAATATAGGCCAAAGTATTGTTGAAAATGTATAATTGAAATTGTACCTTTAATGTCAGTTTTGGTCATTGGTCTTTTGCTTTTTAGCGATTGAAAACTTGCATTTTACCTCTGCTTATGCAGCAGCACAGCCTTCCTTTTGACAGTAAACCTTCAGACTCTCTTCAGATCTCTAAGTCTTGTTTAAATCTTGTTGAAGTCTCTTTCCACTTGCCTCTCCCATTGGCCTTTTGGTGTGCTACAAGCACACATTGTGTATGGAGATTTGTGTTGTAGAAATGTAAATATGTTATTGTCCCCCTCCGCAACGCGGAACGGGGAACTAAGTATTCAGCGGCGTCCATACATACATCTCGATTCTTGTTAACGCAATATCTCATGAACTGTTGTACGCAATGTCTTCAAATTTGGTGACAGCCTATGTTTGGAGATTACGCAGACACCAGTTGATTTGGGTGACCTTGACCATATCTTCAAGGTCACCACGACACTTTGACCACTTTTCAAACTGTTGTTAACGTGATATCTCATGCACTGTTGTATCCAATCTCTCCAAAAGTGGTGACAGCCTACATTGGAGGGAGGATTATGCAGATACCAGTTGATTTGGGTGACCATGACCTTATCTTCAAGGTCACCACAACACTTTGACCACTTTTCAAACTCTTGTTAACACGAAATCTCATGGACTGTTGTACCCAATGTCTTCAAATTTGGTGACAGCCTACATTGGGGGATTATTCAGACACCAGTCGATGTGGGTGACCTTGACCTTGTCTTCAAGGTCACATGCCACTTTGACCACTTTTCAAACTTATGTAATCGCGACATCTCATAAAACATTGCACCCGAATGTCTTCAATTATGTCAATAGCCTACGTTGCGTTATCATTGGCAATGGACAAATAGAAGCCAGGGATTAATACAGGTATCAATGATGACTTAACAATGGTGGTTGTTAACAAGGGAAGCGAGTGGTCAATGGCGCTGATTGGTAACGGTAATAAGCAAATAAACAAGTAGAAGCCTGGCAAATAGAAGAAATAAATATATAAGTGTCAACCATTATCTTACCGTGCTGGGACATTTTCCATATTTTGCTTTGACAATAACATGGAGGGATGCAATTTAATTCACCGTATATGCAAGTATATCATAAGAGACCTATATAACACCACATCCAATCACTGCTTACTTCAATTTACAGAAGATCATCATTCAGAAGGTGTTGAGGACGTATCTGTACATGTGCTACCAACACCTACCAGAGGAAGTTGCTGACCAAGACAGCGTCTACTTCCTGCGTAACACCACCGGCATGGTGCCGCTTCCAAACACACTGGATGAAGCCAATGAAATGCTGCCGGGATACTTTGAGTTTGGTCTTCTCAATGGTCACTCACTGGTCATGTTGGAGCAAATCATCACACAGGTAACCGGCCACTAGTTGTTGTTTGTTGTTTTGTTCTTTTGTTGTTTAATTGTTTAATGTCATGCTCAGCAGTAATGCAGCTGTATCATGCAATGTATGACAGAAGTTGTAAATAATTGAATCTGGACCAGAAAATCAAGTGATTGACATGAATTACTCTTTGAGCTGTAATAACTAAGCAGTGAAATTTCAAATTTTATAAACTTGATAATCACGATAATGTAGTTGTTTTTTATCAAAGGCACAGAATCCAAGTCCTATATAATGTGTTCATTGTTGGTATTAGTAATGACAATGCCCTACATTTTCAGGTTTACATGCCTCTTCTGTCTTACAACCAACACAAAAATGGTGATGGTCGGTTAGGGACTAAGATGTCTGACCAGAGGTCAATGAGTCGGCAGGACACTGAGGTGAGCCTGTCAGATGGTGGTGACGAGGAAAAGGATGAAAAAGAGGTCAACGTTGCTGAAACACGAGCTCGGGCACTTCTGCGAGACGAGTTCCTGATATCCATGCAAAAAATTTGCTTCCAGCATCAGTCGCACTTTACAACAGATTGAAGGGGAGGTGCGCCTCGAGGTACCCGAAGTTGTGATCCCGGAGAGTATTGAGGAAATCACCAGCAATCAGGAACTGTTACAACTTGTTCAGGATAAATGCAATGAATGGGCTAAGCAAGTTCAAACAGCCCTGGAACACCAACTGAAGAAAGTCCCTCTTGGGAAAGGTCCTCTTGCGGAGATCGACTTCTGGCGAGAACGAAATGCAGCTCTTAGTGCCTTGACCGAACAGCTGAAAATTTCCGACAGTTCGTCAAATGTTGGACATGTACCTTCAGATTGATCTAGATTTTGAGGACCCAAGGACAGGGTTGAACAAGTATTATGTGGAAGCGAAAGACAATGTTCGGTTCCTGTCCACACTTGAAAGACATTTCAAGAATATTGCTCATGGTGCTACATTCCAGATAGTTATTGAGACGATTCCGTCCATGATGAATGCTTTACGGATGGTGTGGATCATCTCACGCCATTACAACAAAGATGAGAGGATGGTTCCTCTGATGGAAAGGATTGCCCTGGAGCTGGCTGACCGGGTGGCAAAGGTTATAGATATCCGAACATTATACAGGTAGTTTGCGTTTTATTTTGTTTAAATTTGTTCTTTTTACACAGTCATAGTCAATATGTTACTGCACTGTCACTGTGGTCTATGAATATTCAAATGGCTAGGTAAACCGGGGATTGATAGCACGAGCAAGGGGATCATCACATCCATGTCACATTGAGTAACTACTAAATCCTCATTTCAGACCCGTGAAGGTCCGGGTTAGAATTGATCTTCAGTAACCCATGCTTCTTGTAAGAGGCGACTAACGGGATTGGGTGGTCAGGTTCGCTGACTTGGTTGACACTTGTCATCGGTTCCCAATTGCGCAGATCGATGCTCATGCTGTAGATCACTGGATTGTCTGGTCCAGACTCGATTATTTACAGACAGCCGCCATATAGCTGGAATATTGCTGAGTGCGGCGTAAAACTAACCTCACTCACTCACTCATTTCAGCTAGCTTTTATGACAAGCAATTTGTCAGATGCAGTAGTTTCTGCCGAGTGCCAGGATCTGACAAGAATGAGTTTGAATCACTGATATGACCTGATTATATAATCCACATCAGACGGGGCTGTGGGGTAGTCTAGTGTTCGCTCGTCATGCCGAAGGTCCGGGTTCTATTTCCCACATGGGTACAATGTGTGAAGCGTATTTCTGGTGTCCCCCGCTGTGAAACTGCTGGAACATTGCTAAAAGTGGCGTAAAACCATACTCAGCTGGATATTTTGCTGAGTGTTGCGTTCAAAACTAAATACAGTAATTGCCTTGGTCTGTTTATGTCATCTCCATATAGGTTTTAACCAGAGTGGTATTATTTATAGCTGACAACACTTCTGGCTTTCTACAGTTTTGAAAGAAATACCATTAGTGAACCTAAAATACTTTTGAAAGTAGCTTTAAATCCAGATAACCAATTTTCTGTAGAGTTGCACCCCCTTTGTCGTGACAGGATTCACTTTCACATTAAGCTGATATGCTGTAATACAACTGTAGTACTTTGTACTTTTCAAGGCATGTTTAATCCACTGTGTCATATTACTGACTATTTTTTTCTGATGATGAACCTTAGTTACATTTCAAGATCGAATTTGGTTTTCCAGAAATGGCACTGAGGAGGTCAAACAGAAGACAGAAGAAGCCAAGAAAATGTTGATTGTCTGGAAGGATTCCTACTTTGATGTGCGAGCAAAGATTGAGCAGTCTGGACGAGACCAGAGATGGGAGTTTGATCGTAAGCGACTGTTTGATCGGACTGAGTACATGGCCGGCATATGTCAAGACCTGTACAATGTGGCACAGGTGAGTTCTGGAATGACTGTTTGAACACTAGTTAGTACTGAGAGAGTATACTTAGGCTGGCCAGTTAATACAGTTTTATATAGACAAACTTTCCAATATTTGGTTCTAAGTCTTTAGTAAACATCAGTAAATGTTCTTGGAAGGGAATGTTCAATTTCCAAATTAATATTTGTGTAGTTTGAATATATGTGAACACTTGGCCATGGTCATAAATGATTAGTGAGTGAGTGAGTTTAGTTTTACGCCGCACCCAGCAATATTCCAGCTATATGGCAGCGGTCTGTAAATAATCGAGTCTGGACCAGACAATCCAGTGATCAACAGCATGAGCATCGATCTGCTCAATTGGGAATCCGATGACATGTGTCAACCAAGTCAGCGAGCCTGACCACCCGAACCCGTTAGTGGCCTCTTACGACAAGCATGGGTTACTGAAGATCTAACCCGGACCTTTATTGGGGCATTGATGATTAGAGTTTAGAGCTATCATATGAAATGTATTATATAATCAATTCAGTGTTAAATTATCATTGAAATTGAGAATACAAGAAATGTTATAACATTCTTCTTGAACAATGTAAAATTATTTTAAAATATTCTTGTCAAGAACTCTAGCGTTTGAATCCTTGATAAATCACTTCAGCAGCCGGTCTGCAGCCTAGGTCAAGCAGATTGACATTTCGTCAAGTAGGCTTAGCCAGCGGTAATAACTGTAGAAACAGTTTGTCCGTTGAAAATGATGCCAGGAGACAAATTTGAATTTGTTCAAATTTGTAGATTAAGCTCTTGGGTTAAATATGTGATAATCATATTCAGTGAACAGGTAAAGCACTAACCTTCTTGTTGCCTGTGTCTTGATGTCAATGTAAAGTAATGTCAACGGATATTCTCTATGACTGATAACATTTTAACAAAAGTTTGTTTTGTTCTTTGAGGTACTTGCAAAATGTTCTGCCAAGCTACATTTGTATACATGGGTATGTTTTGTTAACAGGTCCTTGAGGAATTCTACAACATCTTTGGTCCAGAGTTGAAGGCAGTTACTGGTGACCCTAAAAGGATTGAGGATGTGCTAACAAGAGTTGATGCCCTTGTTACGCCACTTGAAGAGGTAATTACTCCAGTCGTCTCTCCTTGCCAATCTTACTAAAGCAGATACAGTGTCTCAACGTTAATATACTGTAAACGTATTATATTTCGCGCAGGTTTTATTTTCGCGCTTTTCGCGCAAAACATTTTAGCGCGAAAATTAATACACCGCGAATAAACCTGTCATTCATTCAGTCTAGCCACGCTCGCCCCTGAGTTGTTACCATAACACATCCAGTTTGAAGACAGAAATCTACGACTGATAGTAGCATAAAGAATCACACTTAACTGCCGCTGTAATGGATTTCGAAAAACATAATTAAATAATGAGCCAAATCCCATCGCCGAATTAGCGAAAACAGCAATGTGTGTTGTGGCCGCCATGGAAATTGGTCACATGACAGATGGTTTGATACAAAACAGATTACCATGAAATGACTCGGAAAGAAATAATACAGCAGTATTTGATTTATTCATTTAGATTTCTTTTACCAGTACATCATGAAGCGAATAGTCACTTAACACTCAATCATCTCATTCACAACAACCCGGCTTGTTTGAAATCACGAAGAGCTTCATATACAGTAGAAGTTAATTCGTCAGATCATCAGAATTCGGAACATAAGACTGATGTGTTTTTCATCTCTTCCGTGAGTAAACGGATTACTGTGTACTAGTATACCGCACAGATAGGGATTTCCTGTGAGTAAGCAATTAACGCCGCCTGACAGGTTAAGCCACTCTGTTTGTTTTCACTGCTATTAGTGGCGGCCAAAGAGACAGCTGGCAGTTCCGGCAATTACTGATTGCGCGAATAATTGACCGAGCGATGTAGTCTAAACTGTCAATTCCGCGAAAATTGCACCACGCGAAAATAAGTACGTTTACAGTATATGACCGGTTTGTTATCTTATTTTGTTGGCTGAATTTATTTATAGTGTTGTGATGAAAGCCAAAGAATGTGCATAAAATTTCAAATCTTGCCTTAAGTTAATGTCTTAAAAGTATTGGGATGTCAACTGTTCTGAAGCAGTGTTTACAAACAATGACCAAACCCCTCTAAGCTGTGTTTGCCTTTTGTCCATGAAAGAAGTTTCTGCTAATATATTATGTTCTCATGTAAACTTGAATCCTCTTTTCAAAGTCTTTTCTCACTGTAAGTTGTAAGAGTTTGGTTGTTTTTTTTGCCATTTGAAGTTCACTTGCATTGTCCCCAGGTTAGAGGAACAGACATTTCATTCACTTGAGTAAGGGGAGATAATTCAATTTTTGTGCCAAAGTTGTCTCCCTTGCATATTTCGAGGGTACCGTAAGTTTGTTTGAACATGCTGTATGGTTAATAAATTTTGTTAAATTTTCAGGTGACCTTTGACCCCTTCAGTCAACAAGACCAGAAGCACTGGAAACGGGTGATGGAGTCCTTCAACAAGGAGGTCCTTGCCATCGAGGGAGAAGCCAAGATGTTCATTGATGAATCATTCCAGTCTCTTCGTTCTGCTGAAGGAGCTTTCGACATGTTGCTCAATTTCAAACACATCAGGTCGCGAGAAGCCATTAACAACCAAATGATGCAGAAGTTTACTGACATTTTGTCCCAGTATAGCAAAGAGGTGATGTTCTTAGGCATTCTGTTTTATGTGATTAAGTATCAGGTGGGGTGCCATTACTGGTCCAGACTAGGGCTGGGACGGGTACTCGGGTACTCGAATCCGGTTCGGGTACACCTGGAATCGAATCCTATTTCTAGGAATCGAGTACCCGGAAAGGGAGAGAACTCTGTAATGACAAGGGCAGATAATAACTTGCCTTTTTCATAATTAACGTAACACACATGTATTTACATCATTGGTATTGTCCGATTAATGAAGGTTATTATTAACGACTGTAATTTATTGTACGCATGAGCGGCAGGAACGAAAAGTTCTGTGTTTTAACGAGGAATGTAAGTAATGCTGTTACTGTTTATATTGGTTAAATAGTCGTAAATTGAATAGCCTAAAATCTGTTTTAATATCGTATTGCCATCCTTTCAAGTTTCTTTAATAATCTCTGTCAAATTGTGATTGAATATTCAGAAAGTTGACAGAAGCGCTTTATTCCATACATTTTCGGGTACTCGATTCCGATTCGGGTAAGTACATGCGGGTACTCGATTCCAATTTTTCCTACCCGTCCCAGCCCTAGTCCAGACATGATTATTTACCAACTGCCATCATATAGCTGTAATGCTGCTGTGTGGGGTGTTAAACAGCTTACAAACAATCACAAGAGACAGGCTGAATATAACCATAAGAGCTTGTTGAGCAGAAATGATAAAGTCCCAATATTTTTTAAAGTAAAACAAAAGCCAGTCAGCTAACACCCAATGAAAACTTTTATTTCTACAGGTTGAGATCATGAACAACTTGTTCAGGAACTACAATGAAAGTCCACCTCTGCACAAGAACAACCCTCCTGTGTCAGGCTCCATCTTCTGGGAACGCTCACTCTTCCATCGCATCAAACACACAGTCATCCGCTTCCAGTCCATGGAAGACATGATGGCATCAGAGAGGGGGAAGGCGGTAAGTTCGGTTCCAGGAAAGCTACAGAATATCCTTTTTCGGTAACTTGGGGCGGTGGGGTAGCCTAGTGGTAAGGCGTTCATCCGTCATGCCGAAGATCCGGGTTCGATTCCCCACATGGGTACAAATGTTTGGGGATTTCCTCAAAATCTTAAGTAGTTTAGAGGTAAAGGAAAATGGGATAAGAAACACTGAAAATGAACAAGTTTTAAAGTTACCTTTCTTTCATGTAAGAGATAGATGGCTCATAATTTGCCAAAACTCCTTAAGTTTGGTAGATTTTAAGATAAATTTTCCACAGATTTTCATTATAGTTTTTATATATCATTATGTTACTGTGTCATCAGTTTCTCAATGACATGTAAAACAGTTTACTGTAATTTTCAATATTCCAGTCTCGAGCCAACTACCTGCGTGTAGGCAAACAGATGAAAACTTATGAGGAACAGAAGTATGAAATGTGGAGGGGAGACAGTGGAACAGGTGCTGCCATCTCTGCTGAAACGGAATCTGCTGGTGAAGCCATCACATCTACAGAGTCACCAGCTTCATCTACAGCATCAGCTGCAGCTTCAGCAGCAAGCTGTTCATCAACAACAACAACAGCAGCAGCAGCAACAACAGGGTGGAGGTGATGAGGGAGGGGAAGATGGAACAGGTTGGTGTTGACTTTTTTGTTAAAAAAAACGTTAATATTCATCAACCTAGCAATAATAAGACTTTTTATACAGTCGAAAGTATGTTGGAAAAAGTGAATGGTAAAGAAGGATATGATGTGATACATGTACAAGAAATACAATGTACACGTGCAAACTGTCTTTAAATCAAATGCTTCATGCTTTTGTACTTGTCAACATGAGTTGTTTGTTGTTAAGGCTTTGATCTCATATACCACTGTTACGTTATAAATGTTTTTGATCTCTTGCTCAAACACCTTAATTCTAGCATATTTCATATGATTACCACATATTGCTTTTGCTCTATAGATAAGCATGTAATTCACAGATTTATTCTGTATATACCACAAACGTTTTGCAAATTGTTATATTATGTTACATTGATGTTAAATTTCACTGACATGAGCACGGTGGTTTGGGCATGATGCATAAGGCTTGTGTTGAAAAAAGTTCATTGGGCCGATCCACAAACCGTTCGTAGCAATACATCATTCGTAAACCTATGATGTACTATATAGTTACGATAGCTCGTAACATTACGAATGCTTAGTGGATCAGAACCCTGGAGCATGCTTTCTTATTGCCTGCTATAAAATATTTGTCACATGTAAAGTTTGGTCACTTGTCACTTGTCACATATGTATTCTGTGCTTGTTCAGTGGTGCAGTCAGAATTGACCGAAACAATAGCACAAACCCAGGATCAAGATGGTATGTCAAGGGTTTGGCGTGATGTGTGCACGTGGTGGCAATGTTTTTTCCCCCGATTTTTAGTTGAGATCTTCCTGGAACATGGTGTTGTTATTCTCACTGCATGGGGCACTTGTGTTTTTAGTTACACGGTGAAAAATGAACTGCAAACATATGTCACAATTCAAAAATGTGTTTACATAAATAGTTTTAAAGCTTCTAGAAACAGATCGAGAAAAATGGCTATTTTTGGCTATGAGATGTAATTGCGACAAAAAGGAGACCACTACTGTCATTGTTCAAATATACTACTCACACTTTGCTAAGGATAAAAAAAACAACTTTACTTAAATGTAGATTTATAATTTGAAACTGTATCCATTTAAAACTGGATGAATAATAATATGGTAAACCCTCTTTAGGCAAACAGTCACTTTATTCAAACCGTATGGACTTGATACATGAGTAACCATAAAAATTGTTTTCATGGCACCAATCAACTATTTTGCAAATCATGGAAGGAGTCATTCAATGACAAGTACACAACACCTGTCAATAGCAGGTATGGGATCCACAAGATGCAATGACATACTGAAACATAGGATCCATGCTTACAATAAGCTAAGATATTTAAACCAAATTTGACCCCACATCATAGTTTTCTGTTGAAGTCATGATTTGATCCTTAACAAAGTGTGAATAGTATATAATCATGAAAATTTAGGAGCCCTTTTGTTAAAATCCAACTTTTAGAGCGACCCCAGATTTAGACACCACAGCAGTAAATCATCTCGAGTCTGGGTCCTAATTTCTAACTCTGTTTGAATGGAGCCAGAGCTCATTAAGAATTACTATTCATTATTCATTCTTTGTATGATGCCTTACAAGGATATTTTACTCATTTTTGAATTGTGATTCAAATACGAATGGGAGAATATTTTTTTTAACTTTGTGAAGGAAAAATATTAAATGTTTATACTTTTTATATATAGAAGTGATGATACTGTTTATTTTTTCTGACTAATTCTGGTGAAAATGGTATATGTTAGTTAACAATGGACATGGGCAGAATGGAAACTAGATAATGTCAAGTCATTTATGAAAATATTCATGGCTCGTAGTTAAGATACTGACATGTGAGATATAGTTTACGCCTCGTCTGTCCGTCGATCCTTCCATTCGTAATCATTTTGTTTTCGGAGCATAACTAAAACATCGTTTAATATCTTTCAACAAAACTTGGTAGATATATCAAACAGAACCTAAAGTGGTGCCTTTTGCTATTTACAGATTATTGTCATTTTTAGTTTTCTCGGTTTCCATGGAAATGTTTTGGCCTTAGTCTACAAAATTCAAGTTGGACTTTTAGTAACTCTCAGATGATTTGTTCTTTCAAATTTGTGGGTGCCAGGGGGATTTGTCATCTTCTGATGACTCTTGTTTTTATCTGACCCGGATTTATATGTGTAGATTCGTAGTTTCAGCTGTGTAGTCCTGGTAGTTGGTGTATGTTCTGTGTTGTGCTGTGTTTGTAGTTGTCGATCACACTATCATAATAGCATTAAAGGGGGATTACTCTCTGGTCTTGGTAAATTTGACACAAGCTTACAAAATCTGCCTTGATCAACTGTGTTTCAAACCAGCATTTAGCGAGTTTCTAATTATGTAGAGATAACATGCTCTGGATAGAACAGAGCCTGAGACCACAGAGCATAGTCCCCTGTTAATGATGTCGGTAGACTTGTTTCATCATCTGTCATAGTATATAAATGTGAAATAATTATTGATTTGGGCTTAATGTAATTTATAAGTTCTTATAAGACAGTGATTGAAAGCCTGTTTGATTTGTCAGCATCAAGTAGGTCAGTGATGATGTCAGTCCACAACTGGTATTGGCAGCATCTCATATGATAATTTCAAAAACATCATGAATTTCCACCAAATTGAGCATGAAGATAACACACTTCGAAGGTCAAATTTCATGGTCTGCCAAATGGTCAGTTGGCTAATCTATTGTCTTCATTATTAAAACTATCCTGGAAATGTTGTCAGAAGGTATATAAAAAACAAACATTTACCAATACTCATACTTGTTCATGTTCAACAATGAACTCACTAAACCATTATAGAGAAAGACAAAATGTCTCAGATTTTCCCTCATGAAAGTTCCGGGCTTGTCGTAAGGTCACTGAATAGATCACGTGGTCCGGCTCGCCGAGTTCGTAGATGGTAATTAATTATTACTCTTTGCTTTTAAAAAACAATGCACAGGATGACATCTTTTATCTGGAATATTTCTGGGTGCGGCATTAAACAACAATGTTGACGTGTCCATATTCTTGGAAATTGTGTCTGAAGATTTTACAAAAATTGTGCATAAGTTCTCAGAAACATGACCTTTGAACACTATTTATACCAGGAGTTAGAAAACCCTGTTTTGGGTTGAGTATCGTGAATGTGCCTCAATACAGACCTCTGTTAAATTGTTTTAGTATATTTGTTGTAAGTGATATGTATTGTTGGTTCCCGGAATGTTACCAGCCCCAGTTTGTGACAGAATATCAGACAATTTAGGTAAAGTAATATATATTTGAAAAATTAATAATATTAAAATTGTTGGAATGACATGTGAATCTATTCCTGTTATAAGGCAAAAGTGGACATGAAAATTGCAATCATTCAAACTGAATTGTTGAAATATTAGAATCTTGAATGATTCTTAAGCTGTCCCCCAACCAAGAGACCATAGACCAATCTTCTGTGTAAAATACAAGTACTTGCGTCTTGTGAAAACGCAAGCATGTACAAAGTCAAACAAGGATATGCACTAGCATTTATGCTTTATCATTCATTATATTAGCTATAAGGAAATCCTTTTGAATAATTCATCAATTATTATTTTAAACTGTGGAATAACAATAATCATTCTCAGTAGTCATAACCTGTAGACAGCATCATAATACACAGGCAGTGAGACTAACAGCTGCAGTCTCCTACTTATATGTCCAGTTGGTCATTAATAAGTCTGTTCACAGGTAATGCCTTCCATATTAAGTACGTGGTGGACTTTGACCCCCAGCTGGCGGAGATTGTGGCGGAGACACGCTACATGGAGCAGCTAGGGTTCCCAGTGCCGGAGTTGGCACGGAGCGTAGCTCTCCAGGAGGAGAAGTACATCAAGTATGTAGATGGACTGAAACATATGCTTATCCGCTACCATCTTCTCCTGGCATCGCTGGACAATGCTGAGGTGAGATCAGATTTGCAGATAAGCTGTGTACAGTGGAAGTTGTCAATACTGGCAGCTGTCCAATCCGGCAAGTTGTCAACACTGGCATAAAATCTCAGTCCAATCCCTGACTTGTACATATATCATCATTTAAAAGTTTTGCAATCCGGCAGCTGTCAATTCCAGATCTCATGAAATGAGACGCCCGAATGTGTGTTTATACAGTAGTCAGCGCTCTCTAATGGCGAGGAGTCGGCCGGATGTGCATTGTCACCAATTAATCCTGTGTTGAAACTATATGGTTGCTGACAAAGATAATTTAATCTTAGTTCAGTATGGGTATACTTGTACATGGAATTAGTGAGTATGAGCTCCAATCGTTGTCATTTATTGTCAGTGTGTGCAGTAATTGAGAGAACCACATGATACAGCAATGTACATTGTATAGGAGAGTGACAAAACTGGTTCAGTTCTAGTCGGAGGTAACCGTGTCAGATCTACAATCCGGAACACTGTCTAAACCAGATTATTTCTTCAGTCTTGATGAGTTCTGGTTTAGACAGTTTCCACTGTATTTGTATTAAGTGCAAAATTTGAACACCATAATCCACAACATTTTGAGATTTTTGTGTAGAAGGACATTGCCCATTTTCAGAAAGCAATCTTAGCATTGTGAAAGTCATAACTCCTAAACATTGATATTGGCGTATATTGTCGAAGCACTATAGATTGCTTCATGCATGTTGACCTACATCCGGGTTAGAATTGGCTTTCAGCAAATAATGCTTGTCGTAAGAGGCGACTAACAGGATTGGGTGGTCATGATTGCTGACCTGGTTGACACATGCTAAATTGCACATATCAATGCTCATGTTGTTGATCAATGGATTGTCTGGTCCAGACTTGATTATATACAAACTGCAACCATATAGCTGGAATATTGCTGAGTGCGGCAATAAACAACAAATGATCTAACAAACAAATAAAACAAACATCTATTCAGGACACCTAAGAAGTTAACTGAAACAGCATTTTAAGCAGAATTATGTTTTCATTTCACAAAGCTAGATCAAAGAGACAATACATTGGATACCAACTCCCACACACACACACTCTCAGCCCACACACACATACACAAAATTGTCAAATACCAAGTGTCAATGATAACATGAGTTAAACCTCAATGGCTGAAAAAATGTCTGCTGCCCTGTGAAAGATGATAAGCCTTCAAGGACTGTGTACTGTACTTAGATGCTGATACAGATACTCATGTATGAAATTTTACATACAAACACAGTTTTAAGTTTTGTAATTGTTAAAAATATTATTTTTTTCAGTCTGCCCTATTAGAAGATCACCAGCGAGAGCTGCGGCGTTTTTTGCGACCAGGATCCAAACGTCTCAACTGGAACTCCCTTGGTATCAATGACTACGTGCAGAAGTGCATTTCTGTGAGTTCTTAGATTGTATTCTTTGAAATGTATCTCAAGATGCACACAAAGGGGATTTACGTAAACAGAAGTACTTATGGCAAGAATCCCCCCAAATGTCTTCCTGGATTTGGTCAATCTTGAAACTATTAAACATGAGAAGATAGAAATATCTGAAGAGGAAAATATTTTTATTTTTCCTTATCCTGACTCATGATCTTTGCTTATCTCCCTTTTCCTTTCGAATGGTAGTGGAACACTTGAATCCCTTGAAGTTCCCGAAGCGGACGTACAATACTCACCCACGAGTTACCTCCCTTTGCCCTTTCCCGCGCAAACCAGTCATGTGACGCGCCTTACTTGTCACTCTCTCCTGATTTTCTGCCCATGCACTTTGTGTGAATGTAACTTTCATCATATAAAAATTCAGAGGATGAGTGGATGACAAGAAAGCAGATGACATAGAAAGCATGAAACAGTAATACAAGCTTAACCAACTAGGCACATAGTAAAAATTTCAGATAACTTTTTGGAACACAAGGGAAAATAATCTGAAGTGTTTAATGTTGATTCCTTTTTCCCCATCCACAGAGCAAGATATTTTTCAAAATACTCTCTAAACCTGTCTGACGATTTTCACCCAAGAAGGATTTTTGTTTGAAATTTTCTGTAAATTTGATGATATCATTCTATTGGCAGGCCTTGATATATTGTTAGTTAGTGAAAACATCATCTATTAATGATTGTATGCACTCTCATGATATTTACAGGCCATTGCAAAGTTTGAGTCTCTAGTCAACCAGATTCAGAAGAATGCCCGTGACATCAACCAGCGACTGTTGATGATAGAGAATGCAAACCTCTACAAAGGGCCACCGCCACCAAAAGTCCAAGACCTCCTGCCAAGCTGCAAGGTAGTCATGGTTACCACTGTCTTTGCATTGTGGTCAGATAATTTGTACATACACATATACAATAATATGTCTGTTACACACTTTGCCAAGTGTATGCAGGGATATAAAAGGAACTTAGTTTGTGAGTGGGTGAGTTTAGTTTTACGCCGCACTAAGCAATATTCCAGCTATATGGCGGCGGTCTGTAAATAATCAAGTCTGGACCAGACAATCCAGTGACCAGCATGAACATCGATCTACACAATTGGGAACCGATGACATGTGTCAACCAAGTCAGCGAGCTTGACCACCCGAACCCGTTAGTCCCCTCTTATGACAAGCATGGGGCTTACTTTGTGTGTCCTGGCAGGTATTATATTGAAATAGAACGGATGAAATATTTTCAATGAGCATTGGCGGCACAATAAAAATCATGAAAATAATAGTCACCATGATTATTAAATCGAAACTGCTGTAACGCGTTTGACCTGAGTAACTCAAATGATTAAAAACTTATTTTTGCACCCAATGAAACTGTTTATCTGTGGTGTTCTCAATGCCCCAGGTTAACATGGACATGGTCATTTGACAGTCTACAAAACAGGAACTTTGGGGGGGAATGATAGCATAGATGTGGGTTAGGTTGTGGGGCAAGGACAATATGAAGCTGAAATATTCTTGCAGTCATGATAGTGTTCAGGAAATCCAGATTACAGGTCTGTATGATGTTTATTGATGTTTCAAACAATAAATTCACAGGAGGTGTAGTCCAGGTCCTGTTATCTTAGTACACCATCATTTTGCCTGAAAATTATTGAGTATGGCTGTAAACAAACAAACATGATGTTGTGTGCTATTGGATATTAACGGTGACATTCTATTTTAAAACAGGAGTTCTTTGAACATATTGAGCGTGAGCGAGGGAAGGACTTCGAGATTCTGGCCAGGAAATATCGTGCAATAGGTCCTCTGTTGACCAAGATGGAGGGATTAGTTGTCCACACAAACACTGGACGCTCCCCCAAACTTCATCAGTATTACTCCTACTGGGAGAAGAAGGTTTATGAAGCTCTCACAAAGGTAGGAATGTACTTCATGGTCAGGATCTGTGTTTGACTGTCTTTTTTTAACAAATGCTAGTTGCCATTGATAGATTTGACGTCTGCTTCCTTAGTTTATTGGAAAGAAGACTTCAATGAAATGAGTTTGTAGTTTCCTTTCTCATCCTTATTTAAATCCACTTATGGATTCTGTGTTTAAATAGGATGAAGAAGAAGATGAAGAAATATAGTTTATTGCTGTGTCACATGCTTAATTACAATAAAAGGCATTTCATTATTCCAGGGATTTAAAAAACAGGATACGGCCATGGCCTATGAGACATAAATATCAGTTTAAAATAACAGTGCAAATTTCTTTTTATGGTAATTCTCTATTATAGTATTAACAAATCCAAACGTGGAGCTGAAATTTCTAAGCGCCTAACAATTTCTGTCATAGGTATACAAGATGGTTACTGAAATATTAATGGTGTACTCATGTTTTTGTATAGTTGTGCTGTGTGATTTGCACATTCTACATCAAAGTTCTCTTATTTTCCAGTTAATCAACAATAACCTGCGTCGGTTCAACGCAGCGTTAACAGGAGAGAAGGCTTTATTCCAAGTTGACACACTTCTTGCTGCCCCTGATGTGATTCTTCACCCCCAGACCAACGAAGTCTACAAGCTAACACTGCAGTGTGTCCGCGACTGTGTGGAAGGGTAGGTCATTAACAGGAAGACTGCAGGATTGTGGGATATACGCAGCATTTTACTTCCACAAATTGAAAAGTCAGTGCGCGCGCCAAATTTCATGCAGTTGTTTTGTTGATTAAGTGTGAAATATAGTTTATCACAAATAATTTTAACAAAAATAACAATGTAAACAACACTTTAGTAATTAACATGTCAATCATATACTGTCACTGGCATCTTGAAAAACACAATAATCATTGCTTATCATGTAATACAGTATCCCAAGGTATGTATGGTCATGTCAAACATTCTAATTGCTTTCTTGGAATTCATCAGTGAGCATGATGACTTGTCTACCTTTATGGGCTGTGGGATAGCCTAGTGGTTAAAGTGTCCACTTGTCAAGCTGAAGACCCTGGTTCAATTCCCCACATGGGTACAATGTGTGAAGCCCATTTTTAGTGTCCCCTGCTGTAATGTTGCTGGAATGTTGCTAAAAGAGGGGTAAAATCATACTCACTCACTCACTCACTGTCTACCGTTTCCTGGAGTGCTCAGATAGTGAGGACGTACACTTGTTCAAAATCATAATCAGGGTTTTACCTCAACTCTCAAAGATGGCGGTCCCAGGGTCCCACAGTTATTAGTTATAAGGGACGTAGCAGGCAGTATGTGGGTCCTGTGAAGTAACTGTTCAGAGAACTGTAGGTGTTGATAATTTGTTTAGAGCTTGGAGTGAATTGTTGGTCATGTGAACTGATGGATGAAATGATGCAATAACTGCTCTGAAAGAAACAACCAAAGACTTTGCGAACTCATAGATGTGTTGTGGTACAGCGAATATCATTTTGCATCCCTCTGGACGCAGTGAATGTTTTCATTCTCCATTCCATTCTCTACATTTGTACATACTGGACACACATTTGTGCATCTCGTAAAACCATGCATAAGACATATGCATCCCTGTATGAAGAAATTAGGTGAGGTGAGGTGAAATTGGGTTTAATGTCGTGCTTGAGAATATTTCGCTCATATGACGACGTGCATGCCTGTGTATGTCTATGTGCATCTGCTTGTACTAGCCCAGACTGAAGCTGGTTTTATAGTGCTAGCCCACTGAGATACCATGTCGCAGTGAAGCATGAATACCCCACTCAGACACATTATACTGACTCCGAGCCGACCAGTCCTTGTTGTACCCATTAATGCCGAGCGCCAGGCAGGGACCAACAAGTACCATATTTTAACGTCTTTTGGTATGATGCGGTCGGGGATCGAACCCGCGACCTTCCGCTCTCCGGGCGGACGCTCTAACCACTACACCACAGAGGCGGTCACACACACACTGAGGGAGGGGTCAGCAAGCGGGAGTGGGGTGATTCATTTCTCTCATAAGACTATCCGTTATCATTGGGTGGGAAATGGTCCTTGACATGATGTTGTGACATTTGTGGATTTTAGGACAAAGAGTTTCGTGCGATGGATGAACGGCACCTGCATCGAGACGGCGCCACAGAAGGTTGACGGAGAGGATGAGCTGTTTGTGTTCAGCTTCTTTCAGGACATCTCCCAGAACCCGGAGATCATTGAGTTGGTTCAGATTCTGGCACAGAACATCAAAAACACACTGACCAGTCTCCAGCGCTACCTCAACAGATGGAAGAAGTACCGGAACATCTGGAAACCCGAGAAGGTAATTCTAGGTGTTGGGGAGTAAGTGAGTGAGTTTAGTTATGCGCTGCACTCAGCAATTTTCCAGCTATATGGCGGTGGTCTGTAAATAATCGACAATCCAGTGATCAACAGCATGAGCATCGTTCTGCCTGACCACATGATCCCGTTAGTTGCCTCTTACGACAAGCATGGGTTACTGAAGATGAATTTTAACCCGGATCTTCACGGGTCTAGATGTAGGGGTCTGCTGTCCAGATGGTCATATTGAAATATGCAGTCAGAGATCTGTTCATAAACTGAAGGGGGCGGTAGCCTAGTGGTTGAAGCGTTGGCTTTCATGCCAAAGACACGGGTTCGAATCCCCACATGGGTAAATGTGTGAAGCCTATTTCTGGTGTCCCCTGCTGTGATGTAGCTGGAATATTGCTAAAAGCGGCGTAAAATCCAACTCAGTCAGTCAGTCAGTCATAAATTGAATGTAACAGGGTTTGCAACAGGCTTTAAAAAGCCTGAAATTTAGTATTTTACCATAAAAAGGCCCTAGATGTGTTCATGATGAGGCCCTAATTGCCACTGATTTGCCCTTAAAAGTACCTATATTTAGCAGAACCTGTCTGATTTTACAGGAAACTAATATGTAATAAAAATAGCTTGCAATGACAGTAGATGTTATTTATCTCCATCACAAAGCCAGACTTTCCCAGTGAAGCGATGTAGCTAAGAGTTATCTCCCCCTGATGGTTGGTCCCACATTTGACCAACCTTGTGTGTATTCAACTACTTGTGTGTTATATGTCCATCACGAAGCCAGACTTTCCCAGTACAGTGACATAGCTAAGAGTTATCTCCCCCTGATGGTTGGTCCCACATTTGACCAACCTTGTGTGTATTCAACTACCTATGTGTTATATGTGTTTCTATAGATCCTTAAAATTGTTGCTTGGGCCTTGAAATGCCTCTAAAATGCCTTATATTTGATGGCTGATAATCGGTACGAAACCATGGAAAATAGAAAATTCTTAAATCAAAAACATTCGCCTTCAGCTATAGAGGTTATCATGCAAGTGTGTTTTAAAATGGTAAATATTATTAGGAAAGGTGAGCCAACACTACTTGATATAACTGTAATGATGTGTTCAAAGCAGTGTTAAACCCCTCCCTCTCTCCCTCCCTCCTTCCTCACTCACTCACTCACTCACTCACTCTAACTTCCATCAACAGATGCAGATAGCAGAAAAGTGGTTCCAGAAGGGCCCCACAGTGGTAGCCTTCGATGAGAAACTCCAGCACTACTTCAAGACAATCGAGGAAGTGGCGACGTTGCCTGTCATCAAAGATCAAGAGTGTATCCGGCTCCACATGGAGCCGCTGTCTCGTGCTGTCAAAGAAAACGCCACCCAGTGGATTGACTGTCTTGGCAAACTGTTACGAGACTCGGCTAAAGAAAGTCTGTATGAACTTCAAGATTCTTTAGAGGTGAGAGTTCGGCTATGATCTTTAGCTTAAATGCTGACCTGTAAAATATGCATAGTTTGTGTGACTTAATTTTAAATGGAATTTGATACCTGATTTTAATCCTATTTGGGCCAATCAGGGTCATGGTAAACTGCCTGTTGTAAGAGGTAATTGTACTAGAATCAGGTGGTCATAGTTGCTGCAATCTCTTACTGAAAAATTACTTGAAAGATACTTAAATTGTGCTCATACTATTGACCACTGGTTTCTGTGGTCCAGGCTAATATTGTGTACAGACTTTGGTTATATGGTTCACTGCAATATAGAACCTCTTGTACTAAACCATTTCATTTCCAGAATACCTATTGCTATTGCTGAAAGATTGCTTTATAATTGCTGAAGGTTGCTGACTGTCACATCTATTTTCAAACCCACTCATACTGATTGATATCCCTGTGACGATCTTGGTTAGAATTGATATTCAGCAACCCATGCTTGTCTGAAAAGGCGACTGGTGTCATAGTGAGCTAAGTGAGTGAGTTGGGTTTTACGTCGCTTTTAGCAATATTCCAGCAATATCACGACGGGGGACAACAGAAATGGGCGTCACACATTGTGCCCATGAGGGGAATCGAACCCGGGTCTTCGGCGTGACAAGCCAACACTTTAACCATTAGGCTACCCCACCGCCCTCTTAGTGGTCTAAGGGGCAGTGGGGTAGTCTAGTGGTTAAAATGTCTGCTCGTCACACCGAAGACCCCAGTTCGATTCCCCACATGGGTACAATGTATGAAGCCTATTTCTGATGTCCCCCGTCGTGATATTGCTGGAATATTGCTAAAAGTGGTGTCAAACCATTCTCACTCATAGTGGTCTGACCCACATGTCATCGTATCTCAGTTGTGTAGATCGATGTTCATGATGTCAGTCACTAGGCTGTCTGGTCCAAACTGGATTGTTTACAGACTACTGTGATATAGCTGAAATATTGCTAAAACATAAAACAAACATATGATGGACTTTGTGATTGATACGACATTATCATTTTATAGTTTTCAGCCTGGATTGATGTTATCGTAAATATAACGAACATGTCTAGTTTAGAGCGTTATACATGTTATAGATTACAGTGGCAGTCGATACGTCTGTTTCACATAGCATGACGTCTGATAGTGAAAGCGCGCTGAGCGATTTAAGATCATAATTCGTGGTATGCTGAACGGCATGTATACTTATGACTAGTTTAACTTTAAGTTACCAAATGTTAGAAATATTGAGTTGTGCGAGTGCATGCTATATGGCTGCTTGGTGATAGGACGTAATAAGAAACATGTCATGTTAAACGTGTACATGTCATAGTCATGCTGCTGCTTATGACCGAATTCAGATTAGTTTGACATGGATTATATTGATGTCATGCATTCATATAATATATTATGGGGTGTTATCGACTGGAAAATATTAGATAATACCCAAATGATCTTTGAAATGTGCACCCAAAATCTGTTTGTTATGTTAAGCCCAAGATCACACAACTACACTACTGCAATGGGCATGTGATGACTGATGATCAAGATCAGAATTGAATGAATAGGCTGAAAAAGTTAAACGTTTGTTTCTCAGGCAATGTGATGCAAGATATATTTGTACTTTTGTGAAAAAAGACAAACAGTGTACCTTAATACATAAATTTCGAACTTTGTCTTTGTTTGGAAATAAAATATCATGTTGCTTTTGGTTGTCACAGCATTGCCAGAGAAAGAAGACATTTAGTATTTCAGCCTTAGATAGTATAATATAAGAAGACAGTTACAAGCATCTGTGTCATGAATGTATCATCACGTGCATGTTTAAATTAGGGCTGTTATGATCCACTTTGTCGCGATATGATCTGTATCAGAACGGTGAGGTTGCATTATGATTCACAATGTATGAAAACTCAATACTTGACAGGTAGTATTTTTGCACTCAAACAGTGACAGCTAACGGAGGCAAAACATATTTAGTTAATATGCGTCAAACTTTTGGCTACTGTTTCACATACAGTACATTGGTTGTTGTACATCCTTGCATTGTGATTCTGTTAACAGGCTCATTTTCTGATACACATATCGTGATTCACTGCATTTAGGGTGAATTCTAACAGCCCTTGTGTAAATACAGAAGTATGTTAGAAGTATATATCTATGCTAGCTGATGTTGTACAAGAAGGTACCGAAGGAGCAGCTCAAAAACTATATCAGTAAACATCATAATTCCATAAGTTATAAGAGTGGAGGGCTAACAGATCTTCAAGTTTTCCATTTGACAAAATCGACTTTCTAGAGTTTTCACAATTCAAGTCTAGACAGTCACATGTAACATCTGTAATCATTATATTTTACTTGAAAAAAGCCATCCTTATGGTCAAAATAGATGATCTAGATTAATAAAGCACATTCTTTCTAAAAGTATGTTTTTCACAATTAAGTTTTATGAGGTGTGTGGTTGCTCTCAAATCTTCTGGAATTATGGTTTTCATCAAATAATTGAACTGCTCCTAAGCCAGGTACTGCGATAGCTGCTGATCATACTTTGAGGAAGTGTAAATAGTCATGTAAGATGCATATTAAATGTAGTTTCTTTCTTGATTTTATACTAGATCTATTGTGTAAGGATCAGCCTTTAAAGGATTACTTCAACCTGTGATATGATTGCTAATTGATGAATAAGGTTATATGGAGATCACTGTTGGAGAACAAAGACCCCCACAGATATATAATTTGCTGTCAACTTGTTAAACTGTCGGACTACTAGTGGACAATATCTTTCATATAAATTAGTCGTATCATCTTAAGATTTCATGGCGAACTCCCTGATTGTAGAATGCTTCAGACATTCATTCATGACGACATGCTTTGGTTTCAATATTGTATGTTCTGTGTATTTTGCATGTTTTATGTTATATTTTACGTTCATCTGTTTTCAGACCAAGTCTGATGATCTGGAACGGACTCCAACATCTCTTGAAGATCTCAAGTATGTTCTGTCCACCATTAACGACATCCGGACCATGTCACTGGATGTTGAGACGAAGATCCGAGACATCCAGGAGAGATATAGGACACTCAGTATATATGACATACAGGTAAGGCTCAGATCAATTGCTGTCTTGTTATGTCATGTTGGGTTAGAATAGTTCTGGGTTAAAAAACACAGTCCTTTGTCATAAGGTGACGTGAGGTGAAATGGGGTTTAATGTCGCACTTAAGAATATTTCCTCATATGACAACATGCATGTGTGTGTATATTTCTGCTTGTACTAGCCCAGACTTAGCTGGTTTTATAGTGCTAGCTCACTGAGATACCATGCCGCAGTTAAGCATGAATACCCGACTCAGACACATTATACTGACTCCGAGCCGACCAGTCCTTGTTGTACCCATTAATGCCGAGCGCCAGGCAGGGACCAACAAGTACCATAATTTTTCCTTATCCTGACTCATGCTCTTTTGCTTGTCTTCTTCTTCTTGCGAACATAGTGGAACACTTGTATCTCCTTATTTGAAGCTCCCTTCAAAATAAAATCACTAATTGGTACTCACCACGAGTTGCTCCCCTTTGTCTCCCCTGGCGGGAAAAGGTGTCGCCACCCTCTGGCCATGTGCTTCACTCTCTCCTTCTTCGCCCAGTGAGCAGGATGTGAGAGCGCCTTGTGTCTCCTTACACACATATCCTTTGATAATCTCTTAGTTTTTACCTCTCATAGGTTACTATAGAGGTATAGCTAGTATCCTTTACTATTTGTATTGATTAATTATCGTATTTCTACTGTTTATTCACGTGTATTCGTGATTGTTCAGCTAGCTTTACGTTCATGAAAATCTGTACGATTTGTAGATTACGTTTTTCTGCCTCCGATCCACATGTAATATGCCCTAGTTGTTCTACGCCGTGTGCGTTTAATTCACGTTGCAGTTACTGCATTAATTTATCTCATTCTGCATTTAATAAATATCATCTTTGCGTCTTAAGACGTGCTGCAGATAGATCACGCAAACAAGGGCAAAACATGGCAGAGAGTCCAGATATTCCTTCCAGTCAGCTGCTAGCGATCGACCCTCTCCCGTCTGGTGTTCTGCTAGAGACCCCCTGCGGCAGAGGCGTGGGACGCAGTCCGTTACCTCGAAGAAAGCGACCGGCCTCCCCAGACATCCCGTCATTGCAGACTAAGTCTAAGAGGGCCTCATCGTCGTCTCAACGCAGATTGAGGACACCAGGGCAGCGCCAGACTTCCAAAGGGAAATCACGAAGACAGCAAGAACTTTCTCAGCCGAGATCGTTCCAGCAGCAGAGTTGGGCCTCTACGATGATCAGCCGATAATCATCCCGACTTACGGCAGAAGAAGCGACCGGTGTCAGCGACTGTGACTTCTGCAGAGATCTCCATGCAGCCTGATGCCTCTACACCGACGTCAGACGTCATTGATGTGAACCCCATCGCAGAAAAGACGCCGACGACTTCGTCACAGATCATCCCAGAAGACATGATGCGGCAGATTATGAACATCATGGAGGACCACTACAAACTGCGCAAGCAGGGTCCGAGCCTTTGCGAAGGCTCCAACGTAGACAGCACCCCAGAGGCACCCCCCGTCAACGTAGCAGCCAAGACGATGTCACCTTCGCGAAGGAAGTCCCGCACCACCTTGACGAAGGACCTAGATGTACAGCCTTCGCGAAGGCCTTCGCGAAGGCGGGGAGAGATCATCACCATCTTCGATTGCAGCAAGAATGTCTGAAATTCACGCTCTGGATTACGAGAGGATACAGTTTGATGACAATCATAACACAGCGCACCTCGGATTAAGATGGGATTTCATTGCAAAGAATCAACTGCCAGGTCAACCAGACAGATTATTCCACATCCCGGGGCTATCCTCTATTCTCGGATCACAAGATACACAAGACCTATCACTGTGTCCGGTAAGAGCGCTCAAAGTTTTTTACGACGATCCAAAACAAGGAGAAGATTTCTCAAACGTTTATTCATCCCATTATAAGCCCACTGAATCAAACAGAAGTGTCACGGACCACAATATCTATTTGGATAAGGACTGTCATTCTCCGTGCCTACAAGGCAGCAGGCTTGGACCCACCAACAGCATCAAATCCACATGAGATCAGGGCACTGGCCTCTACCCTCGCCCTACGGTAACTGTTCCTTGAACACGATTATGGAAGGATGCTATTGGAAATCTAACATGGTATTTGCTAATCACTACCTAAGAGACATCACTACAGAAGATGTCTCTGGCATTCACCATTTGGGACCACTGGTCCTCGCTCAGCAACTGACAGTCCCTCAGAGGGCGTTAAAATATTAGCCTCACAAGATTAATATGTATTTTATACATACTCATCTAGCTTATAACTCTAAGGAGTTTTAGGGCTATGTATATATGTTCAGCTTAAGTATTCTACCTTAAGCATATACTTGGATATAGTCAATTTCAGTGCCTCTATCAGAGTCACCTATATATATATATATATAATTTATATGTATTGTTCAATATATTCATAATGTAATTCCCCTTTAATGGCTTTATATAACCTATGGTTTTCTTTATACAGGAAACATCCTAAATCTAAGGCTTCATGAAGTTCCCGTAGGGGATATTACAGTATATCTATACAAAATCACTAATTATAAATCCAAAGTATTCTGTTACCCACCTCCGTTCCGTAGGATGCTACAAGCAAAAGAGCATGAGTCAGGATAAGGAAAAATATGTAATTTTTAGAGTAAAATTGATATTTTATACTTATCCTGACTCATGAGGTTAGCCCTCCCATCCTCCCCACATAACACTTTGGATTTCCCTGTAAATTCAAGTGTTGGGCTCGCTAAATCAGGAGAGAGTGGAGCACATGGCCAGAGGGTGGCGACACCTTTTCCCGCCAGGGGAGACAAAGGGGAGCAACTCGTGGTGAGTACCAATTAGTGATTTTATTTTGAAGGGAGCTTCAAATAAGGAGATACAAGTGTTCCACTATGTTCGCAAGAAGAAGAAGACAAGCAAAAGAGCATGAGTCAGGATAAGTATAAAATATCAATTTTACTCTAAAAATTACATTTTTAACATCTTTTGGTATGATGCGGCTGCCAGGATTGAACCCGCGACCTTCCGCTCTCCGGGTGGACGTTCTAACTTCTACACCACGGAGGCGGTCTTTGTTGTAAGGGAAACAGTGACTTGGTTGATTCTGTGTCGTTGTTGTCAGGTGGTGTGGGATAATGCTCATTATGTCAACCACTGGTTATCTTGGACCTATCCATGACTGTATGTAGGCTGCCATGTTATGGCTCTAATGCTGGTGACTGCAGTTTAATGAAAGCAAACTTTGTCTGACAAAGAATTAGTCCTTGGTAATTTCACTGTGATTATTGTTCTGTCGGTATCTGACAAAGTGTTATTCCTTGGTAATTCTTCTGTAGGTATCCGATTTCTGAATAACTGTAATGGGTAATTGTTCTGTATTGTTACCTGGTAATTGTGCTAAAGGTATCTGACAAGGCGTTATTACTTGGTTATTTTTTCTGTAGGTATCTGACAAAGCATTATTCCTTGTTCTGCTAGTATCTGACGAAAAATCACGATATGGCTGCAATATTGCCAATGTGATGTTAAATATTAACTCACTCACTGACGAAAAATTGTTCCGGTTAATTGTTTTACAGGTATCAGATGAGGAGAAAGAAGTACAGCACAAGCTGCCACACATCTGGGACGAGCTTGTCCTCAAGTCCAAGAATGTGGATGCCAGCCTTGTGGTGGTCAAGAAAAAGTTTACAGAGGTGAGCCAACCTTAACTGGCCAATGACCAACAGATTCAAATTCCCAGTTTGATGGCTCAAGTAAAGGAGATCTATCAAAACTTCAATGACCATATTGGACTTTTCCACTTACATTCAGGGATTTACCTTGAGTCCTGTATTTGAGGATCCCTGGGACTCATACTCTTAATTTTCAGGGGTCCTGGACTACAAAATTGGGGTCCCAGACACTTTAATATTATTATTAATACTATGTTGTAATATTGTTGTAATTCAGTTACTATTATTGTATTGTGTATCATGATCTTCACATTGTTACAATAATTAAATTGCAAATGATACCATAACCCGGCTAGTAGCAAACTCAGTGATGACTTATTGTTACTCGATTGAAATTTTACGAAAAGTGTTTGGACTTTGCTTATTAAATTTTGTTGCGTCCATTGTCAATTTTTATGAGTAAAGGACACAGGAATTAGTGTCCCATAAGTCCCTGACATTAACATTTCCTTTATTTGCCAGATAACACAAGAACACATCAAGGACTATCGCAAGGCTCTGGAGGCATTTGCTGAAAGATTCCATGCTGAGGGCCCTGGTGCTGTGGCTTATGACCTTGACAAGGGTGAGCAGGATTAACACTGATGGACACAAAACCTGCAATGTTGTTGAGAGATTGCACGATGGACGTTTTCTTTGGGACAAACCATTTTAAAGTCTTGGCTTGGGTGGGGTGATGTCTGAGGAGGGGGTATTTTTTTGAGATAACAATATTTTTTCTGTCATTGCAGAACTTTGGACAACCACAACATTTCGTTTTCAGGATATCAAGTAAACAATATGTTTGTTTGTACTGAAAAACCAGCCAAAATATTTTTCCCAGCATTTTCTAGAATAAATTGGTAGTTATCTTTCACTCCTGAGACGATCTAGATGAGAAATAAGTTTGCTGCTGAAACCAAAACAATGACTGAGAAATGTATTTCTGCCCAGCAACCACAATAGGGTGCGACTGATGATTCAAAACACTGTCACCATGGTAACAACTTCTAACTTTTCAAGTCATGATCCTTAATTCTCCTAACCATCATCCCTATTCAGCCGTAAGTTGTCTTCATCCCAACTGACCTGTACTTCCTGTTGTAGGTCTGGAGCTGATGAAGACTCACAGGGAGGAAGTAGCCCAGTATGAGGCTCAGAGGCAGGAGTTAGCTAACGCCGAGCGTCTCTTCGACCTGCCCATCACCATGTATCCCGACCTGTTGCAGGTCCAGAAGGAGATGAAGGGCTTTGAGCAGATCTATGCCCTGTATGAAGAGCAGAAGGTAGGCAGGATAATTATATTACACATATAAGTTAAGATAAACCAAGGCAAATTTACTTTTGGTTTCATTTATATTATATTTCAGCTGACCAAAGTTAACAAAACTGACATTATAAAATATGAAAAGTGATGATTATTTCTTCTGTGTCTGTAGGCTGCACGTGAGCAGTGGGCGGAGACGCTGTGGGCCAACCTGAATGTACAGCTGCTGCAGAGGGTATTGAAGGCTTCCTCAAGAGTCTCCGCAAACTCCCTCGCGATGTTAAGTCCATGCAGGTGGCCAGAGCTCTGGAGGAGAAGATGAAGGAGTTCCCGAGACTCACTACCATTGTTTGTGGATCTGAAACATGAGGCACTCCGAGAGAGGTGAGATGTTCGTTTCTAAGTCTAGTATTTTAAAGAATTTCCAAGACTCACTTCCACTGTTTGTGGATCTGAAGCACAATTCACTCCAGGAGAAGTGACATGGACGGAGATGTTTGTAAGTCTAGTGTTTGAAGGAGCTCCAAGACTCACTACCACTGTTTGTTGATCTGAAGCACAATTCACTCCAAGAGAAGTGAGATGGAGGGAGTTGTCTGTTTCTAAGTCTAGTGATTGAAGAAGATCTGAGACATATTGCACTGAATCTCTTTCAACAAAAGGGGCGGTGGGGTAGCCTAGTGGTTAAAGCGTTGGCTCATCACACCAAAAACCCAGGTTCGAATCCCAACATGGGTACAATTTGTGAAGCCCATTTCTGGTGTCCCGAGCCGTGATGTTGCTGGAATATTGCTAAAAGCGCCGTAAAACCAAACTCAGTCAGTCTTTCAACAAAACCATTCCATGTTGCTCTAGAACCCAATCAAAAAGACGGATGAATGAAATGTTGGTGTTTTCTTTAACATGCATGGGACATGACCTTTTAATGTCCTAGAGTTTGAATCATGATGCCACGACAGGTTAACTATGTATACACAATGGATACACAAAGTAAATGTCTCAGGTTTACTATGGTGACATGAAAGAAACAGGTGTTCCTTAAATTCTTTTGTGTGGTGTATGTGAAATATCTGAGTTGTTTGTGTTTGAACATCATCCTTTACAAATGAACATTTCAGACATTGGAAGGAACTGATGTCAAAGACAGGTCAGAAGTTCGACATCAATCCTGAGACCTTCACCTTGGCTAATGTATTCTCCATGGAGCTTCATCGCTTCCAGGAAACAATCCAAGAGATTGTCACGTGTGCCAGCAAGGAAATGGGCATAGAAAAGGTGAGCCATAACATTTGAAACGAAGTGAGTTTGAGTGAGTGAGTTTAATTTTACGTTGCTTTTAGCAATATTCCAGCAATATCACGATGGGGACACCAGAAATGGGCCTTACCCATTGTGCCCATGTCGTTGGCATGACAAAAGAATGCTTTAACCACTAGGCTACCCCATCCCTTCTTTGAAAAGAGACGAGGCAGTGGGGTAGCCTAATGGTTAAAGTGTTCGCTCATCACGCTGAAGACCCAGGGTTCGATTCCTGACATGGGTACAATGTCTGAAACCCATTTCTGGTGTCCATTGCTAGGATATTGCTGCAATATTGCTTAAGGTGGCGTAAAACCGTACTCATTCATTCATTTGAAATGAGACCTGGGAAGATTGGGTTAGAATTGACCTTCAGTAACCCATGCTTGCCGTAAGAGGCGACTAACAGGATTGGGTGGTCAGGCTGGCTGACTTGGTTGACACATGTCATCGTATCCTAATTGTGTAGACCAATGCTCATGCTGTTGATCACTGGATTATCTGGTTGAGACTCAGTTATTCACAGACCACCGCTATATAGCTGGAATGTTGCTGAGTGCGGTGGTCACACCAACCAAGTAACCTTTGAAATGAATAGTCAGCTAAGTGTAATGAAATGTAACCCACTGTTGAATAAACTGGGTAAGACATCTATGAAGTTCATTCTTCATCTCACTTGGGATCCTGGTTACCATGGTCCCTAGCAACCAGCTCTGGCAGCGATGTGGATTGGGTGGTCTTTGGTGATGCATGTTGATTTCATGGATGCCTGTTCACAATATCAGTCACAAATTGTGTGGTATATTTTCGATTTTTTATAGCCTGTCATCTTATAGTTGGAAAATTCCAGAGTGCAGCATTAAACATCCTACAAACAATCCTATATTTATCTCAATTGTCTTATGATATGTATTATCAATATTGACTGTGCCATAAAATGGTTATTACAATCCTGTTATTATCACCAAACATTCATAAGTATTCATGTTTCCGTGAGGGATAACTTCTAACTAGGACTTCTAATTCAAGGAGCAGTTCATAATTGACCTTGGCCTTGGATGTCATCCCATTGTCTTGTTCATGTGGACGACTTGATGTTTTACATTATTACTTTTGGTATTTTGATTCATTTCTCAGACTTTCTTTATAGCATTTGGTGCAATCATCAAACTATGTATTCAAAATGATGTCATGCTTTTACGAAATGTAAATGCTGTAACATACACAGGGTAATCTTAATCCCTACATATAAGACAATGCCTAGCAAAAATAAATTAGAACTGAAAAGGTAAATAATCCTGTCTAGTGATGTTTAATTGCAAATTTGACGTCTTCACTGACAAAGTTGTTTTCTCTTGTTAGTTCACGTTAAACGATACGATGTCGTTTTCTTACTGGTCACTAGAAAAAAGTTTGAGAAAAGTGTTACCCATAGATAAGTCAACCCCCTTCTACAGGCTGCTTTTTTTGGTTTTCAAAATTTGGCTTATTTACAGTAATATACAGTACTGATTTTGGGATGTGCCTTTAATCTTTAGTCAGGAGTGGAAATAACTTTAAAATTGCTAGTGTACTCCGGTACAGTGGCACATGTAAAATCACTTGCCCTGATAATTTTTCCACTATACCAGCTGTTTTCTTGTTGATTTTTTAAATAAACAACATAATTAATATTGGAAAGTCAACTGGACACCGGTACAGTGTGATATACAAATTTGCTTGCCCGACAGAAAAAAACACTGGACTCGGGCGTCGGGCAATGGGTTATTTTCACCCCTGTTAGTCGTCTGTTAATTAAACTTTCCAATCCTTGCTTGAATGAGATGTGTTAAATACACAGAATTTTCTGTGTTGGCATCTGAAGGAGTAGACAGTGTAGTATTTTATTCATCTACAGACAAATCTAGCTTAGTAGGCAATAAGGCAGGAGCTACGTTGATCATTTGTTTATGACAATAAGTGTAAGCAACTGAATTCCTTTGTAGGGTGTGAAAGAGGTCGAGGAGACCTGGAGCAACATGAAGTTCACTGTGCAGGCCTACATGAAGGGCACGTCACACCGAGGCTTCATCTTGGGCTCCGTGGACGATGTGCTGCAGATACTGGACGACAGCGCCATGAACCTGCAGAGCATGTCCGCCTCACGATTCATCGGACCCTTCCTGAACTCTGTCCAGAACTGGGAGAAGAGTCTGTCTCACATCTCTGAGGTTCTTGATGTAAGTTGTAGGAATTTAGTCTAACATTAGGGGGCAAATATGGGAAAGATTATTATTATTACATGCTTATACAAATATTAAATTTCAAGTTGATGTGAACAAAATAAAAACCTCATTATACTGGTTATATCAATTCGGTTGAAGTTCAATATTATTTTGATTTTGTATATTGTGGTTTGAAATTAGTTCTTAATTTCAATGTCTTTTTTGAAACTGTTGTCATAAATGTTGTTTGACTTGCTGATACGATAAATATCACGAAATACTGATGTCAAAGTAATCTGTAAATGTTGAAGTATATTGACCTGTTGTTTGGTATTCAGGTGTGGATGGTGGTTCAGAGGAAGTGGATGTACCTGGAAGGCATCTTCATCGGAGGTGACATCAGATCTCAACTCCCTGAAGAGGCCAAGAAGTTTGACCAGATTGATAAAACATTCAAAAAGGTGAGATGTAGAACTGATATCCTCCTGTAGTTGACCATGTAGATTAGCATCGCTGAATGTGTGTACAGTAAGTTGTTCTGGAAGATTGGCAAGTACATTATGTAATTTGTTGGTTTCACATTACTTTTCAACTCGCTGTGCGCATGCGCAGAGCTTGTGAAAAATATTCACTGGCATGCTTCCGGTTTGGTCGTATGTTTATCGATAGTGTAAATGCACGCTATAATTACTACAGAGTCTGGAATGAAACAGTGGTCATATGGACAGTGGTCATGACTGATGGGTGAAATAACAGACACAGATAAATACTCTTGCTGAGCTCAAGGGTATGCTCTCAGTGTTTTTGTGCATCTCCCCCGAACACAATATTTGGGGTTTTCTGTTTCCGTTCTCCACATTTATGAATACTGGACACACACTGGTATGTCGCGTAAAACCTGCAGGGTACTGCTGGTTGTGCAGTGTTGCCTCCAGGTATGTCAGAATGCCTATCCCAGTTTGTCATGATTATGTTTTACAGTTTGTCAACACTGTACCCATGCTTGTGGGTTTCACCTAGGTGGTATTTCTCTGAGTCCTGTGTTATGTCAGGCTTTTGTCTCTCATTAAGCGACGTGTCATAAGGTAAATGTAGCAATCGGTTTTGCAATATTCAGGTGCACCAGTGCAGGTAGATTATTACGGTTCTAGTGCAGGTAACTGTTATTGTCAGGTTGCATCCAGTGCAGGTGTGGCGGTGGGGTAGCCTAATGGTTAAAGCGTTGGCTCGTCACGCCAAAGACCCGGGTTCGAATCCCCACATGGGTACAATATGTGAAGCCCATTTCTGGTGTCCCCCGCCGTGATGTTGCTGGAATATTGCTTAAAGCGGCGTAAAACCAAACTCAGTCAGTCAGTCAGTCAGTCCAGTGCAGGTAACATTGTCCACAAGGGCATATCTGCTGTTTTGTTGGTATAAGTTTCCCATATTAAATGAGTCTGTTCCTGTCATGTGTATCAGGGCCTCCTTTCACAAAGCACTAAGGTGAGTGAAGTCACTAAGGTAACCTTAGTGCAATGTTAAAGAATGGGAGTTAAGGCTAACCTTAGTAAAGGTTGCTTCATGAAAGGGGCTCCAGATGAGTAAATTACTGAAAGCTAAAAGTGTGAACAAGTCTCTTTCATGCTCATAACCCAGTTACACAGCCCACCCACTGTACACAATCTTGTGATGTTTCAGAGGTACAATCTGATTGAATTAAAATTGTATTATAAGGCAGTTTTAAACCAAACTCAATTGCCAAAATATTTACAAATTGCATTGTGTTTTCAGATCATGACAGAAACCCACAAAACCCCTCACATCAAGCTGGCATGCCACGCCCAGAACAGACTGTCGGACTTGCAGAACCTCAGCATGGGACTGGAGAAATGTCAGAAGTCTCTCAATGATTACCTGGACTCTAAGAGAAACGCCTTCCCAAGGTTCTTCTTTATATCAGATGATGAACTGCTCAGTATCCTTGGTAGTAGCGACCCAGAGTGTGTGCAAGAACATATGATCAAGGTTAGTGGCTTATCATCATTATTATTATGGTGATTCTGTGATGATGATGATTATGATGATGATTATGAAGGATGAGTGATGAAAAAGTTGTATTAATGATGATGCTGATGCTTGATGATGATGATGATGATGAAATGATTTCTGGTGGTGATAATGATGATGTAGATGATGTAGCTCTTGTTATTGAATTTGGTTTGACGTTTCTCTTTGTTTATATTTTTTCAGATGTTTGACAACATTTCAGCCCTGAGGTTTGCAAAGGGCACCAACAATGAATCGACAGCTGCTGCCATGATTTCTGCTGAGGGTGAGACGATGGAGTTCCGCAGCAGCATTCCGGCAGAAGGTCGTGTTGAAGACTGGATGACGGGTGTCCTGGAAGAGATGAGGAGGACCAACAGACTCATCACCAAGGAGGCCGTCTTCTTCTACTGCGAGAAGAAGACAAGGTGAGAAAAGGAGGCAAATTTGATGGTGGTGGGTGGTGAAGTAATGGTGGTTTTGATGGGAACATGACATGAAGGTTTAATGTTTGGTTGGGTGGGAAACATTTAAGGTTGTCATGGTACAAGTTAGGTGTGATGAGAGTTGCATCCCTTAGCTCTGCTTAAAATATGCTCTAAGAATATGAATCAGAACTGTATTCCAGTTATGGAAGTGATTTCTTTCTGATAATATATAGCAGTAACAAGAAATAAATACATTCAACAATTGTCCATTTTCAAAGTTATTCTGGTAACACCTTGCGTAACTTTTATTGATATAATATCATGGAAAATGTCCCAATACTTTGGAAAACTCATGGAAATTTGTCACCCGTGAAGGTCCAGGTTAGAATGAACCTTCAGTAACCCATGCTTGTGGTAAGAGGCGACTAACGGGATCGGATGGTCAGGCTCGCTGGCTTGGTTGACACGTGTCATCAGTTCCCAATTGCGCAGATCGATGCTCATGCTGTTGATCACTGGATTGTCTGGTCCAGACTCGATTATTTACAGACCACTGCAATATAGCTGGAATATTGCTGAGTGCGGTGTAAAACTAAACTCACTAACTCACTAATGGAAATTTGTCAGGCTAATAGTGGATAAAACCTGTGAAGAGCTGTAGCAGTAGATATTGATGTTCAGAGGAAATATAGAATATGTACTTAATTCTTTACTTTGTGTAGAAAAGTTAAAACCAAATTGTAGAATCAGGAAATTTTAATGAGCGGTTAAATAAAATCGGTCATTCGGTGTGGTTATCAACAGCTGACAGCATGTCAGCTAATGTGAACACCTAGAGGCACTGTGATTGTTGTAGAAATGAGTGTTAAAGGTTCTGCCATAGATTGAAGCAGGGATTGACTGACTGACTGAGTTTGATTTTACTCCGCTTTTAGCAGTATTCCAGCAACATCACGGCGGGGGACACCAGAAATGGGCTTCACACATTGTACCCATGTGGGGATTCGAACCCGGGTCTTCGGCGTGACGAGCCAACGCTTTAACCACTAGGCTACCCCACCGCCCCTTGAAGCAGGGATGATTGAGTTTACAAACAATAACTGTAAAAAGTGAATGATCATGCATGAATATTATGGATGAAAAAGTAGTTCCGGATCAGTGTGACATGATTATCCTATCAAGCCACTCAAATCAGGGGTCAACCCCCTATGATACAGGTCAATGTTATACAACACACGTGTGTTAAACACAAGTTATCTATCTGACCATGTGTCCGTTCACCTTGCTGGTGATAAATCAACATTGACTGTGGTTGGCAGTTTCACTCCTGAGGGTTTTTAGGTCTTCTAGGTCATTGCCCTACAATGAAATACATGTGGTCTCACCTTAAGTGTGTGAGTTCACCTCTGTTCACCTGGCATTGAGTGAGTGAGTGTGTTTAGTTTTACGCCACACTCAGCAATATTCCAGCTATATGCCGGCTCACCCGGCATTGAATGGGTACCCGGTGGGATAAGTCACATGACTATCAACCTTCTAGCGCCTCACAGGCTGGTTGATAATGTCCATCAGGTTGTATGCACGAGCATGCCCGTGCAGTGTGGAGTTCAGTGCTGTGTAAGTGGCCTGATCGTCAGGGCGTGGGATTCAGTGATCACTGATGGTATGGACATATGTAGTGAGATGTTGACAGCTGGCGTTCTGCTTCAGAGTGGACTGGATGATGAACTACCAGGGCATGGTGTGTCTGGCCGGCAACCAGGTCTGGTGGACCTGGGAGGTCGAGGACGTCTTCAGGAAAGTCAAGAAAGGGGCCAAGACAGCGCTGAAGGACTACGCCAAGAAGCTTCACAAGCAGATCGATGAACTTGTAGTGCAGGTGAGAACTCCATGCAGGTAGCCATCTGACCAGTGTTTCAAGTATGCTTCTGGAAGATTGTACTTTACATATTTTGTTTTATTGTTTGCTGGTATTACAGGATTGAGCCCTATGTTGATCCTAGTTAGAATTAGTCTTCAGCAACCAATGTTGCTACACTTATCAGAGGGGTACACAAAGTCTGCTGTCTAGAGTACCAGTTGTCCAACTTCCATTTTCTGAAAGTCGTGGTGGCTGAGCGGGTTAGGCAGCTGACTTTGTGTGCTGGCGATTATGTGCCTGACTCTGAGGATGTTGGTTCGAATCCCAGATGGGACTCAACCAACAAAAGTATTAGAAGCTGTACTTTACTGAGAAAGTTTAATCCCAAATATAACATATGTTACAATGTAAGTCTCCCTATGAAGTCTTCGGTTAGATATTATTTTAGCAACCCATACTTGTTGTAAGAAGCGACTAATGGGATCAGGTGGTCAGACTAAGTTGAAGGCGTGTTATCGCATCCTACTTGTTAGATTCATAATCATGATGTTCATCTCTGGATTGTCTGGTCTAAACTCCGCAGACTGCCATCTTTTAGGTGAAATATTGCGAAGTGTGACATTTACAACAAACAAATATATGAAGGAGGTGGGAATATTAGCGTTTTTTATCTCTGCCGTTATAGTTGATTAATATTTGATCAGGGATATTTTAACTGTGATTAAAAACTACTGATTTTACGTTTTGACATTAGGTCCTTAGAGTCTGATGGTGATCTGCTGTTTCTCTTTCTATAGGTGAGATCACCTTTGTCCAAGAATGACCGAAGCAAGTTCAACACAGTACTCATCATCGACGTACACGCCAGAGACATCATCGATGGCTTTGTCAGAGACAGGTGACTTGTAGTTCTCACTGTTTGTAAAGTACAATGTGTAAAGCCCATTTCAGGTCCCCTGCCATGATGTTGCTGGAATAATGCTAAAAGCGGCATAAAACCAAACTTGTAGTAGAAGTGAAATGAAGAATGGGCTGATAGCTTTATATGAGCTAGAAGCAAGATTTTATCTGGAATTTCTCACTGATTTATATTCATGAAAGTATATCAGTACCAGTTTAGTGCTCCCGTGAGGGCTACAGATTAGAGAGTGAGTGTGTTTAGTTTGCACGGCTGTTAGCAATATTCTAGCTATATCATGGCAGGGGAAACCAGAAATGGGCTTCACACTATGCACCCATGTGGGGAATCAACCCGGGTCTTTGGCGCGATGACCGAACACTTGAACCACGAGGCTACCTCACCACCCGGCTCCAAATTAGAATAGGTTCCGACAACCAGTGATTTGGTTGACTGTAAGTTCTCAATATTGACACTCACAGCTTAAACAAAACAGACACAACTTACATTCATATGTATGCACATGCACGCATGCATGCACACAAGTATCAAGATTATGTTGCTCATTTTGTTTCCAATAATACATTAATATTATGTAATCAAATGTACTTGATCTTTCAGTACTGTCTAATCAATGCTTGAGATTGACTCCCACAACATAATATGACCCCAGTGTTTTGTCCTCAGTATCATGGATGCTCGTGAGTTTGAGTGGGAGTCTCAGCTTCGCTTCTACTGGGAGAAGGAACCCGATGAACTGACAATCAGACAGTGTACGGGGATGTTTGGCTATGGTTATGAGTACATGGGTCTCAATGGCAGGCTGGTCATCACCCCGCTCACTGACAGAATCTACCTCACGCTTACACAGGTAAGATTTAAATTGATACTGATAAACTAAGGTTTCTTAGGTTTCTTATATATAACATGACAATGCCCTACCTATGCAGATGTGAAAAAATATTTCAAACTGTCGTTTTGGTTAGACATACATGCTTTTAACGTTGTGTGTAGTTTTAGTTTGACTTTTGTTTCAAAGTCTCCCATGGTGATCAAAGAGTCAGTGAGTGTGTTTAGTTAGTGGGGGACACCAGAAATGGGCTTCACACATTGTACCCATGTAGGGAATCGAACCCAGGGGTCTTGGTCGTAATAAGCCAATGCTTTAACCACTAGGCTACACAACTGTCCCAACTATTAATATGAGGAATTACTTTGACGCACACAGACTGGCTAATGTGAGGATGAAGTCTGTCATTCTGTACTCTGTCATTATGTCTCACCTAGGCTCTGTCGATGAAGCTAGGCTGTCATTCTGTACTCTGTCATTATGTCTCCCTAGGCTCTGTCGATGAAGCTAGGCCGTCATTCTGTACTCTGTCATTATGTCTCCCCTAGGCTCTGTCGATGAAGCTAGGCCGTCATTCTGTACTCTGTCATTATGTCTCCCCTAGGCTCTGTCGATGAAGCTAGGCTGTCATTCTGTACTCTGTCATCCCCTCTCCTGCTCTGTCGATGAAGCTGTCATTCTGTACTCTGTCATTATGTCTCCCCTAGGCTCTGTCGATGAAGCTAGGCCTGTCATTCTGTACTCTGTCATTATGTCTCCCCTAGGCTCTCTGTGTGTCGAGTGAAGCTAGGCTGTCATTCTGTACTCTGTCATTATGTCTCTAGGCTCTGTCGATGAAGCTAGGCTGTCATTCTGTACTCTGTCATTATGTCTCCCCTAGGCTCTGTCGATGAAGCTAGGCTGTCATTCTGTACTCTGTCATTATGTCTCCCTTATGTCTCTGTCGATGAAGCTAGGCTGTACTACTCGTCATTCATTCTGTCACTCTGTCATTATGTCTCCCCCTAGGCTCTGTCGATGAAGCTAGGCTGTCATTCTGTAGATGAAGCTCTGTCATTATCTCTGTCCCCCTAGGCTCTGTCATTATGCTCTGTCATTCTGTGCATTCTGTCATCATTATGTCTCACTCCTAGGTCTGTCAGCTAGGTCATTCTGTGCTCATTCGTCATTCTGTACTCTGTCATTATGTCTCCCCTAGGCTCTGTCGATGAAGCTAGGCCGTCATTCTGTACTCTGTCATTATGTCTCCCCTAGGCTCTGTCGATGAAGCTAGGCTGTCATTCTGTACTCTGTCATTATGTCTCACCTAGGCTCTGTCGATGAAGCTAGGCTGTCATTCTGTACTCTGTCATTATGTCTCCCCTAGGCTCTGTCGATGAAGCTAGGCTGTCATTCTGTACTCTGTCATTATGTCTCCCCTAGGCTCTGTCGATGAAGCTAGGCTGTCATTCTATACTCTGTCATTATGTCTCCCCTAGGCTCTGTCGATGAAGCTAGGCTGTCATTCTGTACTCTGTCATGTCTCCCCTAGGCTATGTCTCAGCTAGGCTCTGTCGTCATTATGAAGCTGAAGGCTGTCATTCTGTACTCTGTCATTATGTCTCACCTAGGCTCTGTCGATGAAGCTAGGCTGTCATTCTATAGGCTCTGTCGATGAAGCTGTCATTCTATGTCTCCCCCTCTGGCTCTGTCTCTGTCGATGAAGCTAGGCTGTCATTCTATACTCTGTCATTATGTCTCCCCTAGTCTCTGTCGATGAAGCTAGGCTGTCATTCTATACTCTGTCATTATGTCTCCCCTAGGCTCTGTCGATGAAGCTAGGCTGTCATTCTATACTCTGTCATTATGTCTCCCCTAGGCTCTGTCGATGAAGCTGGGCGGGGCTCCAGCTGGCCCTGCTGGGACAGGGAAGACGGAGACTACCAAGGATCTGGCCAAAGCTCTGGGACTGCTCTGTGTCGTCACAAACTGTGGAGAGGGTATGGATTACAAGGTATGTGCCGGAACATTTCATTGACCCACCAGGAAAACAGCTTTTAAAATTGATAACAATAATCTTTAGATCACACATCATGTAACTTGAACTGTCAATTAATCAAGACGTTTTTGTCATATATTCAGTCTCTGCAATATCCTAGTTAGTTTCAAGCTGTCTTAGATGTACCTGTGCTGCTCTCTATAGCCATGAAACAAGTGCCAGTTAAGAAAAATAGTTTTCGTTTCAGTTTTCTGTAATACTGTAGAATATGTATTTCAGGCTGTCGGCAAGATCTTCTCTGGTCTGTGCCAGTGTGGAGCATGGGGCTGTTTTGATGAGTTCAACCGTATCGATGTATCAGTATTATCAGTCATCTCAACGCAGCTGAAGACAATCCAGAATGGCCTGCTACTCAACCTCAAGAGATTCCATGTAAGTCATTAACTCATGCTTAGAGTGAGTGAGTTTAGTTTTTATGCTACTTTTAGCAATATTCCAGCAATATCACAGCAGGGGACACCAGAAATGGGCTTCACTCATTGTACCCATGTGGGGAATCAAACCCGGGTCTTCGGTGTGATGAGGAAACACTTCAACCACTCGGCTACCCTACGGCCCTGATCATGCTTGGAGAATTTGTATGTCAGCAATCACTGAGCAGCTGTAAAAACTTGGCTGTCTGTGTGTTAGAATATTCAGTGTTTATCTTGTGAAAAGATACTGTTCAAATGTCATCACATTCTGCTTATGAATTTTGTGCTTCAAAAAATTAAAAACCAACTTTTTCTTAAAAGATATATGAATGTTTTCGAAAGAGTGTTTGTTGTGCATAATTACTACATTTCTCATCAGATATAGGTCTGTTTTGATATGTAATGTACATTTGATATTTTGATTTTGATGCAGTTTGAAGGTCAGGAGATTGACCTGGACAGTCGTGTAGGCATCTTTATCACCATGAACCCAGGTTACGCTGGACGTACAGAGCTCCCTGAGTCGGTCAAGGCATTGTTCCGGCCAGTGGTGGTCATCGTCCCTGACCTGCAGCAGATCTGTGAAATCATGTTGTTTTCTGAGGGATTCCTTCTTGCCAAGGTGAGTAGGAACTTCTTCTTTAGGAGAAGTGCCATAAGTTTCAGTGCAGAGTCGCCTCCCTTACCCTTTTCAGGAGTTAGGGCTCTAGTCTCAGATCTCCAATCAGGATCATTTTGTCTGTCACTATCATACACATCACTGGGTTTGTGAAAGTTGTTATTGTCCATGTCTTTTTATCACTTTGGCTGTTTCCTTCTACATTGACTTGATATTTATGTAGGTTATTACTATCTCACTTGACTTAGCCCAGTTGGTAAATATCCCAGAACAAATCATCTGAGCTAGAGCTAGGAAAGGGTGAAGCTGAGTTCAGGAAAAAGATGAGTACAGGTTGCTGGAGCTGAGAAGGGAACGAGTACAGGTTGAGTGAGATGACAGAGGACGAGTATAGGTTACATTAATCTCTAAAGGGTTGGGGGAGGTTTCAAGGAATGGAAAGGTTATGAGGATGACTGTTTGAATATGTATATGCTCTGGAGTTGCTGAGAGTGACTAATCCACGTGCTGTGATGCAGGTACTGGCCAAGAAGATGACCGTGCTGTACAAGCTGGCCAAAGAGCAGCTGTCCAAGCAGTACCACTACGACTTCGGTCTCCGTGCTCTCAAGTCGGTGCTGGTGATGGCGGGAGAGCTGAAGAGAGGGGCAGCTGAACTACATGAGGTGAGTACACCAACATCATCACATTCTGGGAGGTGCCAGATCTCATATAGACTTACACTTCAGAGATTTCAGATGCAGGTGTGTAATAAATCAAACCTAGAAATATTAATTATGTGTTACGGGTGAAGGTGTAACAGAGGGGCATACTAAAAATTCACTCACACAATTAAATGGCTTACACAACAATCTCGGAAAGATTTCTGCCCGTAACCCCTGGGTTTTTTTAATCATTCTATGCCTAAGAGGCAAGACTTCCGCCTGTATCCCCCCTAAATTTTAACCATGAGGAAAAGTTTCTTTGAGTGGCATTTTTAAAAGTTGGATATGTCTTTCAGTATGTTAAGATACAATTAATGAAACATGCTAAAACTCATCCTTACCAGATGAGGAATATATATATTCAGGTGATGTGATTCGACTAGAATGAAATTTAAGGGGGGATACGGGCGGAAGTCTTTCCGCCTAAGAATAGATGGGGGGGTTATTAAAAAAACTTATCCCTAACCCTAACACTAACCCTAAACCTAACCCTATGCCCTCAAAATAACCCTGATCAATAGAATACATTTCAAGCGAGGGTACAGACGGAACTCTTACCACAATCTGAGGAGTAAGGAAAATTTATTGATGCTATCCTAAGAGTAGGTTGGTTCAACATACTGGTTTACAAGTGTAATAAATGCAGAGGGCATTTTCTTAGCAATAATTATGGGCAAAGCAATATGGCATAGTCACCTCATTTTCAAATCTGTGCACATCATGATTTCATAGTTTCTCATTTTCCGTATTTGTCACAGCCTGACGTCGGCACAAGATTTGTGTATCACTTCTAAACATTCATATCATGGATAAAAAAACTGGCAAAAGTCAAGTCTTCAAACTACTTCTCAATCAAACCAGAGTAACACTAAGCTTCTCCCTGTAAGCTTGCTGGCCACATCCAATTAACTTACAAAAGCTTAATTCATCAAACCCCAAGCTGTACCTCTAGTTACATAACAATTTGTTTCACTCAAGTGAAGACCCTTCACCCCAAGCTAAATCTAATTGCTCGATGCTCATGCTATTGATCACTGGAATGTCTGGTCCAGACTTGATTATTTACAGACCGCCGCCATATAGCTCGAATATTGCTGAGTGCGGCGTACAATTAAACTCACTCACTCACAAAATCTTATTGCACCAAGTATACTCATCACTATCTAAAAATGTACATTATATTTGCAAAATATATATCATCAGTCATAACATGTGTAAAGGTCTAAGCATTTACATTTCAAGACTGCAATAATCACACAGTCAGTCTGACATGGTATTTTGATAAACTGGAAAATTATAGGGTTTGTCAAAGTGAATTAGCATTCATAGCATGGTTCAAGCCCTAGGAATGCTCTTGTTAACCTCTCAACTGAGAATTGACTGGCAGTAGTCACCAGACCAAGTAATACAAATCTCCCTTTTGTTAACATGTATGAGTGATCATGGTTTTAAGCTGCCTTTCAGCAATGTCATGGCAGAGGATACCAGACATGAACCTCACACCTTGTATTATCTGTTCAATCAAACATGGGCCTTCAGCACAAATAGCGAACACCATAACCTCAAGGCTACCCAACCAATATGTTTATTTTATGAAAAACTTCTGGCACTGATTATTGTATTTTCAAGAAAATAATGCTGTATGACTATACTGACATACTTCTCCAACAAAGGCTAGATACCTAGAGTGATGCAGTCCTTGTTTGTTTCCTCAGGATGTTGTGCTGATGAGAGCTCTGAGAGACATGAACCTGCCCAAGTTTGTGTTTGAGGATGTCCCCTTGTTCCTGGGCCTCATCACTGACCTGTTCCCAGGGCTGGACTGCCCCAGAGTCAGGTACCCCAACTTCAACGATGCTGTGGAGGGAGTGTTGGAGGAAAACAACTACGTCATGTTGCCGCAGCAGGTGAGGACGATGCTAGATACGGTGTGATGTTAGTGTGATGACGATGATAGTGATATTGATGATGATAGTTTTGTAACAGGAATGATGATAGTGATGGTGATAGTAATAGGGATAGTGTGATGACTATGGTGATAATAGTGACATGACATTGATGATGATAGTGATAATACTAAGGTGATAACAGTTTTGATGACAATGTGATGCCAGTGTGATGATAGTGTGATTATAATGTGATGACTGTGATGATAGTGTGATGACAGTGTGATGTTACTGCGATGAGTGTGATGATAGTGTGATGCCAGTGTGATGATAGTGTGATGATAGTGTGATGGCAGTGTGATGTTACTGCGATGACTGATGATAGTGTGATGACTATGGTGATAATAGTGACATGACATTGATGATGATAGTGATAATAATAAGGTGATAACAGTTTTTATGCCAGTGTGATGATAGTGTGATTATAATGTGGTGATAGTGTGATGTTACTGTGATGAGTGTGATGACAGTGTGATGTTACTGTGATGATAGTGTGATGTTACTGTGATGTTAGTGTGATGACAAAGTGGCAATAGTGTGATGAAAATGTGATGACAGTGTGATTATATAATGTGATGACAATGTGAAGTTTGTGTGATTATAATGTGATATTAGTGTGATGATAGTGTGATTGTGATCTAATGATAGTGTGATGACAATGTGACGATAGTGTAATGATAGTGTGATGACAATGTGATGATGGTATAGTTATGACAATCCAATGATGATAGTGTGATGACAGTGATAATGATAGTGTGATGACAATGTGTTGATGATAGTGTGATGACAATGTGTTGATGATAGTGTGATGACAATCCAGTGATGTTAGTGTGATGACAGTAATAATGATAGTGTGATGACAAATTGTGGTTATGATAGTGTTATGACAATTCAGTGATGGTAGTGTGATGACAGTGATAATAATAGTGTGATGATGATAGTGTTATGACAATCCAGTGATGATAGTGTGATGACAGTGATAATGATAGTGTGATGACAATGATAGTGTGATGATAGTGTTATGACAATCCAATGATGGTAGTGTGATGACAGTGATAATAATAGTGTGATGATGATAGTGTTATGACAATTCAATGATGATAGTGTGATGACAGTGAGATGACAATGATGATTATGGTGATAGTGCAATAAAAGTGATAGTGAAAGGGGATAATGACAATCATGATAGTGATGAGTGATGATGATAGTGTGATGACAGTGATGATTGTAGTAACCTTTCAGAATCACATGACTCAAAGATTTTTTTACTATAAAACTGTTGCCTTGATCAGACTCCGATATTCTGTACATTACATGATCCAGGTTGACAAGGTGGTCCAGATGTACGAGACGATGTTAACTCGTCACACCACCATGATCGTAGGACCGACTGGCGGCGGGAAGTCTGTGGTCATCAACACTCTGGCCCAGGCACAGACAAAGTGAGTAGACAGCAGTTACCAATCACAGATGTAACATCTTTGTGGGAGTCTCACTGTGGAGATCCAGGTTAAATTTGTCAGCAACTCATGCTTGGAGTAAGAATTCACTAACGAATAAGTGAGTTTAGTCTCACGCCACTCTTACCGATATTTTAGCAATATTACCAGGGAGGACACCAGAAATGGGCTTCACACATTGTACCCATGTGGGGAATCAAACCGGGGTCTTCGGCTTGACGCGCAAAAGCTTTAACCACTAGGCTACCCTACCTTCCCCTCTCATAATGAACTGCTGGTGTAACCAACTATGTCTTTTGGTCCCAAACACTTGCTGTATGTATTAGTTGAAATGCATAAAAAGAAAAACTTGCTATAACAAACTAAAAGTCTTCCCTTTGAGTCTGTTGTCATGGACAGTATGTGAGTCGTCAATATGTTCACACTGTCAAGACCGCCTCGATGGCGTAGTGGTTAGAACGTCTGCCCGGAGAGCGGAAGGTCATGGGTTCGATCCCCGGCCGCGTCATACCAAAAGACATTAAAATATGGTACTTGTTGGTCCCTACCTGGCGCTTGGCATTAATGGGTACAACAAGGACTGGTTGGCTCGGAGTCAGTATACAGTCGAGCACCGTTGTGTCGAACTCTGATAACTCGATATCTCGGTTGTCTCGATATAACATATCGGTCTCAGCAAAATCCTCCATAATTTATCATTATTCAAGCTCTTTTAACTCGATATTTGCAAAGAAACTCGATATTCGCCTACCTTTCATGGGCAAGTATCCCTCTGAACTGAGGTTGTTTCCACACGTTTACACACTGTGCGGCATAAATCAAAGGGATGCGGTAGTGTAAACTAATTAGGGCTAATTGAGTTGAAAGTGTCACTTGTTTGTTATTTAATTAGGATTACTTAAGAAGGAATTAATTAGGAAGTACTCACTGTTACGACTAAACACGACTGATTATAGCTTCGAATCAAAACATACTGAGAAGCGGTTTGTTTTCTTTCATAGTGATATGCGATGATATGCCCTGGTTGGATGTCTCGAAGTTCGGATAACTCGATAGTTTTTCTTGGTCCCATGAATATCGAGAAAACGGTGCTCGACTGTAATTTGTCTGAGTGGGGTATTCATGCTTAACTGTGACATGGTATCTCAGTGAGCTAGCGCTATAACACCAGCTTAAGTCTGGGCTAGTACAAGCAGCCACACATACACACACATGCACGTCGTTATATGAGCGTAATGTTCTCCAGTTCGATGTTAAACCCCATTTGATCTCACCTCACTCTATCAACCACTGGTTTGCATGTTCAGATACTAAAAGCATATTGTTAGCAAACAAAAGAACAGTGCAGACTTACATTAATTTCATTCCAATATACGTGTGTTTTTCACAGACTGGGCCTGACGACCAAGATGTTCACCATCAACCCCAAGGACAGGAGCGTCATAGAGCTGTATGGAATCCTTGATCCTACCACCAGAGACTGGACTGATGGTTTGTTGTCCAACATCTTCCGAGACATCAACAAACCTACCGACAAGAATGAGAGGAAGTACATAGTGTTTGACGGAGATGTTGATGCATTGTGGGTAGAGAACATGAATTCAGTTATGGACGACAACCGACTGCTGACTCTTGCTAATGGAGAGAGAGTTCGTCTCCTCAAGCACTGTGCTCTACTGTTTGAGGTAATGATTTTCATGTTCATTCTCTGGGAGTAGTTTGATTGTTTGGTTAATGCCAGGCTTCACAATATTGCAACAATATTCCAGCAATGTAATGGTGGCCTGTAAGAATAAATTCAGGACAAGGCTATCCAGTGAGTGATAGTAAGAGCACACAATCAATGGAATCGCTGAGCTTGACCCACCTTGACTCCTCAGAGTTTCTAGGACTTCTGTCCTGCCCAACAACGAAGCACACGTGACAATGTGGTCTCACCTTAGGCAAGTGAGTTTGCTCAAAATTGCCTTGTTCACCCAGTATAAAATGGGTATCAAGAGGGATAAAGCATATGACTGAGTTCAGCACTATATGAGTGTCCTTATTATAATTATTGTTTCATTTTCCTCCCCAGGTGTTTGATCTTCAGTATGCCTCCCCTGCCACAATTTCCCGATGTGGTATGGTGTATGTCGACCCAAAAAACCTTGGCTTCAAACCTTACTGGCAGAAGTGGGTCAAAAGCCGGCCGAACAAAACTGAGAGGGATGAGCTGACTCGACTCTATGACAAATATGTGCCCTGTCTCATCGATATGGTGGTTGAAGGCATTGTGGATGGTAAACAACAAGAAAAACTCAAGACAATTGTGCCACTTACAAATCTGAATATGGTAAGCTGAGTCTAAAAAAGCGGCATAATTGTGTAAAAAACACGAAATAAAACACCAAATTAAATGTGAGTTGCATGTGTGCAAATATGCATTAGATATAAAAAAAGAAAAAAATAGTGTCTCGGTGCTCTCCATAAGGGACCGTTCATAATTTATGGCTGAGGGGTGATGATGATTTTGGGGGTGGAGGGGTGTTGTTCACCATTTTGTTCTGCGGTTGGGGGTCATCAATTATGTACACATAGGGGGACAGCAATTTTGTACATTAAAATATTTTTAAAGTTATGGGAGAGGGTGGTCATTTATTTTGTACATGCCATATGGGGAGGGGGCAGTCACTTACTTTGTACATAAATTTTGGGGGGGACATTCACATTGTACATGCTTCTCCATAAAAATCATCATCTTTCCCCTAGCCATAAATTATAAACGGTCCCTAACTGCACATTTTCTTTTGTTGCATCTATTTACGTGTATCAAGATCATTATTTAGAGGCATCACCCACAGGTCCATATGAGCTCTTCTGCAGTAAATAATGCGGGGAAAGGGCACTACATCTTGTTTATTGTTAAGACAGACATGTATATATATTTTGACTTGCATGAAAGCACATGCAGTTATTTGTCATCATGAATGAGTGAAAATTCAGATTACTTAGCATCTGGCCCAAAATTGATGACATCACCTTTTGAAAGAAATTATGAATGCATTCCATCCTTGTTTCATTTCGTTTCTCTCAGGTGACCCAGTTGTCGATGATGTTGAATGCGCTGCTGGTGAAGGAGATCCCTGACCCAGCAGAGCTGGAGGCCATATTCCTTACTGCGTTGTACTGGTCAATTGGAGGCGGTCTGCTGGAAGATGGGCGTATCAAGTTTGACAACTACGTCAAGTATCTGGCATCTCTCAACATGATTTCTGACGAGAATGCTATGCCTGGACCAGGTTGGTACCACATTCTACTTTGAATTTGATAATACTCAATTCTGATGGGTTCATCAGAGGTTTCAAAATCACAATAACGACTTCTAATTTAGATTGAAATTCACTGAAACCTTGGAACTGCTGTTTCTTCATTCAATATCTTTGCCAACACCAAAGAGGTTGTGATGGTAGAATGGAAATAAACAATTGTTTTTTTTATTTTGTCCAAAATACCACCAGATTAACTGTACTAAATTTGACATTCGGAACCTCAAATTCAAATTGAACAGTTTAGGGGCTGCCATATAGCTTATCTTGCTGATTGCAGTATCTACTACATTATTTCTTATCCTGTCACAATAACTTGATTTTGTACGTGACATGCAGGGGGGGCACTTATTTTGTACATAAATTTTAGGGGGGGTCATACACATTGTACATGCTTCTCCATAAAAATCATCACTGGGTATTGGATGAATAAGTTTGTCCTTATTAGGGAACAAATCACTCGAGGGAAAGATTTAGTATCAAACTCACTTTCGTTTGTTTGATGCAAAATCATTTATTTGTTTAATAAAAATGGTATTACATGGAAGATCGTTTAGTATTCACTATTTATTAACATTCCTGTCTGGTTACAGGTGACCTGCCTTCCAACTCCATGCTGTATGAATACTTCTGGGACACGGAGAAGAAGGGATGGATCCAGTGGTCCAAGTTGGTGCCCAAGTATATCCACAATCCGGAGAAGAAGTTCAACGAGATCCTCGTGCCTACTGTCGACACTGTCAGGTCAACGTGGCTGCTGGAACTAATGGTGGGCATCAAGAGACCAGTTGTCCTTTTTTTCCTTATCCTGACTCATGCTCTTTTTGCTTGTCTTCTTCTTCTTGCGAACATAGTGGAACACTTGTATCTCCCTAATTGAAGCTCCTTCAATTTAAAATCACTAATTAGTATTCACCACGAGTTACCTCCTTTCCACAAGCTGGCGGGGAGCGAGAGCACCTCTACCCATGTGCCTCACTCTCTCCTTCTTAAGCCCAGTGAGGCTGGGCGTGAGAGCGCCTGTGTCTCCGACACACTATATCCTTTGATTATATTTAGTTAGTTACCTCGTATAGACATCTATAGAGGTTTAGCTAGTATCCTTCAGCGATTATATATTGATATTTAGTCGTTTTTCTACAGTTTATTCACGGGGCCGCCGTGTTTGTTTCAGTGGATTACGTTGATGAAAATTCTGTACTATTGCAGATTCGTTTTTATGCTGCTGCTGATCCACCTTTAATATGATATGCGGTAGCCATGTTTATTATATTCACATTGCAGTTCGCGGTACTAATTTATCAATTCTACCTCTTTATTAATATTTACTTTGCGTTTGTACGCACAGCAGATAGGTCGGCGTATGCAGAGTCTAGTATGACTGATACGGAACCCCTAAGCCAGTCTACTGCTGTTGGCCGACTCCCCTCCCGTGTGGTGTTCGCTAGAGTGGTGGAGAGGTGTGGGGCGTAGTCCGCCATCTCAAGAAGCATTCTGCTTCCCCAGACATCCCATCGTCGCAGCAGAAGACTAGAGGGTTTTCTACTACATCTCAACAACCGAGACCCGTTCCCATCGAAGTTTGGGCCTGTATGATGATCAGCGGTCATCATACGGATGTACATCAAAGATTGACCCGATGTCGGCACAGATCAGCATGCAGCCTGATGTACCAGCGCAGATATCGCGATGATCGTCCTGAGGGTCCCATCATTACCAACACTCAGCGCAGGCGGCGTCGCACCCAGGGCAGCGTCGACCTCTGAGGAAAATCAGCGAAGTCTACTAGGACTTTCTCAGCGAGATTGTTCCAGCCGATGACCTGGACCTCACGATGATCAGCTGATCATCATCCCGGCGATGCGCCACAAGAAGCGACCGGGGACAGCTACAGCGACATCAGCAGAGATCACCATGCAGCCTGATGCCTCTACACTGATGTCGGACGATTTTCGGTGGACCCCTCCATTAACACCGCCAGATAAAGCACCGGCGACCTGCGTCGCCAGACCATCCCAGAAGACATGATCGACAAATTATGAACATCATGGAGGACCAATATCTCTGCGGTAGCAGGGTCGAGAACCAGCGAAGGCTCCAAGCGTGAACAACACCCAGAGGCACCCCGTCAGCGTAGCAGCCAGGGCGATGTCACCGCCAGCGAAGGAAGTCGCGGACCACCTTGGCCAGAAGGACCTAGATGTACAGCCAGCCGCGAAGGCCTTAGCGAAGCGGAAAGGACCTAGATGTACAGCCTTGGCGGCGGAAAGAACCTAGATGTACAGCCTTAGCGAAGGACTTAGCGAAGGCAGGATAAATCATCACCTTATGCGGTTTCATCCCTAGATGTGGACTCGGACCATCAGACATCCGCGGAAGCCTTCGCGCGAAGGTCATATCGTCGTTCCCCGGACGGACGCAGAGGAAGCTTCAGCGAAGGCATGCTTGATGAGACACCTGAATCAGATCATCATCATCTAGAAGGACATCGAGGGACTATACAAGAGCTTAGCGAAACTATCAGCGTTCCCCTCACAAGTCTCGAGAAGATCAACCCATAGACAAGTTGATCATCGATATCAAGTATAAGAACTACAATCGTATATTGGTTCTGTTGAATCCATGGCCGAGGCGTATGTTAAGCTGGCCTAAATAGATCTAGAGCGATCAATTAGACACTTATCACCAGACTTAAGTAAACGACTTCTGAGATATGATAAGATGATCCATGCGGCCATGCTTAGGCAAGCGGCAGCCCGATCCACATCCTGTTAAACACAGAGGCTGTTCGCGAACAAAGCTCATATATATATTTATATATATATATATATATATACTAATCGGGCTTTGACTTCGACACCTTAGCGATGGTCGCGAAGGCTAAAGTAACTCAAGTCTACTTCACCCAGAAGATCTAGAAGGGATGCTTGAGAACCAGCGAAGTCTCGGCGTTCACCGAGGAAGTCTCCTCCAAGGTTTCCATATACTAGCCACTTTCGTCATATATAGCTACTTCGTCGTCAGTCCGTTCAAGGCGTCGCATAAGTTGATTATCAACTGTATGCCAGATGCGATCTATAAGCCTCTGGCGAAGATAATTGCTCAGGCTATTTACAACACAGAGCGTCGGCTGTATTATTAGTCAGCGACATTTCATAGATCTTCACAGAAATCAACTATTCATTATAAATTGCTAATATACAATCCCGGACGGCGATCGATTATCTACATGCGTGACCATTACGCATATCTGCGAACAATTCAATATCGAAATTGAACAGCAGCCTTGTTACAGCGAGTATAACTCTTAATCGTCAAAGTTTCTGAGAAGAAATATGTACAACAAGTTCAGCGTTAATTCTACAATTATGGCCGATACATTCATGTATACAGTCTACAAGCTCACAACTTGCAAGTTGTTTATACCCTTATATATAAGGAAGTCGAATTATATTCAAAACTGAAATTACTTTCCGCGACAACCAGGAAAATAACCTACCCAGCATAAAATTACAGAAGCGAGATATTTTGGCGGAGGTTTTCAGCGGTTACCATTAACCCTCGAAAACCGTGGTCACTCGGATAACCCGGGGAAGCTACGGTGAAGACCGGCGTTTATGCTAATATCAGCGGCGACAAGAATTTATTCAAGGTGGGTTTTCCGCTACACCGTGACATCACATCTGGCGGGTATTATACAGAATCAAAATGCCTTGTTCTGATTGGACGCGAGGGACAACGACCTACAGAGAGGTCGATCTCTATTCACAGTTCAAGACTTACGTCACAAGTGACAACTATATATCAGTGAGCGAGCAAGCCTCATTACAGTCCAGTTAACCTGAACATTCATGATTAGACTGCCTTTCTTCAAGATAGAGACCTCCCTGTCAAGTTAAGGCGAGGGATCGGCAGTCAGAGGCGATTTTACATAAAGTTCAGCGAGGACAGACACACCTGGTTGTGCACCTACATCGTCAAGGACTTTGGCGAATTACCTAGGCGAAAGATACAAGTGGATCTAAATCCACAGCGTTTCAGACTACAGCTGAATTTCATCAAGCGACTAACACAACTAGATGGTTAGTAAACCTACTAAACTTCTGTTTGGAGAATAAGCGGAAATTTCCGTAACCTGGGGATATGAATATAGTGCTCCAACACCTCACAAGTGAGGTTTATGAACAACGCCTGGATGACATACTTGGACCCCATGATCACGATGATTCTATCAAGATGGCCAGCAAGAGCACTGTAAATTTATCTCCACCAAACCAAACAGGAGTAAAAAAATGCAACAGATTATTTCCTCTATCATCAACTTACGCAGAGAGAAGTCTCATGTACTATATCTCCATTTGGATCAGAACTGTCATACTCGTGCATATCGCGGATGGACCTATTCCGACCCTCCATGAGCTTAATACTCATGATATTATAGCGCTAACTTCTACAATTGTTCCACACAAATGTGATTGAAATATTGGAGGGTTTATTTCTGGAGATCCGATATGGTGGTTGCAAACCATTATCTGAGAGATATCACCACGAGGGCGTCTCAGGTATACACCAATTCGATCCCATGGTCCTCGCACAACAGCTGACAGTTCCTCGGAGAAGATAAGTCAATCTAACAGATTTTTACTTATCTTATAACAATACTAAATAGCTTCATGCTATATATAATTTACTTAAGTTCCTTTTATCATCACAGTACTATGATTATTACATCATACAATATATAAGTTAACAACTCTACAGAGTTTGTTATTATATATATTTACCTTAAGTTATTCATATCTTAAGAGTAATATTATGGTTACATGATAAATGCATCAGCTAACAAACTCTACAGAGTTTTGGCTATTTTATACATAGCTTAAGTTAATTAAGCTAACAAACTCTGAGGAGTTTTACTATTATATAGGTAACTTAAGCTAATTATACCTTAAGCATAGTACTATACTCATATTATTAAAATATATTGGCTAACAAACTCTAAGGAGTTTTGCTATTATATAGGTAGCTTAAAGCTTATTCATATCTTAAGCTTAGTACTATGTTTATATCATATAAGTAGATTAGCTAACAAACTCTAAAGAGTTTTTGCTATTTGGCTTAAGTATCATCATATTTCTAAGCAATATGGTTATATTATAACATGTATTAGCTAACAAACTCTACAGAGTTTTAGCTATTATATATGTAACTTAAAGCTTATTCATATCTTAAAGCGCAGTACTATGTTTATATCATATAGGTATATTAGCTATCAAAACTCTAAAAGAGGGTTTTGCTATTATATATTTAAGCTTAAGTTTCATCATATTTTAAGCTTTATAGTTACATTATAACATGTATTAGCTAACAAACTCTCACGGAGTTCTTGCTATTATATATGTAGCTTAAGTTTTCCTTCATAAGCTCAATACTAGGTTTATATCATAGCTAACAAACTCTAAAGGGTTGTTTTAAGCTATTATACAATTAGCTTAAGTTTTCATCATATCTTAAGCAGTATGGTTACATTATAAAGGTATTAGCTAACAAAGGCTTCGTGAGTTTTGTTATTATATATATATAGCTTAAGTTTCATCATAACTTAAGCTCAGTACTATAAGCTTAGTACTATGGTTACACTATAAACATATTAGCTAATAAACTCTACAGAGTTTTTTGGCTATTATATATGTAGCTTAAGTTAATAATATCTTAAGCACAATACTATACTCATATTGTAAAATATATTAGCTAACAAACTCTACGGAGTTCTGCTATTATATATGTTGCTTAAGTTCATTATATCTTAAGCACACTACTATACTCATATTGTAAAATATATTAGCTAACAAACTCTCACGGGTTTTGCTATTATATATGTAGCTTAAGTTAATTATATCTTAAGCACACTACTATACTCATATTGTAAAAATATATTAGCTAACAAAACCCTACAGAGTTTTGCTATATATATGTAGCTTAAGTTAATTATATCTTAAGCTCAGTACTATACTAATATTATAAATATATATTAGCTAACAAACTCTACAGAGTTTGGCTATTATATATGTAGCTTAAGTTAATTATAGCTTAAGCACAGTACTATACTCATATTATAAAAATATATTAGCTAACAAACTCTACAGAGTTTGGCTATTATATATGTAGCTTAAGTTAATTATGGCTTAAGCACAGTACTATACTCATATTATAAAAATATATTAGCTAACAAACTCTACAGGTTTTGCTATTATATATGTAGCTAAAGCTTATTCATATCTTAAGCTCAGCATTATATCTATATCATATAAGTATATTAACTAACAAACTCTAAAGAGTTTGCTATTATATAATTAGCTTAAGTTTAATCATATCTTAAGCTTAGTACTATGTTATATCTTAAAGTATTTTAGCTAACAAACTCTAAGGAGTTTATACTAGCATATTAACAAGCTTAAGTCTATTAGTCTTAAGCATTGTATTAATGTTATATATACTTTATCATAATAAGTACATGGTAATAACCTTTTATATGGCAGCTGATAAGTTAGCAGCAGGAATTCATCAATTCAGTGCCTTTATGAAGTTCCCATAGGGTTATTACAATCATCACAGTTCAAATCACTAATTATTAAAATCCAAAGTATTAGATATTCCCACCTCCGTTCCATTAGGATGCTACAAACAAAAGAGCATGAGTCAGGATAAGGAAAAATATGTAATTTTGGAGTAAAATTGATATTTTATACTTATCCTGACTCATGAGGTCAGCCCTCCCATCCTCCCAAATAACACTTTGGATTTCCCTGTAAATTCAAATGTTGGGCTCAGTATATGAGAGGGAGAGTGAGGCACATGGGTAGAGGTGAAGCCCTCGTTCAGCTTGTGGAAAGGAGGTAACTTCGTGGTGAATACTAATTAGTGATTTTAAATTGAAGGGAGCTTCAATTAGGGAGATACAAGTGTTCCACTATGTTAAGCAAGAAGAAGAAGACAAGCAAAAGAGCATGAGTCAGGATAAGTATAAAATATCAATTTTACTCCAAAATTACATTTTGGTACAACAAGGACTGGTCGGCTCGGAGTCAGTATAAAAGGTCTGAGTGGGGTATTCATGCTTCACTGCGGCATGGTATCTCAGTGGGCTAGCACTATAAAACCAGCTTCAGTCTGGGCTAGTACAAGCAGCCGCACATACACACACATGCACATCATCGTATGAGCGAAATACTCTCAAGCACGACGTTAAACCCAACTTCACCTCACCTCACCTAATTCCATGAAGCTGCATCCCTCTTGTGACCCCCCATTATAATGTTAGATCACTGGATTGTTTGGTCCAGACTCGATTATTTACAGACCGCCGCCATATTGCTGGAATATTGCTGAGTGCGGCATAAACCTATACTCTTTCGCTCGCTTGCTCACTCACTCACTCACTCACATGTTAGGCTTCTTATGACATGTTGGACAGATTCTGGTGCGCATTAAGCACCATGCTGGAGAAGTCATATCACCTTTCATCTTCTTCCCTCTTCCCCAGCTCCTCCTGAACATGAACTTCTCCAGTCGGACCACTTCCCTTGACGTCCAGCGAAACTTGGAGGCTAATGTAGAGAAGAGGACGAAGGACACATATGGTCCTCCACCGGGCAAACGCCTCCTCATCTTTATTGATGACATGAACATGCCACAGGTAATATCAACTTGAATGTATACATTAAAGGGTTTACACTGATATTGCCTGGTTGTAGAGGCAAGTATCCCTGTAAGGCTAGACTGCTCACTTTGGCAAAAAATGAGATAGTCATGTTTTGGCTGACCACGTGATGGGGCAGGGTATTGGGTGAATAGGTGTATCCTTATTAGGGAACAGATCTCTCAAGGGATGAATTTATTTTTGTTTTGGTATGAAATTGAAGACAAAGCAATCTTTAATGCAGGATTGGTGTTAAGTATGTAATCTATAACTTGTTGATAATTTTGACTGGTGGCTTATGGCTCCAGCGAGTTGACCTTCAAATGCAGGTGTGTTCCATCGCTTAGTTTCAGTTGATTCATCCACTCACTTTGCTCTAGGTTGACACATACGGCACCCAGCAACCCATTGCTCTCCTCAAGCTTCTGTTGGAACGTGGTGGCATCTATGACCGCGGCAAAGACCTCAACTGGAAGAACATGAAGGACATCGGCTACATTGCTGCCATGGGCAAGGCAGGTGGAGGTCGTAACGAGACGGATCCCCGGTTTGTGTCGCTGTTCAGTGTGTTCAACATGACATTCCCTGACGACGAGTCTCTGTATCATATTTACAACTCTATCCTCAGCGGTCACACGCAGCCGATGAGCAAGGACATCCAGGACCTGGTGTCCACCATCACCAAGATGACCATGTCGCTCTACAGGTGAGATTTTGAGAATCATGAAATGGAAATTATTTTGGCACAAGATAATCATATGTGGGTGAGTGAGTATTTTTTTAAGCTGTTTGCAGCAATATTCTAGCAATATCACGGCGGGGGACACCAGAAATGGGCTTCACACATTGTACCCATGTGGGGAATCGAACCCGGGTCTTCAGCATCATGCGCTGTGCGCTAACGCTTTAACACTAGGCTACCCCACTGCCCCCGTATGTGTTGAGATGGCGAACTGTGCATTCAAGAAGCTAAGTGTACCGATGCACCAACATCCAGTAATGTGGAGGAGAAAGTCCGAAATCGGTCAAATAATTTCAGACATGAGGCCGCACGAGCACAGCTAATCGACGGTTTGAGGACTTTCTCCAACTTAAAACAAAGTCAACATTTCATTCATCTGCGGAATATGTTGGTGACTGTTATTGTAAAATATTCTACTAATTTAGTCATTTAAAACAATTTGAGGTCTCAAGTAGTCACTTGTGGCTGCATAACCTCGTTTTAATTCTTGTTGAATGTGCTGCCAGCTTCAAACATCACTGTACACTGTGGGGAGCAGGCACACTGAGGGTAAATATTGAGGTGATTAGATGGCTATTTGTGATAACAACGCTGTTATGCCACAACTGCATTAATAGCTGTTTGATCGTCTTGCGAGGACACTCTTGAAGTGCTTGGTTTAGAGTGAGTTAGTTTAGTTTTACGCCGCACTCAGCAATATTCCAGCTATATGTCGGTGGTCTGGACCAGACAATCCAGTGATCAACAGCATGAGCATCAATCTACACAATTTGGAAGGATGACATGTGTCGACCAAGTCAGCGAGCCTGACCACCCAATCCCGTTAGTCGCCTCTTACAACAAGCATGGGTTACTGAAGATCAATTCTAACCTAGATCTTCACGGGTGCTTGGTTTAGAATACTTTACTGAAGGTTCCTTTGGTTTAATTCCACTCTTTAGTTCAGTGTGTGAAAACAAGATACACATGTTGCTTGACCCAAAAAATCAAAAGATAGTGTCAAGGACATGTCCATAGTAGAATTACTGAGGTTAGTAAAGGGAGGTAAATCAGCAATGTACAGATTATAAAATCATTCATATCTGCACATGATTTCATGATTTGCATCAGGTAACATTTGGGCACTGTATTTTACTTTTGAAAACATGTACAAAAAGAACAATCTAAAGAAATTACCTTGGTGAAAAAGTATGGCCAATCATTAGGTTTGTAATTATTTGGTGTCATGTCAAACAACATCTGAAGTGTCTTTAACTGTTTTGGTGAGAAAATTACCTTCCTGTAGTATGTCATTAAGTTTGTAATTATTTGGTGTCATGTCAAACAACATCTGAAGTGTCTTTAGCTGTTTTGGTGACTTTCTTCCTGTATAAAGCGGGCATACTTTACAGGTATAAGAATATTTCTTAATAATATACAAGTATTTTCAACTGTTTTCTTTCCTTCCAGCTCCATTGTAAAGGAACTTCCTCCCACACCTTCCAAGTTCCACTACATCTTCAATCTGCGAGACTTGTCTCGGATCTACAGCGGCCTCTGTCTGTCGACACCCGACAGGTTCACCAAAGTCGACCAGTTTCTTCGTCTCTGGAGAAATGAATGCTTGAGAGTTATCGGAGACAGGCTCATCAGTGTTGTGGACAAGGAGCTAGTCAACGTAAGTCCTTGAAAGCATTCTTCAGCAGTTTTCGAAATGCATGCTAGTCCTCAAGCCCACGCCTACCAAATTATGCTGAGGACAAGCCACAATCCAATGATGGTGTCCTTGATTAACAAGTATCATTGGAGGGCTATTATTTTGAACGAGTTCACAAAACCTCTGCCTCACCTTGTCGAAGTAAGACTAGACACAAACACTGTGGACCAGTGTATTTAGGTTTATACTCATCCTCTAGACTAGTCTTAATAACAGTGAATGTCTAAGGCAGTTTCAGTTGAAATAAAATGTTTAAGGACGATTGAACCTTTTGAAGAGTTAAGTAATACTAAATTAAGCACATGATTTATTAAGTGAGGATGGTATATTCCAGCAATAACACGGCAGAGGACACCAGAAATGGGCTTCACACATTGTACCCATGTGGGGAATCGAAACCTGGCCCTCGCCGTTACAAGCGAACACTTTAACCACTAGGCTACCCCACCGACCCATGATTTATTACCTAAACTGACTTTGGCTAAGATGATATGTCTAACTAAATTTTGGAAGAAAGTATTGTAGACAGAACATTCAGAACAATTTGTATTCTTTTGGCATCTATTCAGATATGTTTGCTGACTCATATGTTGGTTATCAGACACCCCATAGTAAATGAGTGAGCAGATTTAGTTTCACGATGCTTTTAGCAATATTCCAACAATTTCATGGGAATCTAACCCAGGTGTTTGGTGTGATGAGCGAACGCTTTAACCACTAGGCTAATCACCGCCTCTAGAATATTGCTAAGGTAGTGTAAAACCATAGTCGCTGAGCTGTCAGACAGTGCAATGCAAGTGTGCACGTCTTCTCACCTAAGCGTAGGTGATTGCAGCGCTGTTCTAGGGAAATAACTCTATTCTACAGAAGGGGTACGTAAAAGGTGAAGGTGTGGTCAAAGGGAGGTAACTCTTGTCCTAACTCAAAATACATTTTCTGACATAAAATAACACTTGATGAATCTGGACCTGGTCACAAACACACAGATAAATCTTTGCGTGGCAGGGCTTAACTCCACCATGGTCTAGTGGATTAAGCATGTGAGCTTGAGATTGGTAGTGGATGATTCCAAGCCGTTTTATACAATAGGAATTAGGATGTCGAATAATGGTTTTTGCAGTGTTAGAAACCTTCCAAAATGTCCAAAATAACAATTTACTTCACTATCTATACTTTTTTTATCATTTGAACTTTAAACATCTTTTAAATATTTTTTAAATTGACTGGCCACCAGGACCACTGCAAACATATCATTTAGTCAGGTCCTGATGAATTTTTACTAGTCAGGGACCATAGGACCAGCGTAAATTTCGCACACTGTACTGGTTATATTTCCTGGCATTGACAAACACTTGCACATGCATAACACATTGCTTTATCCGTGCAATAATCTTGTAACCCATTAAATTTCACTTACCAAAGGGATTTGACAGTTTAATTCATTTTTCACAGAAAACACTGAAAAGCCTGCTGGAGGAAAACTTCAAGCCTGAGGTTGAGTATGTGTTGAAAGATCCCATCCTGTATGGCGATTACCGCACAGCGTTGGACGAGGGAGAACCTCGGCTGTACGAAGATGTTCAGGACTATGATGCTAGCAAGGCTCTCTTCCAGGAGGTAGGTAGTAAGAAGCTATAATTTCTCCCGTTCTAAAGATGAGTTAGGTTCTATAAATTCTCTACTTCTGATGATGGAAATTTACATTTCTACTTTCCTTTTCTTTTATGGAACGTGCTTTTAATGGTGTTATTTTAGAATTTATCATTAAGGCTTATGAACTTACTTGGTGTCATAGCAGAAATAACCATGTACAAATTTCATCATAATTCCTAATGAAATGCAGGGTTGGTTTAGGACATTATCTCATGAAAATCTCACTATGCCGGTACATGTACTCTCATATGATGATGTTAACAGATAACGTCAGGTGAACTTCGAGTGTCCAATTTAAATGAGATTATTTTGAAAACTACATGTTTCATAGTGTATTGTATGGCCTTTTGTATTGAATATTGTATATTTATATTGTATTCCGTCTGTAGATTCTGGAAGAATACAATGAAAACAACACCCCTATGAACCTCGTTCTCTTCGACGATGCCCTTGACCACTTGACCCGTGTGCACCGTGTCCTGAGAATGGACGGTGGTCATGCTCTTCTGGTGGGTGTGGGCGGGTCTGGCAAGCAGAGCTTGTGTCGTCTAGCATCCTATGCTGCGGGATGTGAGGTGTTTGAGATAAAGCTGAGCCGAGGCTACAACGAGAGTTCCTTCCGTGACGATCTGAAGATCCTGTACAACAAGCTGGGGATGGAAAACAAGAAAACAGTCTTCCTGTTTACTGACCAGCATGTGGCGGAAGAAGGTAAGATACTTTTTAGCCATTTTTAAGCCTTATCAATAGACCTACATGTTAGGAAAATAATTGTCTTGCAATATATTGCCATTCAAGTATCAGTATTGCGATTTGTTTTGCTATACATTGGGAGCTAAAGTGTCAGACAGTCAGTGACTCTGGTAATACATGTAGGTCCTATTTTCTGGATACCAACGTAGGTATTACTGAACATAGTCATTGCCTCCATTTTGTTGCCATGGATACAGGGGAGATCCATTACAACTTGACATAAAGGTCACTTATGTGTTTCCACTGTTTTGTCAATCAGTTCTTATTATTGTTAAACTTTAATTGTGAATACATGTCTGGGTAGATTTTAAGTTTGATGATGCAAATAATAATGAAAGCTTATATTTGTTTTCCACAACAGAAAAATACCTTTGCTTTCTTGTTAAGATAAGTTGGGAAGCATAGCTTAGAGGCGAATATGAGGATGTTAGTGTTCTTAGTCTCTTTCAATTTGGGGACATGAAATAATATTGATAATGATCATATTTGTGAATTCAATGTTACAATTTTGAATGCCATGATATTTTAATTATGATATTATAGTGGTATTTGGAATTGTGCTTTTGAGTACAAGAACACTAGACATAATGAAGTCTAGTTTCAAATGATGATTTTAGGGGGGGCTACACATTTTGTTCTTGGGAGATAGAGGGATAGTCAATTTTGTACACATGTACTTGGTGGGGATCAGCTATTTTGCTCATAAAAGTATTAAAAAATTATGCCTAAAAATAATGGGAGGGTGGGTGCTGTATTTGATTATTTACATGACATGCAGGGGGAGGGGGGGATCACTTACTTTGTACATACATTTTAGAGGGGGTCATTCACATTGTACATACTTCTCCATAAAAATTATCATCACCCCCTGTAGCCATAAATAATGATGGTTATCTCTGTTAGTACTTGACAAATGATGATTGTCTTGCACAGGATTTCTTGAGCTGATCAACAACATGTTGACATCCGGCATGGTGCCTGCATTGTATGCTGATGATGAAAAGGAAGGCATCATTGGATCGGTAAGGTTAAGAATTGTCTTTTAGAACAAGTACTAACCTTTTTGTTATGTACAATTTGTAAGCACTGAAATGAAGCCTTTATCATTATGGTTAATTACCTCAGGTAAATTTTGCGGTTACCTGAGACTTCTCACTCACACTGTTTTGATTCTGGTGCAAGTATCACCTAAATATATATTCTGAATTAATCTAATGTGAATTAGAATTCAGTTTTTACTCATTCCAAAGGATTCGTCCACTGAAGTGGAAACCTTATCTGAAAATAATGAAGTATGTTTTATGAGCAGATAAAATGTGTTGTGTTCATCTGATTTACGTTGGTGTTTTGCGGTAGAGATACATCTTGTCTGTGATGGAGCTCTAATCTCGTAGACTCAGTGTGGCCAGTGTAAGTAATGTCTCCTGGTGTTTGCAGGTACGGAATGAGGCTCTGGCAGCTGGATGTCCACATGCAAGAGAAAGCATCTGGCAGTTCTATGTTAACAAATGTGCCAACAATCTCCACGTTGTCATGGCAATGTCACCAGTGGGTGACACACTGAGGACACGTTGCAGGAACTTCCCAGGTCAGTCTCAGTCCCAATGTCAGTCTCAATCTCAATCAAACACTGCTGTCTTTTTCTTAGCTTCTGTCCGAGTGGCAAGTCCCTGTCTTAGTCTCAATTTCAATCTCAATCTCAGCTTTGATTTCCGTCTCAGTCTCAGTGTTAATTTTATTTCAATCTCAATCTCAGTATCAATCCCAGTCTCAATTTCAATCTCAATCTCAGTTTTAATTTCAGTCTCAGTGTTAATTTCTATTTCAATCTCAATCTCAGTATCAATCCCAGTCTCAGTCTCAATTTCAATCTCAATCTCAGTTTTAATTTCAGCCTCAGTCTCAGTGTTAATTTTTATTTCAATCTCAGTATCAATCCCAGTCTCAGTCTCAATTTCAATCTCAATTTCAGTTTTAATTTCAGTCTCAGTGTTAATTTCTATTTCAATCTCAATCTCATTTTCAGTATCAATCTCAATTTCAGTCTCAGTCTCAATTTCAGTCTCAGTCTCAATTTCAATCTCAGCCTCAGTGCTAAAATTAATCTCAATCTCAGCCTCAGCCTCAGTTTCTGTACTTAACAGTAAATCTCAGTCTTGCCTGCTATATTATTGTTGTCAGAGTTTTAATCTGGCACAGGCAAACCATCCAGTTTAACACCGAATCCATGTTACTTGAAGACCTACAGACACTTGTTTAATCAGTCTCTTCACATCGCCCAGATAGTCAGTCTGTCAGTATCAACAAGGTTCTGCTTTTCATCAATCATTGTGGAGTAAAAGGTTTCTCTAGACTGTCATCAAAGGAAATATGCCCACCTAAAATACCTGTTCTTCATTTGATACAAGAATATCTATTGATGTTGCAATGTTTTCTAGGAATGGTAAACAACGCCAGTATTGACTGGTTCTTCCCCTGGCCTGAGCAGGCTCTGTATGCTGTGGCCAGTGTTTTCATCTCACCAGATGTAAGTTGTAAAAGTTGATGTTCATCCAAACTAAGGCACTATAACATTGGACATACACACAGATATCATATTATTGTTGATTGAAAGTGTTTCATAGCACCTTAATGAATCTTTAGTCTGAACTCCAGTGCTGCACCCAGCCTACTTAATTGCGGGATTCCCGCTAATTGTACTTACCTTGGCTCTTTATTTATAAATGTAGGCACCAACAATGGCGCAAATTTATTTTCTATAACACATTTTCATATATTGGGCAAGTATTATTTCAAAATATTTTCATTGAAAGTGATGTCAAACATTCGTAAATCAAAATGAAAATATTGAAACTTCTGGAATTCAAAATGAGGCTTCCTAAGCTCTACACATTGCTAGTGCATCTATTTGCATATGAAACTGTAATATGAATCACTGTAAGTAGCTCGTTTTGCTGTATGGAGCTCAAACTGATGTACAGAGTTCATCATAGAAACTTTTGGGCCGTCAAAATGTCAAAGAGAAGGATTACAGATTATTATTTTTCTGTTTTGGTTATTGGCCCACATTTTCTAAAGCCCCTTCCAAGGAAATCCGGGCTGCAGCACTTGAACTCTGATGCAAGATGTGGTACCAAATGAACACCAATATTTTCTTGTTCACAGCATACTCTCATCCCCGACAATCATCGTGAGGACGTGGTCAGCCATATTGTGTTGGTGCATCAAAGTGTTGGAGAGTACAGCAAGAAGTTCCTGCAGCGTCTGAGACGTAACAACTACGTCACGCCCAAAAACTACCTGGACTTCATCAACACCTATCTTAAACTCCTAGAGGAGAAGGACAAGTTCATCCTTGCACAGGTGAGTAGGATGATAAGTGACGTATCAACACGGCACCTCCGGCCAGGCAATGAGGAGACAATAGATTTTGCTTTGGCAAGATGATGAAGTTAATCAGGAATGATCGTAGCATGCTTATCAGCCTGGGCCTAGATTTTCAAAGCTCTCTTAGCACTAAGATAGTCGTAAGTTAATGTTAATGTATGGCATTAAGGACTATCTTAGTGCTAAGAGAGCTTAAAAAATCTAGGCCCTGGTCATAATCAGTGGTCACATTTTTGTTGGACTTCTGTTGAATCAAGTGCAATTAAAGTACCAAGTGGAAAACTTTCCAATTTTTGTCACCCCTGATTTTGACCAGGACGTTACGTACATATATGGCATGATGATGTAGATATTACAATTAAACAGGAAAGGTTGTAGCATACATAGTGAATATATGACATCATGACAGCCTGTCGAACAAAGAGGTTGACAAAGAAAAAGAAAAACATCTCCAGCCCTTATCTACAAAGGGATCTATCTAGACCTGGTTGGAGGTGGATATTCAGACCCAACTCTGAAGCAAATGTTGGTTCATGTTCCCAGGTGGGTTTGACAAGTTTCCCAATACATGTTGCTGAGCTATGACTTATTCTATGGCTTGAGATGTTTTTTCACTGACTGATTTGATAAGATAGCTATTAATTTCTCAAACAGTCTGAATCCTTAGAGATCCCTGTTTACTAATTTTGCCAGGACAAATCTGTATGTCCATCATTAGCTCAAGAAGCTGAGGTTGTAACTCTTCATTCATAACAGGGGCGGTGGGGTAGCCTAATGGTTAAAGCGTTGGCTCGTCACGCCGAAGACCCGGGTTCGAATCCCCACATTGGCACAATTTGTGAAGCCCATTTCTGGTGTCCCCCGCCGTGATGTTGCTGGAATATTGCTAAAAGCGGTGTAAAACCAAACTCAGTCATTCAGTCAGTCATTCATAACAATGTTTGCCACTATCAAAGCATCATGTATCAATTTGACAGTGTGAGCGTCTGGCGGGAGGTCTGCAGAAGATCGCAGATGCCAGCGAGCAACTTGCCGTGCTCAATGAGAAGTTGGCAGTGCAGAAGATTGCTGTGACGGAGAAGACTGCTGCTTGTGAAGCACTTCTTGAGGAGATCTCCTCTGGAACCATCCAAGCCACGGAGAAGAAACAACTAGCTCAGAAGAAAGGGCATGAGATTGAAGAACAGAGCAAGATCATTGTTGTAGAGAAGGTAGGACTACGTTTAATATCCACTATTGTTATGGTGGCGCAGTGGTCAGGCAGTTTATTGTGCAGTGTTACCTCCCTTAGACATGCGATGGTCACTGATCATGGGTTCAGATCCCAGATCCTTGTGGTTTGTAAGCACCATAACCTTGTTAGGTTTCAGTGAAGTGATAAACGTCTTCAACAGTCTTCACTTTTAGCCATTAGTCCCAAACCCAGATCTAGTGAGGTCTGTTTGCTCTCATAAACCTAGCTAATAATGATAAAGAGAAAATGTACTGTAAATGATGTTAAGAGCTATTTTGGTAATTTCAAACATTTTTTGGCACAGACAATCTGCATTCTAAATCAACAGACTCTCATTAATTGTAATATCACTGAAAATATGTTCAAAATAACAGGTTACAAGTGGAACAGTTGTATAAGGCACCACAGTTAGCTGTGAAGACACTCCTTCAGACCAGTGTTTGCAATACTTTGGCAGGCTTTAAAATCTACAGGCCCAGAATGAAATCTGCAGGCCCATTTTGTTAACGCCAAACCAATAAAAACAAAATAGACTACACTGTACACAGTGTACACAAAGTGCTGAAACTGTAGGTTATCGTAACATGATGGATCATGGCTGATTTCCCAAACATTAATAAAGAAAAAAAATTATGGGAAAGATTCCAGTTGAAAAAAAAAAGAGACAGATAATTTACTGAAGGCCATAAGGGCCTGCAAATATTTGAAACTGCCGGCCCGATACATTAACAACTTGCACTGGGCCTGTGGGCTGGTGATTATTTCACACGCTGCTTCAGACATGCCACAAACTTGTGGTCACAGATTGTAATCCCAGCTTTAGTCTGTCTCACAGTCCCTGAACCACATTAATTTCCCTACTGCCAAGCCCTCTCTGCTGTGCTAAAGCCCTAAATAAAGCAAGTCTAGATTTCCTCAGGTTCAGGATCTCTGGTCTCCCTAGGGCTCCTTTTCAATATAAATGGGCTTGTTTGTTACTATCAAAATTAAATATATTCAGAGACTAAGCCTTAGTCTATCCCAGCTTATGCAGACTATGTTTCTAGGTTCTTCAGCATCAAATCTATCTATGCTTGTAGGTTTCACTCAGGTTGCAAATATCTAAGCTCTTCATCACTTTGGACGTTCCTCCCCCAGCAAGCTCATAGATGGTGATATTTCTTAATACTGGTCAAAGCAGTTTTCAACCAAATTCACTCCTTGAATCACATGATGAAGGAATTATTAGCACTGTCTTATGTTCATGTTGCTGTGAGCGTCGGAGTAGTCTAGAGGTGAAAGAGTTAGCTTGTCACACCCGAAGACCCAGGTTTGATTAACCACATTGGTACAATGTGTAAAACCCATTTCTGGTGTCCCCTGCAGTGATGTTGCTGGAATATTGCTGAAAGCGGCGTAAAGGAATACACACACACACACACACACTCACTCACTTACTGTTGTCCCACAGAAAGATGCTGAGGATGCCCTGCAAGAGGCCCTGCCTGCCCTGGAGGCTGCCAGATTTGCCCTGGAGGACCTGGATAAGTCAGATGTCACTGAGATCAGGTAAGGACATCGTGATCGATCTGTGGGCGTAACCTTACTGAAAACAAATTGTCTGTCATCTCAGGGACAAAAAAGACGATACACATTATCAATCTATTTCAATTCTGTATTTTGGGCCCGAGGCATTATACTGTAATAAATCTGAAAGGATGTTGATTTCAAGCCAAATTCCTTAACGGTTACATTATACCTAACCTCAATAACTCAACATTTAACTCAAAATAATCATGTTGCCCCTATTCACATCTCCAAAATTCACCTTAGTCAGCCATACAGACCCTGACAAATATATCCAATGCAGCCCCTGCGAGTTTAAAACAGTTGGCAAGACAGTTTCTGAAGATAAGTAAAGTCTCATGGCATCTTTTTATTGTATTTTAATTAATTCAACAACTGTATAATATCTCATTTCTGAGATTAAATGTTAGTCTAAATACATCTGTATGTGTATGTAGGTAGCCTAGTGGTTAATGCGATTGCCTGTCATGCCAAAGACCTGGGTTCCATTGGGTTCCAGTACAATGTGAGAAGCCCATTTCCGGTGTCCCTTGCCGTGATATTGCTGAAATATTGCTAAAAACATCCTCACGTACTCTTTACATCACACTGTATATATCCTGGCCCTCAATCCCATATAGATTTATGATGTAGGCAAAGATGAGATGAGATGGCTGATGTAGTATGACTCAAAATATGACTTATTTACTTCCAGGTCTTTTGCCAAGCCCCCAAAAGCTGTGCAGACAGTGTGTGAATGTATTGTGGTCCTCAAGGGTATCCGAGAAGTGTCCTGGAAGTCGGCTAAAGGAATGATGTCAGAGGCCAACTTCTTGAGAACTCTGACAGAGTTGGATGTGGACAACATTGGTTCCAGACAGACCCAGGCTGTCAAAGGTACTGCTCCATTCATCTGTATCTGGGGCGGTGGGGTAGCCTAGTGGTTAAAGTGCTCGGGTTGTATTCCCCACATGGATACAATATTTGAAGCCCATTTCTGGTGCCCCCCCCCTTCCCCTCCAGTGATATTGCTGGAATATTGCTAAAAGCAGCGTGAAACCATTCTCCCTCACTCACTCATCTTTATCTGTTCTGCCTGTGGTATGTTTGTTATTTTTCCTTATCCTGACTCATATCCTGACACCTCACACCTCCTGTCAGGGTCTGCCCATGCCTACTAATATTCTCCTGAATATTCTCCAATGGTGTTCAGGTCTTGTTAATACTGCTAGTTGCTCACAGACTGGTTGTTTGTGTGTCAGGGCTGCTGAAGGACATTGATATGAGCCCAGATGACATGAAGAACATCAGTAAAGCTGGATCCGGTCTACTCAAGTTCGTGGAGGCCGTCATGGGCTACTGTGTGGTGGCCAGGGAGATCAAGCCCAAGAGAGAAAAGGTAGACCCTTGTACTTGTTTGAAACTAAAGGGCAATCCCAGCATGGTTGTCAACTAAAAATAGATTAGTGTAAATATGTTTAAAGTTCATGAAATTAATATGAGAATGAAATACATGTGAAAAAAGGGAGTTTGACTTGCTCATTAACAACATGACACATTTGTTTTAACATAATGGAGTATAATGCCATGTTGGCTTCACTGTACAAGGGCGGAAACAGAGACATATATAACAAAGTTCATAGTTAACAGTGTAACTGATTGCTAGACTAAGACAGTGCTTATATATAAGCAATGTTACAGCTATATGATGCATGATGGGAGTTACAATTGGGATCTTAGCACTATGATGACCTTAAGCTTATGTTAAAGTATGGGAGTTACAATTGCAATCTTAGCACTATGCTGATATTAAGCCTATGTTAAAGTATGGGAGTTACAACCAGGGGTCGACAATTTCGACATGATTTTTAGGTCAGGGTAGCCAAAGGGGTGATGCTGGCAATATTCTGGTATTTCTTTAGTTACAGTATATGACAAACAGAATATATTACATGCATGGTAAGGGAAAAGTGTCGGTAGCGAACAATAATAAACTAGACAGTAAACGATTATTTACTTATTTTACAGGTGGCTAAGCTGGAGAGGACGTATCACCAAGCCAAGCGAGACTTGGATAAGATCACAAATGAGGTGAACTCCCTGGAGAAGCTGCTGAATGCGCTGAACAAACAATACGAGGAGGCGATGGCCGAGAAGAAAGCCCTCTGTGATGAGGCAGAGATCATGGAGAGGAGACTGATTGCTGCTGATAAGCTCATATCCGGTCTCGGCTCTGAGAACATCAGGTAAATCTTAGCACTATGATGATTTTAAGCCTATGTTGATCTTAGCACTATGATGATCTTAAGCCTATGTCGATCTTAACGCTATGATGATCTTAAGCCTATGTCGATCTTAACACTATGATGATCGTAAGCCTATGTCGATCTTAGCACTATGATGATCTTAAGCCTATGTCGATCTTAGCACTATGATGAACTTAAGCCTGTGTCGATCTTAACACTATGATGATCTTAAGCCTATGTTAAAGTATGGTACAAAGGTTTCAGGACCATGTGTCTTATTTGTTTTGTGCACTTATCCCTATTCTGAGTTATTTAATCATTCATCGTTCTCATTTGAACCCAAACAGACTAGTAACTGGAACTTGGCAACCACAATATACATTTTCAGTTCCTGATATGGAACACATCGGGGCCTTTAATTAGACATTTTCATGCTTAAAATAATTATGAAATGTTTAATTCTAATAAATGATAAATTAGGATATGAAAGGCTCAGGTAATATGTAAGCTCTCTGTCCCTCAAAGGGACGGCACTGTACAGTGATCATTACCTGGAGTTTAGATCCAGGCTTTACCTAGCATGAGTCACGACAGTTCTAACACTGTCTGTCTTCTCCAGATGGACCAAGGACTTGGAGGATCTGAAACAGATGAGGATCCGACTGTTGGGAGACTGTCTGGTTAGTTCCGCCTTCCTCAGTTATGTTGGCGCCTTCAGCTGGGAGTTCCGCTATGACCTCGTACACAAGGACTGGGTGAATGACCTGCGTGACCGGGGAGTTCCTCTCAGTGACCCCTACAGGGTGGAAGACCTGCTGACCAATGATGTCGAGATCAGCAAGTAAGTAGCAGATGTTGTTGCTGATGGTGGGATTATCTAGATATCTATTCCTTTCAAGACAATAGAGAGTATTCATCACACCCCTACAGTGTTGAATGTTGATCAGTTTGTTATGTTTTAGTTGTTTAGTAATTATAAGGCCACTTATATAGTGCTGAACTCCAGGCCTGTGAGGCACTAGAAGGTGAATAGACATGCAACTTATCCCACCGGGTACCCATTTTCTGCTGTGTGAAGAGGGGTAACTTTGCCATGTGTCAAGTGTGCTTCGTTGTGGGGCAGGAGAGAAGTCCTAGAAACTCTCAGGAATCTAGCTGCCAAACACGGTCACCCACCCAACTACTACGCATACATATTAAGCATTTCAATGGATTCTTATTAAATGTGGTGTGTGGATTGTCTTTAATGAAAACATGTTTGTCAAATCGATTATATGATTAGTTTCTGATGATTGCATAAACAAGCATTGATGAATTGTGTTATATACATAATGACTATAGAAAATTCCTTTGATTGATGCTTACAGTAATGTTCCAAGCCCGGTTTTGACTTTAACTCATGACACAGCAAGGAAAAACATCTCAATACATAGAGAGGTGTTCGTGACACCAGTGTACAATGGATGGGTAAACTTACATGTTTGATGCAGGTGGACATCCGAGGGTCTGCCGCCAGATGAACTGTCCATCCAGAACGGTATCCTGACCACTCGGGCTAGCCGCTTCCCCCTGTGTATTGACCCCCAGCAACAAGCTCTCAAGTGGATTAAGAAGAAGGAAGAGCCTCACAATCTGAAGGTAGGATAGTTTCCTGTATCTATACAAGCACTGCAGCATTTCATTGATGACTTCATGTAAGGCTGTGATGTGGTCAAGGTGACAGTGGAGTGTTGTGATCGTGGAATGGGGACATGATACTAGTGGTGGTCCGATTAATTGAAATAATCTGAGATTGGTTGCAATGACAAAATGACCAATCAATCGATCATGTTTTCTCATAATCAAACACAAACAATTTTGGAACACTTGTTTGCAATAACGATATTTTCACAAGGTTGGTTTTGTCTGTTACATTTTATTAGCACTACAAGAGTACAAGCTCTTCCAATTCATGATTGAATTTATTTTAAAGTTCATGTTCCTAACATACTAGTCATCCTTTAAAGATGTGAAATTTGCAAATGCATTTTGTGCAATTTGCAAAAAAAAACGAAAGAACTACATGTTTTTTCATTATTTTTTGTGCATTAACAAACATAACCAGAAAAATTTAATAAATGACGCTAACCAATTATTTTCGATGATAGATCGGTTGTAATGAACCAATCATCAATTATGAGATTTAAACCAATTCCCAACACTACATGACACTCCCGTTCATCTTTTACAAGCAAAACATGACCTGTTGTAAGATGGAATTAACATTTTGATATTTATGTTATGTTGTAGGCTTGATGAGCTTACTTCAGCCTTATCACTTTTGGCAACACTGTGATGACTTCAGTATGACTTTTGACTGCTCCTAATGGAATACCCACAGCATGCACTATCCCGTACACGTAGTGTCCAACACATGCACTATCTGCCACATACACTATCCATCAAACGCCATCTACCATGTGCAGTATCAACAACATATACTATCCACCATATACACTACCCACAACAAGCACTATCCACAGCATACTCCATCCACAACATGTACTATCCACAACACACACTATCCATGGTATTCTCTGTCTACCACAAGCACTATCCACAACATATACTATCTACCACATATACTACCCACAACACACACTATCCACGACATATTCTATCTACCACATGCAGTACCCACAACATATACTATCCACCTCATACACTACCCGCAACACACACTATCCACCATATACACTATCCACAACATATACTATCCACCACATATACTATCCACCATACAAACTATCTATCACTTGCACTCTCTGCTACTTACACTATCCACAACACACACTATCTACCACATGCACTACTCTTAGCTATTGAAAAGTCTGTTCAGTTACAAACATTTCTAATGCCTTGGTTGAAACTTGTTTCCAACCAGTGTGACATACGATCATGGATGAATTGTTTGTTCCAGGTGTGCACGTTCAATGACCCGGACTTCCTGAAGCAGCTGGAACTGGCTATCAAATATGGTTTCCCCTTCCTCTTCCAAGATGTGGATGAATACATCGACCCTGTCATTGACAATGTCCTGGGAGAAAAATGTTAAAGGTATGCTTCCTTGTTGTGGAGAACTGTTTTCTTCATGGGATGTTCCTGGAAATAAAAGCAGTTCAGGATATGAAGACATTTTTGCTAATTGGCAGCTCCGTTGTAGGATTTGAACTATGTCATAGGCATGTGTTTATGAATCACAATCAGAGTGAGTGAGTATGGTTTAATGCCGCTTTTAGCAATATTCCAGCGATATCATGGTGAGGGAAACCAAACATGGGCTCTCAATCAGACAGTGGTGATACAAGGTGTTAGCAGATCAAAACTGAAACAATTCCAGTGCTGGATGTTCCTCCGATTTAGTGATCATGTAGCAGAGTCTCTGACTACTCAATGTCAGGGTCAAACATAGGTATACACAGTCCACATCTCCCCCCATTAGACCTGTGTGGGGTGGTGGGGTAGCCTAGTTTTACTGCATTGGCTCGTCACACCGAAGACCCAGGTTCAACTCCCCACATGGTTACAATGGGTGAAACCCATTTCTGGTGTCCCCAGTCATGATATTGCTGGAATATTGCTGGAATATTGCTAAAAGCAGCATAAACTCCAAATCACTCACTCACTCATTAGACCCATGAAGATCCGGGTTTGATTTGGTTATCCAGAACCCATGCTTGTAGCATGAGGCGACTAACGGGATCGGGGTGGTCAAGCTAGCTGACTTGGGTGACACATGTCATCGTAACCAAATTGAATCGATTGATGTTCATGATCACTCGATTGTCTGATCCAAACTAGATTATTTATAGACCTCCATATAGCTGGAATATTGCTGTGTGCGGCTTTAAACAACAAACCAACCAATCTCAAATTTCAGTGAAGTAATGTTCAGGCAGCTGGAGGCCATTTTGTAATGATAACATAATCTATGTCATACAATTAGCAACAGTTAGATATTTGGCTGACTAGGATATGGATAACTTCTGGGTGATCACCTGCCATGTGTCTGTGTTTCAGGGGCCCAGGGCAGGGAGTTTGTGGTTCTTGGGGACAAGGAGGTAGACTATGACCCCAATTTCCGTCTGTATCTCAACACCAAGCTGGCCAACCCCAAATACGGACCTAACATCTTCGGCAAGTCCATGGTCATCAACTACACTGTCACACTCAAGGTAGGTGGAAGTCGTTTCTGTCTTGGATTGGGAACAGTTAAGGTTTTCTCGAAAATGAATGTAAATGGGCAGTTCTGAATGGAGTTCAAGTGTGATGGAATGGAGCTGGTGTTAATGTTGTTTCGTTTCTGTACAGGGTCTGGAGGACCAGCTGCTGAGTGTCCTAGTTTGATGGAATGGAGCTGGTGTTGATGTTGTTTGTTTCTGTACAGGGTCTGGAGGACCAACTGCTGAGTGTCCTAGTTTGATGGAATGGAGTTGGTGTTGATGTTGTTTTGTTTCTGTACAGGGTCTGGAGGACCAGCTGCTGAGTGTCATAGTCAAGTATGAGAGGAAGGAACTTGAAGAGCAGAGGGAGAGACTCATCCAGGAGACCAGGTCAGTGGATGGTCACACCTGTTTCACGAATTATGTAGTGTTGTGCAAAATGATTTTGAAAATATTGTAGGAAATCAACTAATCACCACTTGCCTCCTTCATGATACAAGTTAAGTCTTCCAGGGTTTTGTTTCATGACCTTGCCATATGACTGTCATGATTTTACTTTGTGAGTGTTTCCTACATTTCCATCACCATGGAGACTGGCAATAGAATCCATGTAGGTCCCCAGCATCCCATTTCTGGTTGTGGGAAGAAACCAAATTGGATTGTTAGATCAGATGTTGTGTCAAGGCTAACACGTTATTTGAGATTACACTTTCTCAGTAAAGTACAGATTCTAGTACTTTTGTTGGATTGAGTCTCATCCGCGATGTGAAACCACATCCTCAGAGTCAGGCACGTAATCACCAGCACACAAAGTCAGGCGTCTAAACCACTCAGCCAGCGCTCCGTCTAGTGTGATTGACATGGGGTAGTCTAGTGTCATGCCGAAGAACTGGGTTCGATTCCCCACATGGGTACAATGTGTGAAGCCCATTTCTGGTGTCCTCTGCCGTGGTATTGCTGGAATATTGCTAAAAGCGGCGTAAAACTAAACTCACTCATGGGTACCTAGACGTAATACTAACACAGAAACATGAAGGACCCAAGGATGCCTGTTATTAACTAACACTATGTGTCCCAGCGTGTCAACAAGCGTCTGCTGAAGGACCTGGAGGACTCACTGCTGAGGGAGCTGGCCACATCCCAGGGCAACATGCTGGATAATGTGGAGCTCGTCTCTACTCTGGAGGAAACCAAGTCCAAGGCCACAGAGGTGCGTCTGCTCAATCACCTGTCTTCCATTTCTGGCTTTGGGGGGAAATTTGAATTGAGGGTCTTTGTTCTCTTGTAAATGTGATATAATTGCAAGATATTTTTTAAGTTGTGTTTCAAAGTTGATTGAATCACATTCTTTCATGATCATATGGTGAACTGTTTTATTTGAATGCTATAAATGTCATGTTAAGTTGCATGTTTTAATCGGCATGTCTTGATCAACTTCTTGACAGGTATGTAAATAATCTTTAAAAGCACCACTAAGATTGAAAATGCACTTCTGTTGTATTTATTTCACATCAAGTAGCAATAGAGAAGGGATATATAACTGCATTGTAACTATATTCATGGAAACGAATAAGGGAACACATGAAAGTACAAGTGTTCCTTTATTCTTTTCCAGGTTTCTTCATAAGGTATGTATTTCACTGTGAGTGAAATTCTGGAAATAAATAAAGGAACACTTGTACTTTCATGTGTTCCCTTATTTGTTTCCATGAGTATATTGTTGAAAAGGTTTAATCCGTATGTTCATGACTGCGATCCCCAAAAATATCTTAGCGCTATGATCATCATAACTAGATCACACCATATATAGACATAACAATGCTAAGATAGCTTTGTGAAAGTGGGCCTCTCATAGTAACAAGCTTAAAAACATTTACAACCATCACATTTTTTATCCCTCTTGCAGGTTTCGGAGAAGCTGAAACTTGGAGCCAAGACAGCAATCGATATCGAGAAACTGCGTGATGGCTACAGGCCTGCTGCTAAGCGGGGAGCCATCCTGTTCTTCGTCCTGGCGGAGATGTCGCTTGTCAACACTATGTACCAGTACTCGCTAGCGTCCTACCTCGAGGTGTTCGAGTTCTCACTGAGGAAGAGTCTCCCAGACTCCATCTTGGTGAAGAGACTGAGGAACATCATGGACACTCTCACTCACAACGTCTACAACTACGGCTGTACAGGTTGGTAGCTGTCACGATACTGGAGGGATTGTGGGGAACATCTGCTTCTGGGTAAACTCGTAACAGCTCTGGGCGGTGGGGTAGCCTTGTGGTTTAGCGTTCGCGCTCATCACGCCAAAGACTAGGTTTGATTCCCCACACGGGTACAATGTGTGAAGCCCATTTCTGGTGTCCCCCACTAATGATATTGCTGGAATATTGCTAAAAGCGGCGTAAAACTAAACTCACTCACTCATAAGAGCTCTCACACATTAGCATGCAACTCACACCATTTTCATTACAGATCTTGCTCTCACTCACTGTTACTGAATATCTTAAGCATTTATTAAATAAATGTATAAAATGACAATGTATCATATACTTCAGCCACATGCTCCAAGTTCTGTTCAGAGTGCATAACATTACCCAATACAAGTGAACAGATTGGTTTTACATTGCTTTGGGCAATATATACTCAATCAAGAAAGTTTAGAAGAGAAGGCTTTGATAATTGGCTACCTCATGTCAGTCTTAATCTAAGAGTGAGTGAGTGAGTGAGTATGGTTTTACGCTGCTTTTAGCAATATTCCAGCAATATCACGGCGGGGGACACCAGAAATGGGTTTCACATATTGTACCCATGTGGGGAATCGAACCCACGTCTTTAGCTTGACGAGCCAACGCTTTAACCACTAGGCTATCCCACCTCCCCCTTAATCTAAGAGGGAAGATAAAATGAGGTTTAGGTAGTTACAATATATGATGTTAGTGTGTCGTAATTGATGACTTGTCGTAATTGTTGTTCATGATGTCAATCCCAGGTTTGCATGGATGCCAATATTAATTATCATCTGTGACTGTTCCAGGTATATTTGAGAAACACAAACTGCTGTTCTCATTCCAAATCACCATCAAACTGGAACAAGACCAGAGCCATGTTGCCCAAGAGGAGCTGGATTTCTTCATCAAGGTACACAAAATATTGTCATTATGGGAAATACTACCTGATGTACAGAGTTATGTCCCATTGACATATCAGGATCCTGTAACCAAGGCCCAAATCCCAGGTCCCCTTTGATTGGGATCCTTGTTTTATCAGGACATTCCTGATCTTCGCGGTTTCAGCCATGGGTAATGTCTACAGCTTGTTTGGCATAGTGGTCTTGTTGGAAATCGCTGTGCAGAGCTGCATCTTTGGGGGATGCCAGAAATCTTTCAATTTCAGGCTTGCTGCCCACATTAAGCTGACTTACTGTTGGAAGCAGTGTTAAACCCAATTCACTCATCTACTTGCAAACTTTCCACTCTCTTCCTTATGGAAGGCCACCATATTGCTGGAATATTGCTGAGTGTGACGTAAAACTAAAACTAAAACTAAAACTAAAACTCCTTCTGGAAGTTGTATTTAACACCATGATGTGACAGAAGCATCTAACCCACCCAGTACATGTGTGATGGTAAATTGAAAAGCTTTCACATTTTCATCGTGGGAAACTTTCCATAAAGTATTATAATTTTCTATAAAACTTTGGTTAGCATATCTAGCCATATTCAACAATGTGTACATAATACAGTGAAAATTGTGTAAACCGGCACCCCACCGGGCCAAATTAAATGCCGGTTTAGACAGGATGCCGGATTAGACAGTGACGATCATTTTCGAACATGGCTGCCATTTACACTCGCCAATCTCTTTATTCCTGATTATCTAGCTACCGAGAGGAGTGTATTGGATTAAGGGACCCTGATTGGACTGCTCCTACCCATGCCGGCTTAGAGCGTTTGATTCACCGCGCAATCACTTCTTCCTGATTATCTAGCGTGACAAGAGGATTAATTAGTGTATTGGATTATGGGACCTTCTTTGGACTGCTGATAACCATGCCAGTGTAGACAGTGTTAATTACAGTTAAAATTGCTTGTTGGGACCGGAAAGTCGTGACGGAATACGGAATAGACAGGTGCCGGATTAGAAAATGTCTTAATGATCATAATATCGTTATAAAAGGCGGGACCAAAATTTTATGCCGGTTTTGTCAGTGTGCCGGATTAGACAGGTGCCGGTATTGGCAGGTTTCACTGTATATGATATTTGACCAAATATTGTTTCCATAAATAACCAGATCTTGAGAAACGAAGTAATACTCTGACAACTGGTGCAGTTTTTATCAATGTTGTGTTTGTGTTGATCAGGGTAACATCGCTCTAGAAAAAAGCAAGCGACGTAAGCCGTTCCCCTGGATACCGGACGAGGGATGGGAAGACTGCAACCGCCTGGTAGAGGTTTTGCCAGAGAAGTTTAGTACACTACTTGATGATATTGAGAGAAACGAGAAGCTGTGGAAGAAGGTTAGTTGATCAACTTATGGTGCTGTTGGGATCTGAAGGGATTCCACAAAACAGTAGGTTCCCATACCTGTGTTTGTCTTAATTGGTGATGTAATTGATCAAGTGGTAAGGCTTTGTGTTTTTGGAGAAGAAACGTGCTTGACTAAATGGTGACGTAACTGATCCAGTGGTCAGACTTTGTGTTTTTGGAGAAGAAACGTGCTTGACTAAATGGTGACGTAACTGATCGAGTGGTCAGACTTTATGTTTTTGGAGAAGTAACGTGCTTGACTAAATGGTGACGTAACTGATCAAGTGGTCAGACTTTGTGTTTTTGGAGAAGCAGCGTGCTTGACTAAATGGTGACGTAACTGATCAAGTGGTCAGGCTTTGTGTTTTTGGAGAAGAAACGTGCTTGACTAAATGGTGACGTAACTGATCAAGTGGTCAGACTTTATGTTTTTGGAGAAGAAACGTGCTTGACTAAATGGTGACGTAACTGATCAAGTGGTCAGACTTTATGTATTTTTCCTTATCCTGACTCATGCTCTTTTGCTTGTCTTCTTCTTCTTGCGAACATAGTGGAACACTTGTATCTCCTTATTTGAAGCTCCCTTCAAAATAAAATCACTAATTGGTACTCACCACGAGTTGCTCCCCTTTGTCTCCCCTGGCGGGAAAAGGTGTCGCCACCCTCTGGCCATGTGCTCCACTCTCTCCTTCTTCGACCAGTGAGCAGGATGTGAGAGCGCCTTGTGTCTCCTTACACACATATCCTTTGATAATCTCTTAGTTTTTACCTCTCATAGGTTACTATAGAGGTATAGCTAGTATCCTTTACTACCATTTGTATTGATTAATTATCGTGATTTCTACTGTTTATTCAACGCAGTATTCGCGGATTGTTCAGCTAGCTTTACGCTCATGAAAATCTGTACGATTTGTAGATTACGCTTGCCTCCGATCCACATGTAATATGCCCTAGTTGTTCTACTGCGTGTGCTTAATTCACGCTGCAGTTACTGCATTAATTTATCTCATTCTGCATTTAATAAATATCATCTTTATGCCTTTAAGACGCATGCAGATAGATCACGCAAACAAGGGCAAAACATGGCAGAGAGTCCAGATATTCCTTCCAGTCAGCTGCTAGCGACGACCCTCTCCCGCCTGGTGTTCTGCTAGAGACCCCGCGCAGAGGAACGGGACGCAGTCCGCTACTCGAAGAAACGACCGCCTCCCCAGACATCCCGCCATTGCAGACTAAGTCTAAGAGGGCCTTCATCGCCGCCTCAACGCAGATTGAGGACACCCAGGGCAGCGCAGACTTCCAAAGGAAATTCCACGAAGACAGCAAGAACTTTCAGCCGAGATCGCTCCAGCAGCAGAGTTGGGCCTCTACGATGATCAGCCGATAATCATCCCCGACTTTACGGCAGAAGAAGCGACCGTGTCAGCGACTGTGACTTCTGCAGAGATCTTCCATGCAGCCTGATGCCTCTACACCGACGCCAGACGCCATTGATGTGAACCCCATCGCAGAAAAGACGCCGACGACTTCGTCACAGATCATCCCAGAAGACATGATGCGCAGATTATGAACATCATGGAGGACCACTACAAACTGGCGCAAGCAGGGTCCGAAAGCCGCGAAGGCTCCAACGTAGAGAGGCACCCCCGCCAACGAAGCAGCCAAGACGATGTCACCTTCAAGCGAAGGAAGTCCCGCACCACCTTGACGGCGACCTAGATGTACAGCCTTCGCTAAGGCCTTCGCTAAGGCGGAGAGATCATCACCATCTTCGATTTCATCTCTAGATATGGACTCAGACCATCAGACATCACGGAAGCCTTCGCGAAGGTCATATCATCGATCCCCGACCGACGCTATGAAATGAAGCTTAAGGCATTCGCGAAAAGACATATGATTCCAGATCTTCATCGCCTAGAAGAACATCGAGGACTGCCGAAGAGCTTCGCCGGCTATCAACATTCACCTCACAAGTCTCGAGAAGATCATCCCATAGACGATCTCCACTGCTTCATCACCAGGTCGATCACCCATCAGATCTCCACATAGAGCGCGACAAGTCAACTAGATCGCCACAAACCTCATCAGATATTCAGATAGCTACACGCAGTCCCGAAGAGCATCTACAATTTATTAATGATGATGGTTTTGAGGATGATGGAGGAATCATATTTTCTGATGCAGAGATACGGTATTGGATGGTCAATAACCTAGATCTCACATCACCATCTAAAAGTGGCAATACAGCTCAGACGATTTGATGAAGGAAGATGATCCAGATGCAATCACTCTACCCCGATCGACCCGATTATGCGGCAGTGCCACAGAATCTAGATGCAGCTTTCCAGAAAGCTACGAAAGTTCAGATACCACATCTACCCAACTTTCAAGCCAAGAAGTTCTCCACGCATAACATGGACTCCTTCTACAAGGCCCAGGACATCGATGAGAACTATAAGATCATCAGCGATGTAAAGAACAAGATTTACAAGATGGATGATCGCAAGTTGGCTCATATAGAAACCATGACGAGACGATGTTCTTTGGGTTAAATAGATCTAGGACGATCAATGAGACTCTTATTACTAGATTCGGATTCCACGACGGAAGATGATAGAATGATTTATTCTGCCTTACTTATGCAAAAGAAAGATCAGCAGTTTTTAACGGATCATCTTACATCTGTTTCAGCAGCATTGACCTTAGCTCGTCGCCAAGGCCTCCTCGGCCTCCTGTAATTGGGGGGAGAACTTTACAGCCCCACTTTATACAGCCCCGTGGTCGACAACATCCATCTTTGACGGAGAAATCGACAAGGTCGCCAAGGAAGTCTCTAAGGATTCCAGGGAAGTCCTTATGATTAGATCGATGGACACACTAGCCAGCGCCATTCGGCCAGACTTCACAAAGATACTCAGGCAGATCTAAGTTCACGGGCCTACAAAGAGCAAGAGACAGGAAGATAGCCAGCTCTAGAGGTAAAGATTCTTTTTCACGCCCATATGGCAACTATAGAGGAGGATCAGGAAGAGGCAGGACACCCAGAGGTTCCCGCAATTATAGACGCTGAAACACAGGTTCGGAACGACTGGAGTCTTCCACCCCCAGCCGTTCCAGTACAACCAGCTCAAGTGGGTGGACGCCTCCAACTACACTGGGAAAACTGGGGAATACTGCAAGATCCTTACGTCTCCAACATTATTCAACACGGATTTCGTATCCCTCTACAGGACAAGCCTCCGCTGACAATCAAACCCCCCAAGTTCGATTTACAAGCGCAACAACTACCAAAGATAAAAGAGGCTGTCTCATCACTCCTATCCAAACAGGCCATAGAAGTAATAGATCAAGCAAACGTCGAACCAGGTTTCTACTCCCCAGTTTTCCTAGTTCCCAAGAAAAACTCCACGGAGAAATACAGACTCATCTACAACATGAGCTTTTTCAACAAGAACTATCTCCACAAACCACCGAAGTTTCGCAGATGATACATTTACCTCAGTTACGCCAGATGATTCATTCCTATGGACTACATGGGCAGCATAGATCTACAGGATGCCTACTTGCACATCCCCATTCATCCCGATTCCAGGAAATACCTACGATTTACTCTAGAAGGGCTACATTACCAGTGGAAAGTACTCCCATTCGAATATCATCAGCCCCTGGCTATTCACGAGGATAACGAAACCGATTATCAAATTTCTACATCGCCAAGGGCTACGCGAGTGCGCTTTTACCTCGACGACGGATACAAGTAGATCAAGATCCACTCGCGCCTCAAACTACAGTTAAATTACATCATAAAGCTACTATCACAACTAGGTTGGTTAGTAAACTTACATTAAAGTCGGACCTAGTACCATCGCAAGACCTACAGTTCCTAGGTATTCGATTCATCACAAATCGCAACCAGATATGGTACCAGAAGACCGTTGGCTCAAGATACAACAGACCATTCCACCAGCTCTACTCTCTCCGCTACCACTGCGACAATGGCAGAGCCTACTAGGTCTTCTCACATCAGCCCAAGACATGACTGTCACAGGCAGATTACAGTTACGCCCCCTACAGGTCCTCATCAACGACATCTCAACGATGTACAACCATTCAGTCTACCGAAACATCTCAGACCACATCTACTATGGTGGACCAAGAAATCGAATGTCTGGCGAAGGGATTTGTTTAGCAGAGCAGGAATACAAAACCCATCTGTATGTAGACGCGTTACTCCAAGGTTGGGGAGCTCATCTCACCAACCACACGATATCAGGGTTATGGAATCAGCAAGAATGCAAACTCCATATAAACAGTCTAGAAATGAAAGCTGTAATCAACGCTTATTCTACATTGGAGCACATTTCTACAAAATGCGCCTAATGATCCATACAGACAATTCGACAGTGGCGTTCTACATAAACAAGCAAGGCTCAACGAGATCGATGAACCTTTTGAACCTAAGCTTTCAACTGTTCGATTTAATACAAGATCTAAATCTACATGTCAAAGCAGTGCACATTCCCGAGCCAGAAATATACTAGCAGACGCTTCTCTCGCCTCATCTACCATCACCGACAGAGTGGATGATCAACCGGGAAATTTTGCACAGATAATCAAGCAATTAGAGCCGCTAATAGACCTATTCGCCACGCCGATTCAACAATCAGCTACCGACATTCGTGGTCACCAGTCCCAGACCCCAAGCTTGGGCAACGGACGCCTAAGTCTATCATGGAAGGCCTCAATGCGCACGCCGCTTCGCCGCCAGCAATAATACCTCAAGTATTACAGAAAATCAGACAAACACAGAGCCTACAACTCACTTTGGTCGCCCTCTACTGGCCGGCCAGAACGTGGTTTCCCATACTAATTCAAGAAATCGGGTCAACCAACACTGGAGCTACCCAAGCCAAGCAAACCTGTTAATTCATCCTCACACCAAACAAGTGCACGGAAACCCAGCAATGTTCCAACTACACGTATGGACTGTATACAAATGTGTTTAAACAAGAGAGGATATTCTGCCAGGGCGGCAAAAGCAGTCACGCTTGCCTTACGCTACTCAACTCGTAACTTGTACGACGACAAGTGGCACAGTTTCGAAAATTATGCAACAAAGAAAGGGTTTACAGCAAGAGAGGCTTCACAACCTCAAGTGGCAGACTATTTGTGTTACTCTACGCCAAAACAAACATTTAAAAGGTTCAACGATATCAACATATCTTGCCGCTTAGCTCTGTAATCACCATGAGAACGGGTGTCAAATTGACAAGATCTCCAGAGTTACTGGCCTTACTACGAGCTTTCCGATTGAGGACCAAAGCGGAAGTTCCACGCTTCCAGCTTGGGATCTGAATGTAGTGTTACAACACCTCACGAAAGTGAGGTCTATGAACCCTTGAATCGACATAAACTTTGAATTTCTCTCACAGAAAACATTGTTTCTGCTATCGCTAGCCACAGCAGCAAGAATGTCTGAAATTCACGCTCTGGATTACGAGAGGATACAGTTTGATGACAATCATAACACAGCACCTCGGATTAAGATGGGATTTCATTGCAAAGAATCAACTGCCAGGTCAACCAGACAGATTATTCCACATCCCGGCGCTATCCTCTATTCTCGATCACAAGATACACAAGACCTATCACTGTGTCCGTAAGAGCTCAAAGTTTATTTACGACGATCCAAAACAAGAAGAAGATTTCTCAAACGCTTATTCATCCCATTATCGCCACTTAATCAAACAGAAGTGTCACGAACCACAATATCTATTTGGATAAGGACTGTCATTCTCCGTGCCTACAAGGCAGCAGGCTTGGACCCACCAACAGCATCAAATCCACATGAGATCAGGGCACTGGCCTCTACCCTCGCCTCTACACGGTAACTGTTCCTTGAACACATTATGGAAGGATGCTATTGGAAATCTAACATGGTATTTGCTAATCACTACCTAAGAGACATCACTACAGAAGATGTCTCTGGCATTCACCATTTCGACCACTGGTCCTCGCCAGCAACTGACAGTCCCTCAGAGGCGTTAAAATATTAGCCTCACAAGATTAATATGTATTTTATACATACTCATCTAGCTTATAACTCTAAGGAGTTTTAGGGCTATGTATATATGTTCAGCTTAAGTATTCTACCTTAAGCATATACTTGATATAGTCAATTTCAGTGCCTCTATCAGAGTCACCTATATATATATATATATAATTTATATGTATTGTTCAATATATTCATAATGTAATTCCCCTTTAATGGCTTTATATAACCTATGGTTTTCTTTATACAGGATACATCCTAAATCTAAGACTTCATGAAGTTCCGTAGGGATATTACAGTATATCTATACAAAATCACTAATTATAAATCCAAAGTATTCTGTTACCCACCTCCGTTCCGTAGGATGCTACAAGTAAAGAGCATGAGTCAGGATAAGGAAAAATATGTAATTTTTAGAGTAAAATTGATATTTTATACTTATCCTGACTCATGAGGTTAGCCCTCCCATCCTCCCCACATAACACTTTGGATTTCCCTGTAAATTCAAGTGTTGGGCTCGCTAAATCAGGAGAGAGTGGAGCACATGGCCAGAGGGTGGCGACACCTTTTCCCGCCAGGGGAGACAAAGGGGAGCAACTCGTGGTGAGTACCAATTAGTGATTTTATTTTGAAGGGAGCTTCAAATAAGGAGATACAAGTGTTCCACTATGTTCGCAAGAAGAAGAAGACAAGCAAAAGAGCATGAGTCAGGATAAGTATAAAATATCAATTTTACTCTAAAAATTACATTTTTGGAGAAGAAACGTGCTCGACTAAATGGTGACGTAACTGATCAAGTGGTCAGACTTTGTGTTTTTGGAGAAGAAACGTGCTTGACTAAATGGTGACGTAACTGATCAAGTGGTCAGACTTTGTGTTTTTGGAGAAGCAGCATGCTCGACTAAATGGTGACGTAACTGATCAAGTGGTCAGACTTTATGTTTTTGGAGAAGAAACGTGCTTCACTAAATGGTGACGTAACTGATCAAGTGGTCAGACTTTGTGTTTTTGGAGAAACAGCATGCTCGACTAAATGCATCCAGAAGCTGTTCCAATTTTCTTCCTTATCTTCTAATAATGTTGTAGAGAAGTGAACATGTGAGTTATCTCCCTTGGTAGGGTATTTGAGTCCTTGACCTACGATTTGGGTCTGTCTATGCCAGACCAGTACCTGAGAACAAGTGTACCCATCAGAGCTCTAAGCCAATGTCTGTGACATCATTCATTGAACATGATCATTTACTAGTTTGCCTGGCCCAGATTTGATTATTTGCAGTCGTATACTTGATGTATTGAGTCTATGGCGTTCAAAGGAAGCAATAGTCAGTGTGTTTGTGTTTGGAGTATTTAATAGCAGTACATTGTTTTCTTGGTTTGGGTTGCTGGTATAGAAAAAAAGAGGTATACTTCTTTCTTTCTTCAGCATACAAAGGACATTGAAATATAAAATACATCTTCTTGTTCAAACAGTACTCAAAGCTGCAGTAAGAAGTTTTGACTTTCTAATCAGCATGATAACTTAACTTATAACTGTTTTTTACCAAATTGTTTGTTTTGAAACTTAATGCTGATAATGACTAAGCATTGTTAAAAAGTCATCTTCACTGATAGACTTCTTGACTTGATTTGCTAATTATTATGCATATGTGTTCGATCATGCCAGTCTGAAACTTCAAGGGGCAGTGGGGTAGCCTAATGGTGAAATCATCAGCTCGTCACGCTGAACACCTAGGCTGATTCCCCACATGGGTACATAGTGTGAAGTCCATGTTTGCTGTCCCCTGCTGTGATGTTGCTGGAATATTGCTGAAGTGGCATAAAACCATACTCACTCACTCACTGAAACTTCAAGTGTTAAAAAGAACAAGTGCTATTTGTCACCCTTTTGAACATGCTTGAAACATTTCGTCCCAGTATTTCAAAGTTTGTCCAGTTTTGAAATTTGTCATTTCAACAGGGCCAACAGAGGGCTTTTATCAAAACATCTCATTGTAGAATATCAAAATGTAACAATGTGCTTTGATTCCTTGCAGTGGTACGATCATGACACACCCGAATCTCAAACATTCCCTCTGAAATATGAAGAATCTCTCACACACTTCCAACGTCTCATGCTCCTGAGATGTTTCCGAATTGACCGTGTCTATCGAGCTGTGACTGAGTTTGTTACCAAGGTGATGGGCGAGAAATATGTGACTCCACCAATCATAAGCTTCGAGTCGATCTTCGAGCAGAGCACACCAATGTCACCGATTGTGTTCATCTTGAGCCCAGGGTCTGATCCTGCTAGTGATCTGATGAAACTGGCGGAGAGATTGGACTTTGGTACCAACAAACTGAAGTTCTTGTCCATGGGTCAAGGTCAAGAGAAGGTAAGCATGTGAAATTATTTGACCTTAAAGAAATATGCTTAGTTGATAATGAGGTAGGAATTTTACAAAAACTGACAAACTACATCAATTTATGGAATATGTTTCGAAAGTGAGTTAATCTTGTAATTAATTCAGAAAAAATACAATACCATATGTTTCAATATTGGCCATGGTTGTTTTTGTGAATTGGATGATCCATTAAGAAATAAGTACATATTGATGAAATGCTGACACATTGGCTGAATCAACTATGCTAATTTATAAGCAGCATATGTGTGTTACTGGGTTTTACAAAGTGGTAATCTTAAGACCAGTATTACTTCGAATTTTCCCTCTATATCGGTCATACTGAGTCCAAATCCCAGTCTGATTACATTTGTAAACAACAAACGTGTGTGATTTTACAAAGTGGTCAATTTCCTCAGACCAGTATTATTTCAGGTTTTCCTTCAATATCAAGCTTAAACACCATGATGTAACTCAACAAATGTTTAAAGCAGCATTTACTTAACTCACAAACAGTCTAAGCAATTTCCAATCTTAGAAGCAAAATTGTTCTCAATGAGAATAACAGTGAAAATTATTTCTTACAGATTTGTCTTGATGAGCTATCTAGTTTTATTAACATGTCGATATGAAGTCAGATCTCAAAGAACGGGGGGCGGTGGGGTAGCCTTGTGATTTAAGCGGGTGCTCGTCACGGCAAAGACTTTGGTATAATTCACCTCATGGGTGCACTGTGTGAAGTCCATTTCCTGTGTCCCCCGCTGTGATATTGCTGGAATATTGCTAAACACGGTGTAAAAGTAAGCTCACTCACACACTCACTCACTCAAAGAACACTTTTAGAAACACCAAGGCTTGAGTGATGCAAGCAACAAGTTATTTCTATACCTTTTTGTACAACCTGTTGAGGTGTCAGACTTGGACGTCTTTGTTTCCAGGTGGCCCTTCAACTGTTGGAGACGGCTATAGCTCGTGGTCAGTGGCTTATGCTGCAGAACTGTCATCTGCTGGTCAAGTGGCTTCGTGACCTGGAGAAACAGCTCGAGAAACTGAACAAACCTCACCCAGACTTCCGTCTGTGGTTGACCACGGAGCCAACACCAAGTTTCCCCATTGGTATTCTACAGAGGTCACTGAAGGTAGGTTGACTGCTAGGTACCAAGTTTCCCCATCAGTATTCTGCAGAGGTCACTGAAGGTAGGTTGACTGCTAGGTACCAAGTTTTCCAAATCAGTATTCTGAAGAGGTCACTGAAGGTAGGTTGACAGCTAGGTACAAGGTTTCCCCATCAGTATTCTACAGAGGTCACTGAAGGTAGATTGACTGCTAGGTACCAAGTTTCCCCATCAGTATTCTGCAGAGGTCACTGAAGGTACCCAGTTTTGCCATCAATATACTACAAAGTCACTGAAGCGAGTTCTGATGCCAAATACCATTTTCCAAAGATAGCTCAGCTACTGTTATTTTGCAATCCTTAATAGAAGTACAAAAGGCATTGCGTATCAGTGGAATTTTTTTTATCATTGTGAATCATTTCTTGCAGGTTGTGACGGAGCCTCCCAATGGCCTGAAGCTGAACCTACGCAGTACGTATCACAAGATCCCAGTAGCGTCGCTGACAGAGTGCTCACATCCTGCCTTCCCCTCGCTGGTCTTTGTACTGGGCTTCTTCCACGCTGTGGTGCAGGAGCGCAGGAAGTATGGCAAGATCGGGTGGAATGTGTCATATGACTTCAACGAGTCAGACTTCCGAGTGTGCATGCAGATTCTCAACACGTACCTGATGAAGGCCCAGGAACAGGGGGATACCAAGATACCCTGGGCCAGCTTGAAGTACCTCATTGGAGAGGTGAGCAGAGATTATCCCAAACAGTTGGTTCAGTCATTGCTGGAACATGTTCATTATTTGCTACATTTGCATCAAATACAATAGCAGAATTTGGAATCTTCAAAATGTTATTTTATATTTTGCTGTCAATTATTTGATTTTCAAGGTCAGTAATTAAAATTCAAAATTCGAAAAAAAAACACCCAACACACTTTGACATGTCTGATGAATGTTGTTCTGTTCTGTTACCAGGTGATGTATGGTGGTCGTGCTATTGACGACTTTGACCGCCGCGTGCTTCGGACGTATATGGATGAATACATGGGTGACTTCATCTTTGATACGTTCCAGCCATTCCATTTCTATGTAGGAGAGGGTGTCGACTACAGGATCCCTGAAGATGGATCCAGGGATGTGTATGTTGGTGAGTAGCGGGAACACGGCACCTCACAGGATATATGATGGTTATGATGATATGTGCTTGATGGGACAGGTGTGTAGTGTATAAAATGAAATATAGCGATTAGCTATTTGTCTTGTTATGATGATAATGTTGGTCTAACTGTCACTTCTCTTTATACTGGCACTGTTCCGTCAGTGGTCTAAGTATTGTCTCCTTACATGTTCTAGGATCTGCTGGTAGCTGATTTTTATTCGTTTTTATTCAACCTATGATTGATGATTTACTTTCAGACTATATTGAGTCCTTACCTCTTGCGAACACACCAGAAGTGTTTGGTCTTCATCCAAATGCCGAGATCGGCTACTACACCCAGGCTGCTCGTGACATGTGGAGCCATCTGGTGGAACTACAGCCTCAGACAGGTAAGAAAGGGAGATAACTCATTTGAATTGACATTTACCAATTTCATTATCAATGCAGTACCCATTCATATACAGATTGCAGATGCAGTGTTTGCACTCAAACTTCTTTCTTCAAGCATATTTAACATCACACGTCTTTGGTGATAAATGCAGCCTTATACAAAGTCAATATCCTCACAGAAAACCCCATTCCCAGGTCTAGTGGGAAATGTATGTAGCCAGAGAGGGGAAGGTGACTGGTTTGATACCCTGGCTATGTTATACCAAAAGATGTTAAGAGATGGTACTTGTTGTTACCCAGTCTGGTATTCACCATTAAAGGTGGTACTTGTTGTTACCCTGTCTGGTATTCACCATTAAAGATGGTACTTGCTGATACCCTGTCTGGTATTCACCATTAAAGGTGGTACTTGTTGATACCCTGTCAGGTATTCACCATTAAAGATGGTACTTGTTGTTACCCTGTCTGGTATTCACCATTAAAGGTGGTACTTGTTGTTACCCTGTCTGGTATTCACCATTAACGGTGGTACTTGTTGATACCCTGTCTGGCATTCACCATTAACGGTGGTACTTGTTGATACCCTGTCTGATATTCACCATTAAAGGTGGTACTTGTTGTTACCCTGTCTGGCAGTCACCACTAAAGGTGGTACTTGTTGTTACCCTGTCTGGTATTCACCTTTAAAGGTGGTACTTGTTGTTACCCTGTCTGGTATTCACCATTAAAGGTGGTACTTGTTGTTACCCTGTCTGGTATTCACTATTAAAGGTGGTACTTGTTGTTACCCTGTCTGGCAGTCACCATTAAAAGATGGTACTTAGGAGATAAACATATTGTAGTGGAAAATCAGAGGTACATAACGAAATTAAAATAGTTCTAATTTTTTTATTTTAAAACATCACGCTACATGTTCGGTTTCAAATCAAATTACATTACTAGGATGGATATTCAGAGGTATTTGATGCACTACACTACTGAAAACACACTCACTAATGCTTGTTATATTTTTCCATCACACACACACACACACGCACAAAATGTCCTTGAACATTTTTTCATGACTGTTCCCCAAAATACATGAGCACTTTCTGTGTTATGATACCTTGTCCATATTTTTGTGACCCTCTCAAAATATGATATTTTTTCTGACCTCCTCCACTGGTGACCTTCACCTGATTTCCCCTGATCAACCACTGTCTGTGGTAAATGACCAGTCCCTATGGTGCCACAATTATTTTTGCACAGTTGCAACCAGTGTGCATATTATTCATGGCCGTAAACATGTGTATTTCTGTCTGCAGGTGAAAGTGGGGCTGGGATAAGCCGAGAAGAGTTCATCGACAAGATTGCCTCTGATGTTCACAACAGGCTGCCACAAGAATTTGAACTGGACAAGATTCGTAAGAAGTTTGGACTGGATATCTCTCCTACGACGGTGGTCTTACTACAAGAGTTGGAAAGATTCAACAAGCTCATCAACAGGATGAGGAGATCACTAGTCACTCTCAAAAGGGTATGTGTTTCTTTGGCTTGAGAACTTGCTATTTTCCAAGTCTTACTTTTAAGTTAAAATGCTCTGGAGATTAAATTGTGTGGGTCGGGGAATCGAACCCAGGTCCTCGGCGTGACGAGCAAACGCTTTAACCACTGAGCTACCCCACCACCGTCCACACATAGTAGTTCTGAAAGCATTCTATATGTTGAACTACTTTGTATTATTACTTGTAAACATACCAAATTACACATAAACATGCTGTATTTGTTTGTATATGTACTATAGCAATGACAATCTGGGTTAGGATTCTTGTTCAACAAACAATGCTTGTCAATAGTCAGACTCACTGTCTTGGTTGGGACAGTGGGGTACTCTAGTGGTTCAAGCATTTGCTCGTCACGCCGAGGACCTGGGTTCGATTCACCACGTGGGTACAATGTGTGAAGACCATTTCTGGTGTAAAACCATCCTCACTCACTCACTCAATGTGTGTTGCAGCAAGATCAAAGCAGCATGGTAACACATACCACCTCTCAATTACTCAGTGACTTAGTTGATTCATGTCAGTTTATTCCATTTACGTATATCAGTGCTCATGATGTCAATCACTAGTCTGGTCCCGACTTGATTATTTGCTGATGACGTATCATATAGGTGGAATAGTACTGCATTATACAACAAACAAACAAACTATATAAGTGTTAGTATTTGTCTTTCAAAATGTTTGAAAATAATTGACAATGTGCTGTTCTATTCAGGCCCTTGCTGGTGAGGTAGGCATGAGCAGTGAGCTGGACGATGTGTCTCGCTCTTTGTTCAACGGTCAGATTCCCACCATCTGGCGGAGACTGGCCCCCGATACCCTCAAGTCCCTTGCCAACTGGATGATCCACTATGAGAGGAGATACAAGCAGTACAACGCATGGGTAAGTCCTTCTCACAATGTGTAATGGATCTGTTATATAATGGACCTGTCCCACATGGCTGAGGATGAGAATTTAATTACTGTGGACAAAAATATAACAATTTACATGTTTATTAGTATCCTTTTATGTAAAACCTACCCAGAAATTCATTCACAAATTATGCTTCCCTTCAAAACCACTTGACAAAACAGTAGAAAGGGGAAATGAATTTTCTATCACCACCTTATCTTTCCTGTATTCTTGACAACAAAATGGCAGCAACTGACCATATTGAGTGAGGTATATAGAAAATAGGATCTGTGTGTAGAATCAGTGTCAATCACTGCCCATTTAGTTCCCAATATATTGCAATACAGGTAATTGCAACTATTATTAAACCACCACCACCCCCCCAGCATGTAATGCGGGGGGATATAGTCGTCACCTCGTCCGTCCGTCTGTAATCATTTTGTTTCCGGAACATAACTCCAAGACCGTTCAATATTTTTCAACAAAAATTGGTAGATATATCAAACAGAACCTAAGGTGGTGCCTTTTGATATTTACAGATTTTTGTCATTTTTAATTTTCTCGGTTTCCATGGAAACGTTTTGGACTTAGTCTTAAAGGGGGGGTGGGCTTCGTTTCTGGAGCATAACTCAGAAACCGTTCAGTATTTTTCTGCAAAACTTGGTAGATATATCAAACAGAACCTAAAGTGGTGCCTTTTGCTATTTACAGATTTTTGTGATTTATTATTTTCTTGGTTTCCATGCAAACGATTCGGACTTAGTCTCAAAAGGGAGGGGTAGGTTTTGTTTCCGGAGCACAACTGGAAAACTTCGTAATATCTTTCAGCAAAACTTGGCAGATATGTTAGGCAGATCCCAGAGTGGTGCCTTTTGCTCTCTACAGATTTTTGTCATTTCTATTTTTATCGGTTTCCATGGAAACGATTTGGACTCAGTCTCAAAAGGGAGGGGTAGGTTTCGTTTCCGGAGCACAACTCAAAAACTTCTTAATATCTTTCAGTAAAACTTGGCAGATATGTGAGGCAGATCTTGAAGGGGTGCCTTTTGCTATTTGCAGATTTTTGTCATTTATGTTTTTCATGATTTCAATGGAAACAACTTGCCCTTAGTCTAAAATCAAGCTGGACTTTAAGTAACTGTCAGATGATTTGTTCTTTCAAAGATGTGGGGGCCGGGGGAAGATGTCATCTTCTGATGACTCTTGTTATCACTGTTGTTACCATTGTTTTGAGTCATTAGTGTTCATATCGGTGACACTGGTTAAAACATTTCATTATACAATATGTGTTATATTTTGAGTTACACTTTCTCAGTAAAGTACAGATTCTAGTAGTTTCGTAAAATTTGAGTTCCATCCAGGATTTGAACCCACACTAAGTCAGGCACCTAATCACCAGCACACAAAGTCAGCAATCTAACCCACTCAGCCACAATAGGTTCCACATTTACTGAGACGTGTAATCCCATATATAACATATGTTACATGTGACCACTTTCTGAAAGGCAGTTTATATTCACATTAGTTATAGATAGTTTTTTTTTAAGGTACCTAACCTTGCTATAAGTTACACAGGATAACTATTTTATTGTCAACATGTGTTTATGCAAGGTGAACGAAGGCGAGCCCTCAGTGATGTGGCTGTCAGGTCTACACATACCGGAGTCCTATCTCACGGCACTGGTACAGGCAACATGTCGTAAGAACGGCTGGCCACTGGACAAGTCAACTCTGTACACCAGCGTCACGCAGTACCAGGCCGCAGAGGACGTCACAGAACGGGCACATGCTGGTCAGTACATGCTGTCACTCATGGATTTTCAAAAACTTTCAGTTTATCAGATCCACATATCTAACATATTGTGTGTTTTTCTTTGAGCTGTATCCTACCCCACATGGAGTTGGCTTGCACTACAAAGCCAGAGTCTGGACATGTAGTCGGCCACACACATTCTGTTTGTTTGTATGCCGCACTCAGCAATATTCCAGCTATGTGGGCGGCGGTCTGTAAATAATAGAGTCTAGACCACACAGTCCAGTGATCAACAGCATGAGCATCGATCTACGCAATTGGGATACGATGACATGTGTCAAGCAAGTCAGCGAACCTGACCACCCGATCCCGTTAGTCACCTCTTTCGACAAGCATGGGTTGTTGAAGACCAATTCTAAACCTGACGAAGGGGCAAGGAAAAGCCCAGAAACGTGTATAGAATAAACAAGAAGTTGACATCCATCACATTTTGTCTTATACTTGAATACCAACTTCTACATGCCTCTTAAGAACCTCAAAATTCTAAACCTGTATATAACCCAGGAACAAATGTACATGCATGTCACTATATAAGACAATCAGTCAGGAATAAGATGTTAGACCTGCCCCTTTCAACCATATGCCTCTACAATGACAGTGCCTCATGTTCTTGTCAGGTTGTTTCGTGTACGGCCTGTGTCTAGAGGGCGCTGCCTGGGACAAGGAGAACACCTGTCTCATCCGTCAGAAACCCAAGCAGCTCATTCAAGAACTACCTGTACTCAAGATCATCCCCATCGAAGCTCATCGGCTCAAGCTGCAGGTGAGTTGGTCGCTGTCAGATAAATAGTATCAGACTTCCCAGTCTGTGATTATCTACATCATGGCTATGAACAAAGGTCAGATGATGATGGAGTACTTTCTGGATTGTGAATTACTGATAAGTTCGGCATGCTTTCGTTGAATTCACTGTCCATGTTGAGATTGTGTGGTTTTAGACTGTTAATAGTACAATTCTCGTATGCTCATGTTATACATTATAAAACAACCAGTAATATATATGGAATCTGATAGATGCTTGTGTTGTAGTCTCTCAAAGTTTATCAGTCACAAGGCCCTATTCCACAAACTTATCTCAGCACCAAAATGATTGTGACTTCCATAAGTATCCCCCGCCGCGCATTTAATTTAAGCGAAGGACATAGTACCGATATTAGGCTGTGTCCGATCTGTCCGTACATACATAGTTACATACTTACATATGTACGAATTTGAATATCTTAAGAACCGTTGACTAGATTCTTTATATAATCGTTACCTAGGTTCATCACTGAATAAGAAAGGTCCCAGTCAGGTTTGGTGACCTTGACCTTCAGTTCAAGGTCACAAGGGGACTTTAACGATTTACCCTTGTCAGCGAGATATCTCAAGAACCGTTCGCTGGATTTTCTTCATATTCAACACCAAGCTTTACCTAGGGAAGGCGCGGGGCCCAGTCGATTTTGGTGACCTTCACTTAATTTTCAAGATCACAGCGACACTTTGAATATTTCAGCATGTTAAGCTGCATGTTAAGCTTGTCGGCAAGATACCTCAAGAACCGTTCTCTAGATTTTCTTCATATTTGACACCAAGCTTCATCTAGGGAAGGTGCAAGGTCCAGTCGATTTTGGTGACCTTCATATAATTGTCATGGTCACAGCGACACTTTGAAGATTTCAGCATGTTAAACTGCATGTTAAGATTGTCAGCGAGATATCTCAAGGACAGTTCACTGGATTTTCTCCATGGACTTTCAAGCATTCCCTTGAATGTTTTTTTCAATCAGCAATTATTACAATTTTTGCATATTTCATACACAAAGACATTCATGTCAAGGTCATAGTCAGTCTTAAAAATATTTGTGCGTTTGAACAACTACAGAACAAGATATCAAGAGAGGTTGACTGGTCATGTTTTTCTTGACATTTAACTTCATCTTAAATTACGACCCTCACTTTCATTACTTTTTAAGTTTGATTTGATAATTTGTGGGGGGGGGGGAGATTAGGTCACCTTAGTGACAATGTTTGTTTGACATAGGCTTGAGATTGCTGTATGGAACAGGACCCTTGTTTGGACAGAATTGTCAAGGGATCTTTGAAAGATGATTTCATACAATATAACACTCACAAAACTGAATACAGTTTCTTCCGATAAATGTCAGCTGGGAGTCTGGAAGTGGATGATCATGTAACTTGGTCATAGATGTAATATCTTGCATAAATCAGCAAAGACAACAGACACTGTCATTTGACTATGAGAATAAAACATTTGCAGTGTCATGAAGTGATGTGACATTGAGGTTAAACTATTTTGTCTTGCAGAACACATTCCGAACGCCTGTGTATGTGACCTCACAGAGGAGGAACGCTATGGGTGTGGGGCTAGTATTCGAGGCCGACCTTGCCACATCAGAACACACCAGCCACTGGGTCCTCCAAGGAGCCTGCCTCATCCTCAACACAGACTAGATCACAACATGCTCACATCGAAAATACCAGTCTTAGACGACTTTACAGCTTTGACTCTCCATATCTATATTCCAGTCGTTAGAACTGAATGACTTTAGATTGTACATTTGATATAAATATGTGTAATCAGTCAAATGAAGTATGTTATCATTTTCATATTTTGAAATAACTTATTGTATAAACATCTGCCAAAAACAGGAAATATTGTTCAGTAAGATGTTGCAGTCTAAGATTACAAAAGAGTCATTAGAAAAGGTATGTACGAAAATGCCCAAAGCCTGAAGAGATTATTTTTTCACTGAAGTCATCAGCATTGAATGTTACATTGTCTGTAATGAAATAAGTATTAAGGACTGTTGTTATGATGCTAGTTAGTGTCATAGTGCTGTTTAATGTCAGTGTTATTTGATTGGTTGTGTTCAGTATTGTACATAGCTTTAACAGTAAAGCAGTATTGTATATTTCTTGTTACTGTGAAGCAGTATTGTATATTTCTTGTTACTGTGAAGCAGTATTGTATATTTCTCGTTATTGTAATATTGTAGTATTTAAATGATCTATGTATTAACAGACATTATCACTGATGAGATCACAGTTATATCCATGAAAATACATTCCAATTAAATCTTAAAAGTAATTTCCCAAAATACATGTATTCCGTCCAATATCTTCAAACTGTCTATTTATTTTTGCACTTTTGTGCACAAAGCTTTAGCTGTGATAAGTTATTAATGATTTACTTATTTATAATCACCCAAAGTAAGTCTGTAAAAGCATTCATTTATCTTTATCCTCAACTTTCCATGCAAACATGTTGAAACATTCCGTCCATGTTTAAAGCAAAGGTACCAAATTTATGGTAAATTCTCATCTATGAATATTCTGCTACAGTATATTTCTCTATATTATAGGGGGATTGGTTTGAGATTTTTTCCACCTATCAAAACCCCCTCAAATCAGAATTTATTGGCTTTTGATGTTATTTTGAAGAAATGTACTGAAATTCAGTGTTATGGATTCCTTTGATTCAGAATAATAAGAACTCGCCTTGTGCCAAACATTGCTATCCATTTGTCATCAAGTTCACCTTGTGCGATTTTCTGTTGATATTGAAACTGTTGTGTTTTGTGCTTTTGTGTTATACATCTCACATTAAAATGTGTTTTATTTTGTATGAAGAAAAAGAAAACCTAAAAAAGAATGAATGAAAATAAAATGAAAATGAAATGATATCTGTTTAGTGTTGTGATAATTATGGGGTTCAGGTGGCCCCGCCTACAATCACTGTATAGGACTGTGTCACCATGTGACCCCTGGTTTCTCCTAAAAATTATGCCACTCCAAAAGAACATGGGGGTACAGGTTTCTCCTGATGATGATGCCATTTTAAGAACAAGGGGGTACAGGTGGCCCCGCCTACAATCACTGTATAGGACTGTGTCACCATGTGACCCCTGGTTTCGTGGTTATAGGCTGTAGGTTTCGTGGTTGTAGGCTGTAGGTTTCGTGGTTGTAGGCGGGGTCACCTGTACCCCCACTGTATAGGACTGTGTCACCATGTGACCCCTGGTTTCGTCTGGTGATGATGCTACTCCGTAGGTACATAGGGGTACTGGTGACTCCGCCTACAATCACTGTATAGGACTGTGTCACCATGTGACCCCTGGTTTCGTCCAGTCTAAGTAAACTTAAGCTCAGTATTATTTGTTACACTGCTATACTGAGTCTAACAAAACCTTATAGAAGGTCGCGTCAGCTAACCTTTGAGCGACCTATGACCGTCCAATCAAATGCGAGACGGCCAAACGGATTTAACCAATTAGACAACGACTACTTGTTAGGGTTCGGCGGGACTTACAAAACGGTTTTTGAATTTTCTCTTCCCTGGTCGCTGACACTGATCTATCAACAAGCGAAAATCTGCATAAAACACAGATATTTGACCTGCAGTATATACGCTTATGGGTTTCTAATGACATGGTTACTATTTGCTTATATTTTCACAAGATGACATCCTTGAATATTATCAAAAACGCTATTTTCAGTGACTGTTTACTCATTGCGTGTATCACTCGGAAGCGATCGTGCGGAAAATAGCATTCGGAATCGTTCCGAGTTTTTGAGGTAATGGTTCAAACGGTATCTGCAAATGTTAACTTTCGCGATTTGGTAAGCTGTGTTCTGATTGGTCAGTCCAAAAGGTTAGCTGACGCGACCTTCTATAAGGTTTTGTTAGACTCAGTATAGCAGTGTAACGAATGATACTGAGCCTAAGTTTACTTAGACTGGGTTTCGTCTGATGATGATGCTACTCCGTAAGTACATGGGGGTACAGGTGGCCCTGCCTACAATCACTGTATAGGACTGACACTATGTGACCCCTGGTTTCTCCTGATGATGATGCCACTCCCCTAAGAACATGGAGGTCTTGATATGAGTCAATGAGTGAGTGAGCAAGTGAGTTTGGTTTACGCCGCTCTTAGCAACATTCCAGCAACATCACGGTGGGGACACCAGAAATGGGCTTCACACAGTGTACCTATGTGGGGAATCAAACCCGGGCCATCGGCATGACGAGTGAATGCTTTAACCACTAGGCCACCCCATCGCCCTGCATTTCAATGAATATCATAATGTCTGGCAATCAACTGCGTACAAAATGTGCATCCTGCTCACAACAAATGTCCAAACATCCAAACTATGGTCCTTGCATGCACATGCACATGCACATTGTGAATCACAATCTGAAAGAAATGTCAGACTATTGAAAGATGCATTGTTTAATTTTAGAATAAAAAACCTTATTATTTTAACACCCAATCCACGCAGTCTCCTATCGAAACCAGTATAGTTTGCTCTGACCAGAATCACCACCGGGTCTGACCACCCAATCCACTATTTTACCTCTTACAATCAGCATTGATTGCGGGAACAATATTACCCTGGAAACGCCATAGGTCAGTCCCTGGGTGACATATTACACTGATCATATTTACAAGCTTCTGCTACGAACCAATGGGGTTCCTAAAAAAAGGGTTAAAGCGTTGCTCCCATGCCGAAGAGCCTGGTTCGATTCCTCACATAACTATATTGCGTGAAACCTATTTCTGTTGATATTGCTGGAATATTGCTAAAAGCGACATATAACCCAACTCACTCACTTACAGCTTGAAGACCGCTCACTGCTACATGTAACAACATTCACACATAGAAACTCAACACTTGATTCCAGTTGTACCGGTTTAATACACATCTAGTTGATCACAACCTGCATAATTATCTTTATTCAATATAATTACATAAATATGTCTTTAAGATATTCAAATTTGTCTTGTTTCTGATGACTAGTTACCACTGTGCACCACTTTAACATATAGTTTTATAGGAAGCATCATGTATAGATCACCATGGGTAGATGGAAATCTCAAATAGTTCCTAAATACTAATAATTGAATATTGGAAAATATAATTTGTACATGAGTGAATTAACATGTTTGAAGGAAGGGAAATACCACACCTGGGGCTCCTTTCACGAAGCAACCTTTACTAAGGTTAACCATAACTCATATTCTTTCACATTGCACTAAGGTTACCTTAGTGACTTATGTGCTTTGTGAAAGGAGGCCCTGAAATTCTCAATGACAGATGTTATTTTATTTAATTTTACCTAATTACAGAAATATTTCTTGAGGCTTCTCACTGGCACGTATGTGTCATTACACAGCCATCATGATGCAGATGCTGCTGAAGTAGTAAAGTTTATAGACCGTTTGGCTCAAAAGCGGATCAATGAATTGCAATCTAACTCTAAAACTAATAAACATAAAATACTCAATGAAACGCTGATCATAATCAAAACATCATACCCACTCTGTGAGGTTTTTGCAGAATTTTTGTCCTAAAAATAATAAAGTTGTTTAACAAACTATCATTAAAATATTGACACAGTTCACTGTTTGTTACGAGGGAGGAGTGCAGAGAAAGGGACAGCCAGGTGTTCGAGAAGCACGTTCACAGACAAAGTTATTTATTCATTAACCTGTGCTGTGCCGTCTCCATCCGTTCTCGAACACCTGGCTGTCCGCTTTTGAGCCAAACAGACTATAAACGGGAGAGTCTAAGAGACATGTCAACATCCCTGAAATTATGCATGATCATAAGTTGATTGGCATGTTGATATTGAAGTACATATGTTGCTCTAACCAGCAGTAAGTCCTCCCTACAAGGCTGCAAATGTGGTTCCAGCATACCCAACCTCAAATCTCTCCATGTTGGTAAATTTGATGTAGTTTCTGCAAATAAAGAAAATCAGAATTCTTCTCATCTGTGGATCTGTGTATGGTAACTGACCCCTACACTGAGTGGGTGGGTGGGTGGATGGCGGGATGAGTGAGTGAGTGAGTTTTAACCCATTTTAGCAACATTCCAGCAATATCACAGCAGGGGAGACCAGAAATGGGCCTCACACATTGTACCCATGTGGGGAATGGAACTGAGTCTTTGGTAGGACAAGCTAGCACCTTAACCTCTAGGCTAACCCCCTCCACTACTCCACTTTACACCCCCTGGACTTTACAGAGAAACATTTCAACCCGTGTGTGTTTTCATGCATTGTATGGTGTAAGTTATTGTGACATTACTAGGCTATCAAGACATCTATTGTATCTCAAAGACGAGTGATGTCACACACACACACTAACACACACTAACACACACACTAACACACACACTAGCCTTTAGCAGTGATTTTGTTTTGCCTTGTCTTTACCCCGATCATGAAGTACAGGGATTTATTCTGCCACATAACACTATCTATATTATGAGAGACACATTGTTGGAAAACTTTATCAACCAATAACAGAACGATGTGCTTTTTCTAACCTTTTAGGATCAATACTAAGCTTTTGTTGCAGAAATTCTGAAATTTCCTTGGACATCTGTATGTTTTCCTCGGCACTTATGTGTCCGATAGCCTGGAGCTCGGAGTTGGCACATGGTTCAGTCGTACCCCCGTGGGTCATCATCTGACCTGGATGAATCCTGACTGTCACATACTGAAATAGAGCAAGTTCCTCAGTCAGGGGTCAGGAGTAAATGATTTATTGAGCCAGTGAGCAGTTGAGGAAGTTTGTCTGTTGTTTAACGCCACACTCAGCAATATTCCAGCTATATGACGGCGGTCTGTAAATATTCGAGTCTGGACCAGACAATCTAGTGATCAACATCATAAGCATTGATATACGCAATAGGGATACAATGTGTCAACCAAGTCAGCAATCCCGTTAGTCGCCTCTTACGTCTAACATGGATTACTGAAGACCAATTCTAAACTGAATCTTCACGGGTCGTCTCTATAAAACAAAATTGTGCTTTTCTCCAAATAATTATAGGAATAAAGACTAGTCCCCCATACCTGTTAAAGAAGACTTCCTCAATTTGTTCACATGTAGATACTAGGGCTCTTATGATTCACTCAGGTATTCGATAAATCAAACCGTCTCCTTTCATGAATTCAATTTGTTATTCGAAATCACTATAATCGAATATTCATGAACATTTTAAAAAGCAGTGTTCTGATGTGAATTTGGGTGTTATTTATCAAAACAAGATATGCACAATGGAACATTACATTATACTGACACCGAGCCAACCAGTCGTTGTTGTACCCACTAATGCTGAGCGCCATGGGCCAACAAGTACCATATTTTAACGCTTTTGGTATGACGTGGCTGGGAATCGAACCCACGACCTTCTGCTCTCCCGCCGGACGCTCTAACCACTACACCACAGAGGCAGTTGGCGTCAAAGGAAGCTTCAGGAAGATATAGACATATGGAGTCAACAGCCGGCAATCAACCGTGATCACTGACTGACTGAGTTTGGATTTACGCCGCTTTTAGCAATATTCCAGCAATATCACGGCGGGGACACCAGAAATGGGCTTCACACATTGTACCCATGTGGGGATTCGAACCCGGGTCTTCGGCGGGACGAGCCAACGCTGTAACCACTAGGCTACCCCACCGCCCCAACCTGATCAAGGATCACATCAATTACCATATTGTTTTAGTGTATCACTGGCCTCGTGTTTGTATTACATCAGATTTCCTCAACGTTGTTCAACATTGTTACACGTCTTCTGTGTGTACCTCAACGTATGTATACACACGCACGCACACTGGCCTCATGTTTGTATTACATCAGATTTCCTCAACATTGTTCAACATTGTTACACGTCTTCTTTGTGTACCTCAACGTATGTATACACACGCACGCACACACACCCACACCCACACCCCGATACTCCCTAACATTCACTTGATGAAGGAGCAAGCACACACTCCAGAACGTTGTGTTATTCACATTAAAGAAGTTGACATCCATAAATCTTGCTTCAAATCTTGATAGCTTCAACTTACAGATTCCGGTTTCCGAATCGCTTTAGCGATGACTTTGGATGTTTCCAGAAGGAACCCATCTGGAAGGTCAGTTGCTGGTACATTGGTGAAGAAAATAAAGCACGGCATGTCTTCACTGATTTGAAAAACTCAAGCTTTTAAGTTGCCACACGCCGCTCTTGATATACCGAGTGCGTCGCGTCTGCCCTTTGAACCGCGTTGTTCAGTAACAGGTTCAAGCTACCTCGCACTGAACTCGACGGCAACACGCACACGCAATATTATCGTGGACAAGCGTATTGAGCGAATCTGCATGAAGGACCATGTGTATGTTGATCAGTTAAATACCCCAAATGTGATGATTTATGGTCTCATTAGTTTATATATAATTACTTTGTATTTTCACGACATCTACCGAAGTACTTGATCTATATCTATCATCAATGAACATACATAACGGTCACGATTTTGAATAAATTAACTTTCGGTTGTACGCGCGAAAGTGACTTGAAAGGGAGGTCACTCTTGTTTAGCTTCGTTTTCATGTCGTGTTTACGTACGCTGGCAAGCGCAGGGGCGTGTCACGCTAAGAAACAGCGTTAGAAAGACATGTATAGGTGCGTGACACGCCCCTGTGTCTAGAATAACGTTTGATGACATGACGGTTAAAACTACAAACTGTCAACTCCTGGACAGTAAAATCACAACACAATGGACAGTTTGTTTGCTAAACGTGAACAACTCCATATAAAATGTACAGATTGATTTTTCGACGATAATTGAAAAAATACTGACGCATTAAAGCATAAACTGTGAATGAAGACCTAAAATCACTATATCTAAGAATTGACAGCAAAAAAAGGTGTGTCTGCTGACGAGGATGTCATATTTCGTGTTTAAACGATCATTTTCCGCGATCTTGTTTCGATACTCAGGAGGGTGCCCTCGCTCAACGCGCAATTGCAATAAATATAGAGGTGTCAAGCAATTACAGAATGATCTGTAACTTTCTAGAGCCTTCTGCCAAATGGCAAAACCTGGTGTACTTGCAAAATAATGAAAATGCGAGGAAAAACCTACCTTTACTCTTGTGCCACGTGTCCTTCTTTCACTGTCCAGCGAGGAAATGGAGTTGCTTTTGGGGCAACTCCACATTTCGTGTGGACAGCGCTTCCACCCTGTGAAATGATGATACGTATATTCCAGAACACAAGGGATGGTGGGGCAGCCTTTAATTAACTGTTCGCTCGCCACGCTGGAGACCGGGTTCGATTCCCCATTTGTGTGAAGCCCATTTCTGGTGTCTCTCTTCCCCTTCCGTGATATTGCTGAAATATTGCGAAAACTAAACTCACTCACTCTAGAATATATAATATTCAGGTGGGTTTCCGAGCCCCATGTAGCTTTACATGTAATCTGAATCGTGGTGTGTTGTTTAGCATAGAGCCCAGGCCACAAATCAGTTGAAGTTGGAATCGGTAGACTGGATAATTCACCCCTTCACTGACGAGAAAACAAAGCTTGAGGTCAATTCGGTAAATTGAAAGTATATTTTATAGATGAAAGGTATCCGAAACCCTAAACGTCCTCGTTCATATACCTGGAATATATACACAATGCCTTTAGAAAGTGGTCGAATGACCAGTTGTCAGACTTCTTATTTTGTAGCGGCCACGCTGGCTGAGTGGGTTAGATCACTGACTTCGTGTGCACTCAGCAATATTCCAGCTGTATGGCGGTGGTCTGTAAATAATCAAGTATGAACCAGACAATCCAGTGATCAACAGCATGAGCATCGAACTACGCAGCTGGGATACGATGACATGTGTCAACAAAGTCAGCGTGTCTGACCACCCGATCCCGTTAATCGGGACAATCGTGGGTTGCTGAAGACCAATTCTAACCCGGATCTACATGGGTCATCCAAACTGTAATATGTTCCTTTGACAATATTATCAACCACTACGTGTGACCATTTTAAGCACGGCTTTCACCAGATTCAGGAATACCCTCACCAAATGCCAATAATATACAGACCAATGGGCCTCAGTAGTTGCCTGTTTTAAGCGTAGTGCATTTTTCTCCTTCGTACGTCTTCATACCGACGTCGCACCACCGCAAATACACTTGAAGACAGCGTGAGTGAGTGAGTTTAGTTTTACGTCGCACTCAGCAATATTCCAACTATATGGCGGCGGTCTGTTAATAATCGAGTCTGGACCAGACAATCCAGTGATCAACAGCATGAGCATCGATCTGCGCAAATGGGAACCGATGACATGTGTCGACCAAGTCAGCGAGCCTGACCACCTGATCCCGTTAGTCGCCTCTTACGACAAGCATCAGTTACTGAAGATCAATTCTAACCCGGACCATCACGGGTCCAAGACAGCGTGAAGTAAGCGAGTTGTTTAGTGGCAACATTTCTGAATTTATCAGTTTATTGTTACTGCAAAGTATGCATAATGTGTCTGCTTACACAAGGTTTAAGGCTGGGACGGGTAACCTGAATACCCGGGACGGTTGGGTAATCAGTTGGACCCGGGTACGCGACTCAATACCCGCACCCGTTATGATCATGTGACTATTAAATAGATTAAACAATGTTATGTGTTATTCTTTCATGATTAAAAAGTTGTATTGTCTTTGAAAATTTAGACATAATTACAGTCACATAATAATATAGAATACATGGTTACGATATTGAAAAACTTGAATTTTAGCCTCCGAGCTGAAGAATATATTGCCATTTCTTTAACTTTGATGTCAGGAATTAACATAACGGGTACCCGGGTAGGGTAGGGTAATAGGAGGTGGGGTATCCGGGTAGAAAATTTGGACCCACCCCAGACCTGACAACGTTTAATGTGATATGGCTGAATATTTGATGTGTTGCACGACTGCTTGGAAACAAAGCCTATCGTCCGCACACGCACACGCACACAGACACAATGTTGTAATTTTATTACGTTGTTTCTCTTAAGATTAGGTAAACCTCATACAATTGTGTTTTAATAGTGAGTGAGTGTAGTTTTACGCCGCTTTTAGCACTATTCCAGCAATATCAATCTCACGGCGGGGCACATAAGAAATGGGCTTCACACATTGTACCCATGTGGGGAATCGAACCCGGGTCTTCGGTGTGACAAGCCAAAGCTTTAACCACTAGGGTACCCCATCGCCCCCGTTTTAATAATAGTCAATGTTCAGGAATGTATCAGTATCAGTCTATCCTGTTAGAATATACTCTTAGCTTCTTCTTTTTCTTTGTACATCTTGTACCCGTCCAGTCGAGTTAAGATAATATACGAACTGTCAACCGTCAGTACAATCAATGATTAATCATGTCATGAAATGCCTCAAGTGTATTAAATATCATGTCAAGAAAGTATCAAAACTGTAGACATGAAGATAAAAAGAAAATAAGATTTGACAGAGTACAGAATTACTTGGGCTATTTATTTTTCCGCTACAACGTTTGCTACATTACACAAATCCTTTAGTAAAAACATCATGCAGATGAGGGTGTACTGTGATATGGACGCCAATCCAACCTCAAATGACACGAGCCAATACATTTGATATATGATGGGCAAACATGGAAGATCAAATACACGTGGACACATTATGTATAAAACACCCACACAGGCTACATGCAGACATTATGTATAACTCATTTATCTATCTCTCTCACACACACACGCTACATGCAGACATTGTGTATAACTCATTTATCTATCTATCTCACACACACACGCTACATGCAGACATTATGTATAACTCATTTATCTATCTCTCACACACACGCTACATGCAGACATTATGTATAACTCATTTATCTATCTCTCTCACACACACACGCTACATGCAGACATTATGGATAGCATACACGCAGTCGTTACAGACATTATGTAATAACACACACACACACACACTGTTGGGCGTTAGCGCAGGCGCAACAGACCAAGGGAACCAGGCTGCAGCCATGTACACAAGTTAACAAAAAGTGCCTGGCGTTGTCATGACCAGAAAATCACGTGACACAACATAAACAGTATGACCCTTTCAATGTTGAGGTGTACACAGCACGTCACTATCATTACCCATCCTTTGCATGGTGTGTCATATAATTGTACAATGATTGACAAAAAAGTCTCTCTAAATATTCGTCTCCGTGACGATGAGGTCATCAATTGAACTGCTTCTGTCCGAGACTGTTATAGTGATTTGAGACCGGTGATTGTGCGAGTGGAGTGTTTTCGTAATTGCTGGTAACATATGGATTAAAGAATTTAGGGAATCAGACACATACAGAAAGTACTAGCCCCCTCCATGCTGAGTGACTGGAGAGTATATGCCACAGTATCATTTGTCATATCCACTGCACCTACAATGGGAGAACGAAAGCCACTGTAGTAGATGGTGCCTCTATACAGTCCCAGGTTCCAGGGGACGGCGTTCAGTGTGGTCACTTCTGTACTCACATTATTGGACACAGTCATCTTCATCAGTTTTTTCTCTATATTATAATACAACACACCTTCTGTCTGATCCAGGGTTATAGCATGTATTTGGTTCCTGCGGCTAATGTTCTCAGCCCTTGACCATCATATGTCACAGAGAACAGTAACCCGCCAGTACACCCATATATCGTCTTTCTCTTTGTGTCAAGAGATATTTGAAATAAATGACAACTGTAGTTTGATAAGTCAATGATGACAGTGAAATCTTCCCCATGTGTAGACATGCGGCTGATTGAGCGTAATGGTTTAATGGTGGACATGAATATGAAATCCCGATCTTCATCCACTGCCATGCTGTATGTCCACACATGTTCTGATAATACCGTCATGTGACGTGTATTCAGGGTAGATGACACTATCTTATCAGGGTTGTGCAATCCTATCAGAATTTTGTTTGCCTTTGCTAAATAGGCAAGGGAAGTCACCTGCTTCATGGTGTAATGCCGCTTGACACTCAGGGAGTTACTGTGAATGTTGAGTTGACGGAACTGATGTGGGGTAGATGACCTACATGGAGCAATAAAGATACTACTTTTCCTCTCTTCTGGGCTGGGTGTCAACACTGGCGTTGTCGACACAGGCGGCGTGACTGTAGACGTACCATGCTGAGTTGCTTGGGAAGAAGCAGTCACAGCAGGAGCTGTGTTTAGTCGTGATAATTGGCTCTGACGCGTCTCATTTAAATCTTCCAACTGCTCATTCCGAGTCTTGTGATCAGCAGCATAAACAGTACACTTCTGTTGTAACAGTTCCTTTTCCAGTCTATCGTTATCTCTGATACAGATATCACTCGAAGTCTCTCGATTCCACACATGTGCCTTCTTCGGGAGAAATTCAT